TAATAAAAAGATATTACGCTTATTTTAAAATTTGATTAAAAATCAAATATATAAATTTATATTCTAAAAATGTATTAAATTTTCAAATATTAATAAAAAAAGGAAATCTTTAAATAATAGAATAAATGAATAAAATAATTATTATAAATAAATCAGATATTGTCACGGGTTCACTACCCGTTCCTAACTACACCTACCTACACCTATCACGTGTACACTACCCGTTCTTAGTTAGCTCGGGTGGATGCCTTAGGCATCCACCCACCATATAGTCGGCGTCGCTCCGCGCGCCTCCTTCTCTCCTTGTCGAATATCATACATCTTACCTAGTACCCACCAGAACCCGTACCAGCCCCGTGATAGATATAGAGTTCTGAGATACTAGTTAATATGAGAAGTAGTGAATATCTAGATATCTTATTTAATTTAAAATTGATATAAAGAAAACTTTCTAAAATATTATTTATTTTATATATAAAGATTATTTTGAAAGTATTATATTTATAATATTTTCAATATTTCAATATTTCAATATGTTTTCTGAATCAAATAAAATATTGAAAATTATTCTAACTTTCATTTTTTAAAATTAATATTAATTATTTATAATGTATGAATATTTTAGAGCTTTTTGTTTTTATAGAGATTTTATTATATAATAAAAATATATATAATCAATAATAATTATAACTTTTAATAATAAAATCATTTATTATCAAAGTTAATTCTATTAGCTTTAGCTGATTGATATTGGATGTTACTAATAATAATATTCACCTATGAATTTGGTGCGGAGAAATGGGAATATAAAGTTTTATATAGATTTTTTATATATAGGACTAGAAACATCAAGTTGAAGTTTTGATTGATTATACTCGAGTAGAAGATATATCAAATCAATCTTGGAGTAGCTTAAAATCAGACGAGATATATAGAAATAAACATGGCATTTTTTAAGCAGAAGCAATTAGGTGTAATTATCTAAACTAATTAGTAGTAAATGGAATACAAAAGTACTAGTGTTATAATCTTTCTATGAAATGAAAATCCTATATAATGGTGTAACTTGAACCTGAAATAGACTGAGTCAAAAGACTTAATGTCACGATCAAATTGTATACGAGTAGAAGGATACGTAATACACAATAACTGCACTTAATAACAAAAGACGAGTATATAGCAAAACTAAATGATCAGAGAGTCTCAAAATAACAGATTAAAATATATAGAATAAGAACATCCTATCATAAAAGTAAAATGCAAAGAATCACGATACTGAGATGGATTACAAGTACTAGAAACCAGATTCTCCAATACCGGTATCCAATATCTAAATCAAATAACAGATTGATTTAAAATCTAGATGCTAGACTCACTCACTTCCAACCAACAATAAGAAACAAAAACACAACAACGAATAAATACACCACAAACAATAAACCATATCTAAATCAACACACAAGACAAAAACAGCCAGGATATTGGCCAAGATCCGATAAAATAACAAAATAACCCAAGCTTTAGGGATTAGAACTCATTAATCTCTGTATATAGAAAACGTACTATAAACACTTCGCTTGTGAGTTCCGTGTGTGTAAAGTTACCATTTGGGGTCATTATGAATAATCAGGATATTGTTATGGAGTATAAGATACAACAGTATTCTAATGTCGAAGCTCGAATGGGTGATTGGATGGATCAGAATTAGGCTTACTGAGGATGATATGACTCACAAGAGACGAAAGCTCACCGGAGTTTAAAGTTCCTTGAACCTTCGGAGGAGAAGAGATCCAGCAATGGTCTTTATCGAGAAGAGGAAAGAGAATTGTCCGTGGAGATCTTGCAGGAAGAGTAAGTAAGCACTGAGTCACCACAATCATTATGTCAGCAATCACCAATCAAAAACACGATCAAGCGAAAAACAGTTCAATTCATCTCTCCTTCCAGTCTTAACCGTTTGCATGAGCAAATATTGGTAGTACTAGGCTATTAAGGGCGCCTACCCTCTCCACGCACAACAAATAAAGAACCAGGAGAGCCAACTGCTCCTCCTTCACGTCTGCTAATTACCCCCTAATTGCATCGTCTTCGCTTGGTGCTTTTCTCACCCTTGCCACCACCAACCTTCGCCTCTTCCTTGGCCTGTAGTTGATTAGTTAGCAACAATCTACTCTAAACTAGAACTCCCCAGACGGAACCAAAACGAACAGTGTAGAATTAAGAGGAATATACGAACTCTCAACTCGTTAAGCATTGTCCTCAACGCAACAACTTCGACTTCCTTCTCCGCAAGCTCCCGATCCTTTCTTTCAATCGTTCTTCCCTTCTGCTGGCTCTCTGCCCACAAATCGTGGATTTCATCATCCTTGTCGAGGATCTTATCCTCAAGGCGTCCCTGTGAGCAAGGTTTGGTTGGTAATCTTTTCAAGCCAGGGGTAAATTCGCTACTAGTTTTGGCAAGACTCACGATCTTCTCGATTTGCTCATGAATTACTGCGTCTCTCATACGAACGGTTCGGGTCGCCAGCAGCAATGCGGTGCCGAAGTTCTGCTCTGTAAGAACCTCCGGTGCCGTTTGTGCTTCCGCAAGAAAGTCTGGCATTGGCTCCTCGCTCGAGGATTGAGCTCTTGTCTCGTTCGAGGTATTTAATGCAGACATCTTCGGCGATTGAATTGAGTGGTTAGTTATTCGGATGGTATCTGTTTAGATGATAATGGTAAAAAGAATTCTTTTCGCAGATCGAGAGATGAAAGTGTGGTGTGTTGTAAAAGTTCGAAAGATTCGGTAGCAAAAGCTGAACTTTCCGTTTAAATACACTACCGCAGGCGAGAGCTTACGATGATTTCTATTGTGTTATTGTGGAGGATAAGACAATACAAAATTCCACGCAGAAAATGACACCCGGACGGTCATTGGGCGGTCTTTAAACTCACATTAGTCCGAGGCTTATCGCTAGACAAAGCTAGCCTCGGGTATTTCATTTTATACAATCTCTGTACTAACTACCCATAAGTCGGGGCGACACTTCCTCGGATAACAGTAGCCAGGATCGAAGGTTGAGCCGTTATGCTTTAGCGTAAATCGTGTAGGAGCTTCTCATGCAATGAAGATGAATCCATCTGTAGATATCGCAGACGTCTGCGAGCAAGCCTTGTAACACTATAGCTTCAGGTTGTGTAGATGATTGCAAAGACTTTGTCTGACGTGTAAAAATACAGACGCCTGCTGTCCTAAATGAGTTTACTTTGAAGTTGATGCTACCGCGAGATACCCAAAATTAGTACCTTTCAACAATGAACTCAGCTCAACTGCAGCAATTGATCTCTTGTGATGAACTGTGACATCTGATATGCTAGGTCATAACCTGAAAGTAAGAGAGGAAACGAATTTGGGAGGTAGTCACAAACTAACCTGGTTGAACCCTCCTTCTTTTGACCCATTCGTTTATTTGATATCTCTTACCCCACCAAAACACATTCCTAACAACTTCCTGTCTCCAACCATTATCCTTCCCAAAACAATCATAAAAAAGCTCGGTTGTTTTGCTATTTTGATCGTTTTGAGTCAGTGGTGAGCGAGAACGGCATGAAACATGAGAGACAGACAAATCATTGGTTGACGACGTCATCTCGAATGCAGGTTTGGTCAAAATTTCCTTGAGTTGAAGACAAAATCAGCGCGAACGTCAACTCCACCATCGCGCAACTTCTATCCTGGATAAAACCTGACATCCAGGTCCATCGCCCCTTCCCAAATATTTTGCGCGTATAGCTTACACTCAGGTCTCTCAAATTGACAAAACACGAGCAGCCGCAGTACGTTCTAGCATTCTCATTCTCTCCTCATATATTATCCCTTCTCTCCTAACACGATATGAACAGAAAGATTCGCAAGTTATGAGAGTATACGAAAGAAGAGGCAGCGTCATCCACACAGAGTCTACACTGATGCTGCCAGAGCCGCTCGCGAAAACAACAAAATGCGACATGGATGGTTCAATGCTACAAGGACTGGACATTTCCGATATGCTGGAGGAATCTCTTTGTCAAAACACTCTTTCACTCAAGACGCTCGCAGCTTTCCCAGCAAAACCAGAAAATTGAAAACCACTAGTCGACACAAAATCAGAAACACACGAGCGCCCCAAGGCTATTCTCAAAAATTGGAAGTTTCTGAGAGATCTCCATGAGAGATTCCAGAATGATACATTCCAGGTGTGGTTCACCGCCAACGAGGGGAAAGAAGCCAATTACTCCAACGAATCATGCCTATGATGCCCACTTCTCGCCGCTCAGACCTTATCGCCTCATAGGCTTGCACAATGATCTAAACCGAAGTCTCTCGGATAGGCGAACACAGATACGCAGCAGAAATCATTATCTATGGCTCTCAACTGAACAGGGGAATCTATCAAAAGACCCTATTTTTTGATTGATCGCCTCCTCAACAGGAGTCATCACGGACCACATAGACTTGCGCGGATAGCCGCTAGCAATTTGCGATTGGGTAAGCTTCTTGTATTGTGAACTGGGTTTTCGATAATACTGATTAATGCGGCCAATTGCAGGAATTCTATCGAAAGCTATACTCCCGATATTAAACCATCTCGACTCGAAGCTTCTTGTGCTCCTAGGTCAGAAATAATGTGTGAAAATTATGACAGAAGACGAATCCGAAGATTGTAGAGAGAACAAGCACAGTAAAGCGGGGCTTTGCCATATACGTCCAGTCTCTGAAGGATTGTTGCATGCATTTGCATGCTTGCCGAGGCAAGCTAAGCTGATTTACCGGTTGCCTATAAAAACCATCTAATCGAAGAAATAAACGGTGCAGCTGATTGTAATCGGCGATATATGACGCTACATCGATCTGTTTTTCAGAAAATCCGAACCCTCCCTTCCAAAGATGGCCGGGCTAGCATTCTACAATGGTGAACAAGGTACCGGCATATATAGACTTAACAACACAATCAACGCCTTGAGATATATGGTCAGGTGGATTTGCACTACTCTCGGAACGAGAACTACTGATGTGGCGCAGATTTTGGGTGGTACCATTCGTGGAGCGCACAAACGTAGTATCGTCAATACACCTCCCGAATTCCGAAGTATATCTGGACCACATGAGCTTCGGAGTGTCGTTTGTACCGAAACACATGGGCCCAACTTGAGCAAAGTGTCGAGAGTGGCGGAAACTCGCTGCAGAACCATGGTCTGAAATATGATCAGAAGTCAGATATCAATCCCATAATGCTGAATCGTTTTGGCCACAAGCCATCAATCCATACACACTGTTGGTTGCGCAATTCATCCCGTATTTCATTTTCAAAGCTAGTTCCATTATATTTATAGGGTCCCGATCGCTAGTCTATGGACTAGCCGGGGGGTAATGTACTCCACCGCATGTAAGCTCGAATTGAATACGAGATGTGCAAAGAAAGAGCTCCCTGATTGGCCACCGCTAGTGTTTGCTGCATGCTGTCGCCCGTTGACTGAGTGAAGGTTGATGAGTTTACCCCAGTCGCGCAACACTTTCAGCAATTGTTCAGAAGTTGAGGGGTGATGGTGCAGCAATTTGCTCGTGTGAGATTTGTGACAGACATGGCGAATACGAGCAGCAAGCGTATATAAAGAGGTATTACTGCTTCAAAAATGGCAGTGTAGCAATCGATCAAGTCTCTTCGGCAGTAGAAATGGCCTCCTTAATCTTCTTCGGCATTTTCCTTGGTCTTGTAGCCGAAACATCTGCAGGTCGAAACCATCGTGCGCTCAACAGCGGCGAGTTTTCTCTCGCTCTATCCGCTCAAGGATACCCCAGTCTCTCCTTAAATGCCGTGCCTGGACCACAGGCTGATACCCTCTCGCTCATCTTTGAACGTCAAGCAGCATATCCTGGAACTCCCTGTTACACGAATTCCACATATCTCGACTTTGATGTCGGAGACACACAACCTTTCGCCATGTACGTTCCTCAAGTAGGTGATGATTATGGGCTGGCGGTACCAGTTCTTGCGAATCTTGGACAGAAGAATGGTAGAGCGGGTTTTGTCCTGGCTGGTGGACAGTTGGCACCCCCGCTGGATAGTGGAGTAGAAAACTTTTTTGCTTGCAACGGAACTGTCAACGGAGAGGATGCTTTGGTGTTGAATTTTGGGGTGTTCAATAGTGATGGAACTTCTCCGACAGGGTGTGTAGCGGCAACACTCATTCAGAATGATAACGTAGATAATTAGTCTTGGCGTCAGCGAGCTTCAGGGCCCAGAGACTTGAGGGCTTATAGCCGGTGGGGTTTGAAAGGCTTGGATGAGCCGCGAAGAGGTTCGTAAAGATCTGCGGTGGAGGTTGGTTGGTGAAGTTTGGAAGCTCGAGTGGATGGTTGGAAAACGTCTAGCTGTTATAGCAATCTATAAAATGAATTTGAATATTGTTGCCAGACTTGAAAAAGACCAGTAGTAGAAATTGTTATAAGACGAGAACCTGACCAAGATCGAAGGTTCAAGAGATCTTCGATAGCAAAGCGGGGGCAGATAAACCTTGGATCTATCGCAGAGAGCGAATCGGGAAGCCCCGAGGAATCTAAAGGTCTTCTAGTGCGGGGCGGGACGGGGTAAACTGTCGTGCTTGATCTGAGAAGCTGTGGTAGGGAGTCGGAGGCGGGGTATATTCTTGTAACTGTCACAAAAAGGTGTTGGTTAGGCGGGTAGGGAGGATTCATAGGCCTTCGGGCATAGAAAGGAGGACATTCCGCCGTCACAAAGCCGTAAAATCTAGCGAAAGACATTAGAACCAAGCTTGAGAGCCAGTAAAGAGAGCAATTGGCCTTTAGAACTGAGGATGATCGTGAAATTGACTAATCGTGCATTGGAAGAGCGGCTGACGGAGAGTCCCAAGAGAATAACTTGAGATTTGCTCCGTATTTGACCTTAATCTATAAGCAGTTCATCAGTTCAGGGGTTCGTAATGTTAGCAATAATTGTGGCGGCGTGCGGACTCAAGATTATCATGAAGGCTGAAGCAGGCTGAGGGAGTCGTGTTAGAGGGCTGATGAGTTGAAACGATTTTCGCTCGAAATTCGAGGCTTTTCGCGCAAAAATCCATCAAGACAACAGGAATCCAGTGAAGCGATCTAGTTGATCTGCTTTACCATATTTGACAGCCCTACTTTGGTTTGAAACTCTATTCAGAACCATTGAGAGAGCGTGTCGCGTTAGGAGAATTGAGGAAGAGTGGAAGGAGGATAATATGGCGTTTGCTCCATATATGAAGTTGTTTCGCAAAGAATTGGGTCAAAATAAAGGGGTAAATTGATAAGTTGATCTTTTTGCGATGCTCAATCGAAATTCAACAGCCACAACTTCATTTAGTGATGAATAACATAATCCATTGAAGATCTTTGGGGTCATACAAACAAAGGTCATTGGGGTTGACAAAGAAATGGGTGTCTACAATGTAATGATGGTTCAGGTTGGTGCACGTAGACAGATATTTGGTTACCGGAGCTAGAAAAGTTAGGAAAAGCTCGGGCCATCGGGCCATCATGCCACCCAACTCATCATTCACAAGAACTTACAGTAATTGATCAATATAAAGGATTTCCTTCTGGTATATAGACATAGTCCTCAAGGAGCCTTGCTCTTTGATACCTTCACCCTCTTCATCAGCACGTCTCAAGGAAAAAGGAAATTGGATACAAAGAAACCTCATTGAAATTGGTCACATTCTGAACTTGGCACAAGGTTTGAACAGCTGCAGTTATACTCGAGTACTCTTTTCACTTTCATATCATATTATATCAACTTTATAACAAGAGTAATAGCAATTTTTTGATATTGCGGAATTCGGATGCTCTCGTCTTCTATTACCTCCCCAAACCTCTCCACCAAGACGATACAAAAAAACCGGAAAGATATGTATGTCCAAAATGCAATGACTAACCGAATTCTAGTACTTGATGCGAGAAAGGACATGTCGCTCTCCTCCAGCCAGCTGAGGAAGTGTTTGATGGAAATCGAGGTGTAAACGGTAATCAGAGACAAGCCTGAAAGGCGAGCCTCTTCAGAGTGCAAAGAGGGTATTTGAAAGGCCCCTCTTGGATTGCAGGGGGGTGGCTAACCTATTCATCGTTCGTGGGCTGTTCAACGAAACCGTTGGCGCTTGCTCTGTTTTTTTCGACCCTTTCGACCCTTAGGTCGGCGGGTTGGAGGCTTGTCCGAAGCTTTATCAGCGCTTGGTGGGGCCGGTGTATCATCGTCAAGGTTCAAGTCAGGAATTTCACTTTGAACATGGTCAAGTGAATGGTCCACCACGATGAAATCACCTGTTTTATCTGAAGCCAATGATGACCGGCAAGACAATGCAGGAGAATTCTGCGGGGCAGCAGAAGCTGCGGAAGCCATATCAGGGCTGGTAGGTGGCTGAGAAACCCGACGACCCTGTTGCATGTTGTGTGCATCAAACGTAGATTGCTGCATATGGAGTCGATCTGCAGTCAAAGGATCACCAGTTGTAACAGAAGCGGAAGTAGCTGGAGATGAATCCAGCTCGGCAGTTGTCAAAGGTCGGCTAGAGAGGTCCTCCGTTCGCGTAAATCTAGCTGGAATATCCGATCCAGCGCTACCATCAGAAGTATAATCGTCTTCAGATTCTTCATCCTGACTTCTGTTTTCCACTGCCTTATGAGGACTTTTGTCTCCCGTCTGTACACGCGAAGCCTCTTCTTTTCGCACCTGCCTAGATACCGTCTCTTGTTCCTGTCTATCATCTTTCTCGCTGTTGTCTTCTACATCACCATTAACCACACTGCTATTACCAGCCGCTCGGGACCGTAGAATATCAATACACTGTTGTATGCGCTCACGTGTTACGTTATGAGCTCTAATTTGAGTTGTTTCGCTGGAGTCATCGACGTGTTGGGTCGTCTGCGAGATATCACTGGTATTAGTATCGGACACACGAAAGCGTGTATTGTTTCTGTGGGGAGGCATGGCGAACGCTTGATTCCTTCGTCGATCTTTTTAAGTTTCTGTTGTTTGACAAGCTATTGTTTGACAAGCTGTTGTTCTGTGCCCACATCAAACTTAGACAATGACAAAAATCGTGTGATGTGGTGGTAGGCGTGGACAGCGGCGCAGGACAATGACTCTCGGGTAAGCTGTGAACTGGGGTTGGGTGTTATGATGAGAATCCAAAAATTGTCTGTCTGCGTGTCTTGTATGGTATTGCGATATGTTGCAAACCGCAGAATACCGAGTAAGCGAGTGTCGATCGTCGTATTTCGTCAAGCCAGAATGCTTCTTCTGTTGAATAGAAGGTAGAAGCTCCTGAGGGCTCACCTCAGGGATGGTCGGAGTTGCGGCAGTCTTAAGAAGTGCAGACCTCGACGTGTTCTTCCTCGGTGGTCTTTGCAACACAGGCTCGAGGAGCACCTTTCGAGTGATGGGAAGTGCTCTTCCAATTGCCAAGTCTGACAACCGTTTTCTTCTCGGTATTTGATGAGCTGTCTCTAGATGGCGCGGGACAATTGCAGAGATTCTGTGCCCTTACGTGCGTTTATCTTCACGGTGAAGCTGTTGCTTTGCTGGTGTTGGGTTCGGAGGAAGCACGGAATGGAGCGTTTGCTTTGACGGGCACCGCGAACAATAGAAGTCGGATTTGCCGAGTCTAACAATTGTTTTCTTCTCAGTATTTGACGAGCTTTCTCTAGATGGCGCGGAACAATTGCAGAGATTCTGTGTCCCTACGCGCGTTTATCCGTCACGGTGAAACTGTTGTTCTGCTGGTGTTGAGTTTAGAGGAATCGGGGAGTGGAGCGTGTGCTTTGATGGGCACTGCGAACAAGAGGGGAAGAGCTCTTCCAATCACTGAGTCTATTAACTGTTTTGTTCTTGGCATTAGATGCGCTGTCTCTAGATGGCGCAGGATAATTGCAGAGGTTCCTTGCTTTTGCGTGTGTTTTTTATTGTGCTGGTGTTGGGTTCGGATGAAGCAGGGAATGGAGCGTGTGCGTTAACGGGTATTGCGAACAAGAGAAGATGTCGATAGGGGAGAAAGCAGATGTGGTGTAAAACAAGACCTTGTGATAGACCTGCAAACTCTGAAAAGGGTTTTGAAATTTAGTTCGGCTCCCAATATCCAGATGATATTCTTCGTCGTCTTGTCTTCCTTTGGTGCGGGTCTCCGCTCGAGTTTCAATCTCGGGACGGAGATCGGGATTTCGTATAACCCTCTCTCAATAGAAACCACGTAAAGGCTGTCGATTGGCAATTTGGAGATTTTTGGATTGTCTTGTGAGAACTAGTGTCTCAGCTTGGTCGTCAATCGTCGACTTGTTATGCGTAGATATGCTGGTCAACGGTATAGTAAGTGCGTTCAAAATCCTGAATGAGTGATGGCGTTCGGTCTAGGCTATTAATTTTTTGCGGAAGGATTATTATTCGCGTCGGAAGATAGGAGGGATCGCGGTGGCAGTGCTGTGGCCAGTATCAGTATTACTGTACCTTCATGTGATTGTGATGAATCAAAATGGGAACTGACTCACAAATAGGTGTCGATGGGATCTGGTGGAGGAACAGAGCTTGGTTGAATCTAACGTTGTTCTGGAAAGAGATGAGCTTTGTGTTTGTTTATGTTGATGTGTAGAGTAGACAGTTTCAGTATAAAGAGTTTATGTATAGCTTACAGAATAAATTTGAATTGTCATGGGAGGGTTCTCTTTGAAAAAGTTTAGATTTGAGTCAGAGTTCAAAAAAATGGTGAGTCAAGCAAGTGTACCGATGTGCTCTAATTCTCAAGTATCTTTCAATATTTTTCTGTGCTCTGGAAGGCTCCGGACACTAAACTGTATATTTCTTTCATAGTGGAAAACTTAAAAACTTATTTAAATTCGAGTCATTCTCCCAGAGTACTACTACAATAGATTCTCGAATCTGACTTGAGTACATTTCTCTAAAACCCCTCCTTATTTACGCGAGCCGACTTTTCCTAAACGTTACTTTATTTCTCCCGAGATGTTTTTGGCTATTCAAAGAACTAAAAAACAGTGATCTCGTTTCTTCTGATTTGTTTACATTATTTAAATAGCTTTTGACAATATACAAGATGGTATTTATATTGTCCTTGTGGTCATTGATTACCAATCTACCATAGATTATTCTCCTGAAGAATCCCACTAATAATATTTCACCCATCTTTTTTTAGTTCCAATATAATACAGTCCAATTTTCAAAAAGCAACACAAAAGTGAACAGCAGAATTTGTACCTTTACTGTATCAACAAACAAGACATGACAGCTAAGACCAAAAGATATTCTTACAAGATGGTATGTTTGTTGTTCTTATCATTCCTATGCACTGTGTCTTTTTAATTGAAAGTCCTAGCTAACAAATCGTAGTCATCTTTCTGCGTCATCCACAACAATACAACATCTCCATCACTACGAAATCAAAAGAAATTTTCAAAGCATAGATGTAGCAATAATCTCACTCTTCGATTATCTCAACCACAAGATCTTCCTTGTGCCCAATCTCTGCGGCTTACGCACCTTTTTACACGCTCGATCTTTGCACTCATTCTACTTCACGCAGTTTTCTGATCGGTCAGTAAAAGAAAACATTCATTTGCCTCATAATTAACAACAGTTTTCTAACAATAATCAGCTAGTTTTGTGATGTACGGAGACTACACAAGAGCTTCAGATGATTCGCACTGAAAATTGCGACTTTTATTATGCCTCTTTCAAACATCCTGAACCTTCTGTTTTCAAGCCCGTTTTCAAGCCTCTACACCTCACTCAAGCTTCCCATCAGAATCCAAGAAGGTTGTTATCCACAATGTCTCACTACAATCGGATTATATGGTGCTTAGTCTGTGCAATCAACTGTTTCGCCATGCTCGCAGAAGGATGAACAGACAATTTCTGCTTCTATCGATGCAGCTATTATATCTGCAGGAGCATATCTCCAATCAAGTAAGTTTCCATCCGAACAGTATCGATATTGGCATCCGCTACCAATGAATCATACTGACTGTGCTTAGCAGCGATAATATCAGCCCACTTACCAGATCATCAACTACAACGTTCGCTGAGCCACCAAGCTCGATGACTCGATCTTTGCTTGTTGCCAAGACCGACGACTAAGTCTATTCACTTGCGTGACTCAAATGATTCAATGATGGTGTCCGAGCGAAGGCTTTGCTAGCAAACTTACTACGCGGTAGAAACTATTTTGTCACCGTCAAAGGCAGACGAAATCGCCGACTATTCCCACGAGCAGTTTCTCCATATCGGTGTCACATTTCCTCCGACAAGTTAACACACATATGCGAATGATGATCAACAATAACTGCAGAAGGCCCTTGATATTATCAAAGATCCTAATCTCGGGAGAAAGCATACCGAAAACGAGCGCAAGCTGTTCGAGGGTCGCTGTCGCCAAATAAGCATGTTCATTATAGGCGTTTCAAATTCGATGTCTAGTAAACAACCCTTTGCACATGGCTCTTGTACAAGACTTTCGTCTGCTGATGAGCTTGGGGCTTCGACCGATAAATCTAATAAACTAGACGATGATCACGAAGAAAGCGGCGAACCTGAAATCCCCAGCAGATCGATGCTGGCATTGACGCAGACATGAAAGATGCAACATTGGCTTGTTCATTTGGATCAGGTTATGGCATTCGATTTCGGCATCTCATACCCAGGATCATACGCGGACGATGAGTGCCAGAGATGTGAAGTGCGCATATCGACTCCCCAGTTCTCGCCAACCATTCAGAAAATTACCTACCGATGGGCTTTCTGCCAGCGAACATATCGCGACTACATATGGAAACCATGGGACCGGGGATACTTATCTCCAACTAGCAGAAAATACTGGTGTGGAGAGGCTTTGCCTTCTGCCATAATTCAGACTGTATTCGTCATATAAATGAGTCTGAAGGAAGCTCAATGGACCTCCCAAGGTCAATGGGAGCGTTGGGAGCGCAAACGCCGTGACAAGCTTCACCGTGACAATCTTCTCCAGAATTCGATAAGTACGGACGCCAATAGCAGTATTGAAAATATGGGCGCGATACTCCTGCTGCATATATCATATATTTCGGGTGCAAATTGGCTCCTGGCCAACAGGATAAATCTTTTGAGCACACGCTCACTTTCTTCTTGCTCCGAAGAAGAACTACTTTCCGGATTACTTTCCGGATTACGAAGGTGGTGATGACTAAGTCTTGAATAGATTCGCCAGTTTCGATGAACTTCCTGCTCTAAATGGGAATGGAGATGCTCCTGCTGTATATATCTCGGTCGCGCATTAGCTCTCAGCCACCAAGATAAACTTGTTGAGCATAAGCTCACTTTCTTCTTGCTCCGATGAAGAACTACTTTCCGGATTACTTTCCGGATTACGAAGGTGGTGATGACTATATCTTGAACAGATTCGCCAGTCTAAACCTGGTTTCTCTCAATGGGAATGGAGATACTCCTGCTGCATATTGGCTTCTGCTATGTAGGATAAACTTCTTGAGCACAAGCTCACTTAGCGACAGCTAGGCACTGGCCTGTGATTACATCTTCAACAGATTAGTCAGTCTGAACCAGGTTCCTGCTTTCGTGCGGAGCGCGATACTCCTGCTGCATATGTTATGTCTCGGGTGCCTCGGGCAGTACAGGCCCAGAGGGCATGATTATTGTCCCAGAGCTCCAACACAGCTCTCCTAAGCCAGAGGGTGCGTGTGCGTGGGCGCGAAGATCGTCTCCGTAGGGGCGGGGTAAGGGTTACCTGCCCTTAAGTCAAGCTTTGGCTGCTCTGCGCGAACCCCTCCCCATCAGATTCACAGCCGAGGCGAGGGCACAATTCGCTGCTCGAAACTCGGCTGTGCTCTTGCGCCTTTCGATTGGAATGATATAGAAGGTAGCAGACGGCCATGTGTTTCTTCTGGAGTATTGGGAGGGGGGACGCCTCCGTAGGGGCGGAGCAAGGGTTACCAGACCCTAAGTCAAGCTTTAGCTGCCCTGCGCGAACCCCTCCCAGTTAGAGTCACAGCCGAGGCGAAGGCTCAATTTGCAGCTCGAACCTTGGCTGTGCTTCGTTTGCGTCTTTTGATTGAAATGATATAGAATGCAGCAGACGGCCATATGTCTCTTTTGAAGCATTGGGGAGAGCGGGGGGTGAGGCTGGCGACAAAGCTCAGTCGAGAGATAGAGACGACAGTACTTCAACTGAGGAATTAGTCGATGAGGTTATGGATGATGTTGGGATTGAATAGATTGCAGCAGACGGCCATATGTCTCTATTGCAGCATTAGGGGGAGGGGGGTGTAGGGCTGGCGACGAAGCTCAGTCAAGAGATAGAGTCGACAGTCCTTCAACCGAGGAGTTGATGGATGAAATCATGGATGATTTTGGGGAACTAAGATCCATTACTGGGTAGTGAGAGATGGAGCTGTTGGCACGTGTTTTTCCGGTTTATCGATGTCATATCTTATGTTAATTACTCACTTGATTTTATGTACATTTGCTGTAATTTCTTACATTACCAATGCATTTTCCGGCGAATATCTTACTACTGTGTTCTGTGAATATGGATGTTTGACTAGGTATATAACTATTTTTCTATCGATCCCTGGTATTGATTGATAGGTCCTCCACAAGATCCTTGAAATATGTAATGGGTTGAGGGACGTTGCTGTCAAGAATCTTATCAGGCCTAGAACACCTTTCTGTCAAGCTGGAAATATGTGCTAAACGCATGATGCCTATTTTTTGTCGATAATAAACCTTCTCAATTGTTTCCATCCATAAGCCTTCAGACTGCTTTCAATCAGCATCCACAATAAGAAGCAAAGTAGCTTTGTTAGTCCTGGTGATTATGGCGCGGAGTCTCTATGGGTCTATCCCATATGTGACTCTTTTCCCATTGTCTCTTCAAAATCCACACCAAGTTCTAAGCCTCATCGGAGAGTAAACAAATACGAGTATCATGGGAAGGTAATCGAGTATCGAGTTCTGCATGACATTCGGTTTTCACTTTATATACTAATTGACACTCAAAAGAAGCTAAAGTATGTGAGAAGGTGGACAAATGATGGGAGGAAATTGGAGGTATTCGTAGTGGGACGTAGTAGTTGCTTCATTGGGAATTGTAGTAACAATTCTCTGTTAATCAAGTCAGATAATTGTCACTGCAAGTTTTAGTATCCTCCATCTATTATCCAAGTACTAGCACCATACCTGCTCCCGTGCTAAATTGCTTTTCGATGATCTTCTGCCACAAAAGGTAGAACTTTTCACCCTCATTATACTGATTTTCATCGATTCACACCCATGTTTCCTTCTACTTCCAAGACCCACAAACCGCCATGTCAACTAGCCTCGCTTGAACCCCTAGGAGAATATAATATTACAAACACTCGAAGGTCGTCTTCTTTTCCATCTAAAGATCTCACTGCTGCATCTGCACCTTTTAGATTACTTGTTCAATCATCATCAGATATTTGAATATGAATCTTCCGCGAAAAAGGAAAATGAAAGTTGATTGGCCATGGAATGTCGTGAGCGCAAAAAGCTTATGCTGAGTGTACCATACAGTTACATTGATAGGACTATAATCAAATCGACACAGAAATGAGTATCATCATTGTCGCATGTAATATCGAGGGAATGTAAATAGGTGAGTGTGAAGTGTGATCCAATCTCTAAATTTGGAAAGGATCAGTATGCCAAGGAGTAAATTTGTGCAACTCGACTTCAGTGATGATCACGAATTATAAGACTCAGCTCAATTCAATTCAATGATTTCGCGTACAATTCTTTTCTCGCAGGACAGGGAGGTGAGAGAAAAGCGACGATGAATTCTTTCAATGATCTTGTACGAGTTACCGTGTACGCTGCTTGTTTGTAGCTGCACAATAACCTCGAATCTTCCAAACCGAGCTTAAGTAATTGTTAAACCTAAACACCTAATCACCTAACACCTAGAACCTAATCAAAGCTATGATAATGGTTCCTTATACCAAAAAATTCTCTCTTTTGCACTATCATTTCATCTCTCCAACCCCCTATATATATAACCGATTCTTCCAACTCCAACTCCAACCATCATCTTCTTATTCCCCTCTTACCTAATTCCTTTATAAGATTTCATTCACCTATATGATATACCTATATGTATGCGCATATATGAGCACAATTTCAAACACCCATCCATCCATCCATCCATTCAATTGGACCACATCTTCCCGCCAAGCGAATCTCCAGCCACAATTTCTCCATCAGGTAATCTAGCCGGAATCCTACATCGCCAAGACAGGAAGGCTGCTGATGAGCATGTTTTATATGGTTGACCTTTTTCTGGTGTTCTTGACTGATTTTGTGAAAAAGGGATTTTGGAGAGTGAATGGAATACTGATATGGTACGATGAGATGGGGGTTGTGGTGACATTGAGCAGATTATGAGGGAATTAGGTTGGGTGCCCTACTGTATTGATGTATATTTCTGTATACATACATACAATATTTGGAAATTTTTCCACTTTGGAATACTTTTATAAATAATATCGATCTCTCTTAGATTCTTCTTTTTAACTTTTTGATTCTTAAAAGTTTTGTTTCGTACGGAAGTACTACTACAGCCTCTTCAATCCTCAAAGAGAATCAAACATCTAGATCACCGACCGCTAAAGATCAATCAGAAATGACTACCATCAATATCCTCCTCCTCTTCTCATTCCTCTCCTCCATCGTCTCCGCGCACTTCTCACTTGAGTACCCTCCTGCGCGCGGTGATTCCTTCCTTCCACCTGCTTCTCAATGGGAATATCCGTGTAACTCCCCCCTCATTCGCCCTCCACCCCTTCACCCCAAAATCTCCCTTTTGCTGATCTCTAACTAATTCCTAATGTCTTCTCTCAGGCGCAAACATAAATACCACTGAAAACCGCACCTTGTACCCCACTACCTCCTTCCCTATCTCCCTTGACCTACATCATAAATGGACCTATATATTCATTAATCTCGGTAAATATTCTTTTCCTCCACCTTTTCTCCTCCTTTCCCTCTACCCCCTCCTACTCCTCCCCCCAATTCCCCACTCCTTCCCAAACTAACCCCACCCCATGCCTCGGCATAAACGGCTCATCCAACCTCAGCATCTCCCTGACACCCTCTCCCCTAAACTCCACTGGACCAGGCTATCTCTGCCTCTCGGACTTCCATCTACCATCTGATCTCAAACTTGAAAATGGCATGAATGCTACGATCCAAGTTGTTACTGTTGGAGAAAATGGTAGTGCGCTTTATAATGTAAGTTCTTTTTTTTACTCGTTCTCTCCTTCACAAGTTCTCCTTTTTTGTCACACCTTTCTCCTTCCCTCCCTATCTTTCCTTCGCTTCTCCCCTCTATTTTATCTTCCATCTTCCATCTTCCATCTTTACATCCCGGCATCCCGATATCCCAATATCCCAATATCCCTTCCCAGCTCTCGAAAAACCACACAGGAACAATCCCAGAAACTAGCAACTAACCAGCCTTCCAAAAAGTGCGCAGATATAACCTTCTCCAGCAACATCACCGCACTACACTCCTCAGATAATTCGACCCAATGTCCCACCACCCCCGGTATCACCGTTGACACACTTACCGAAACATCCAATTCCAACTCCACAATCACAACCTCCAGTCCCGCCACTACCAGCACCTCAAATGGATCCAAGAGTGCTGGGATCTCCCTCAGCGCCGCGGTTGTCTTCTTGGGTGCATTGGGAATCGCTAGTCTATTAATCATCTAGCGGTTTGACTTGTAAAGAAACGGATAGTAACCCAATGGGAGAGAGGTTACGTGTTGATGATATACAAGAGCATTTCAATACAGGATAGGGGACGTAGCATAAGAAGAACATACAGGGTTTGCTTCACAGCAAAGCGTCCCAGGCTTTACTCTTCATTCTTTCCAATCCTAAGTGATCAACAACTTGTCCCAAATGATCCACGCCCCAGAATCCCTCGGGTTTGCCGGCGGCATTCGTGCATACCATCCACTACATTTTTTCTATATTAGCATATGTTCATTCCCTTGACATCTTTCCCATCCCCTCGAATTTCCGCAGTACAAACACCAAAACAAGTACTCACCGGCAACCCAAACGCCCCCTCCTCAAGCGCCCTCGCAGTATTTCTTTCCACCCCTTCCTTTCCCTTCCCCGGAATCTCTTTCAACACCCCCTCCGTCTTTTCCTCTCCAATCACATCTCTCAATACCTCCTCCAACACCCCCGCACCCGAGATATCCTTCCCCTCGACCCAATAGATTTCATAAAATCGATCCAGACATTTACACAAAACATCCCGTTGCTCATTCTTCTCCGGAAACAGCAATGGTAAAACACACAATGCCTGTTGAATCCTCAATGTGAGATGTGGAAAGCCTTCAGGAATAGTGCGGGATATAGGGATCTTGAAGAACGCTGCACAGCGGAGACGTTCCTTGTCGATCCATTTATCTTTATCTGAAGGATGGTGTTAGAATTGGTATTGTGACGGCAGAGATATGAGAGAGAGGCAGGAAAAGTCTAAGAGGACACACTTTTTATTTTGAGGGGTGGAACACCGCCAACTTCTTTTATTATACCAAATAAAGACACAGGTATATATTCGATATCGACGTTTGAGAATATGGGATCATTCTAGGGAAAATCTTGCGTTAGCTTTTTCTTTTTTCGTCTCACCCCTTTCCTCTGATCCATGCCTCCCCTCCCTCGCTCTCCTTCGCTCTAATTCCAAATCTCTAACCTCTCAATCCCTCACCCCCTCACTCCCAAGTCTCACTCTCTCCCTTCTAATCCCCTCTAATCCCCTCCTCATCCTCATCCTCATCCTCATCCTCATCCTCATCCTCTCTCCCCTCTTCTCTCTCCCCTCTGATCCCCTCCCTTCATCCCCAACCCCCTCATCCCATTATTCCCTTGTCCCATCCCCTCTCCTCTCTCCCCTCTTCCCTTCCCCTCTCCCCCCCTGCCTTCCCAACCGCCACACAACTCCAACATCCCAACATTCCATCAAAACAAAACAAAAAAAACCCCCACCAACTCACCTCAAAACCCAATAAGCCTCATAAACAAACGGACTAACCGTATCAACAAACAATGTGATTTTCGATCCATCTTCTTTCCAACCCCATCTTTCTTTCTCAATCCCCTTCCCTTCCTTTCCAATCCCCTCCCTTCTCTTCAATCCCCTTCCCTTTCCTTCCTTTTCAATCCCCTCCTTTCTCAATCCCAATTCCTTTACCCCGTCAAGTTCCCTCTCAATCACCACCAAATACCTACCCCGTATCTATTACCGTACCGGTATCCTCTCAAAATCCTTGTACTGTTAATGTAAGTATGTAAGTTAAAAATCCTTCCTACCAAAGTACCAATAAATATCAATGAATAATTATACTGTAATATCGACATCGATATACTGTAAACATGATCATGTTAGCCCTGGTAGTGACAAAGATGCCCACTTCCCCCACTTCCCACCCCACTCACTCCACTATACTTCATATACATACCGGTAGTACATCGGTTCTCGGAAAAGCATCAGTCAAATGCATACTAGCGTCTGTAGATCTGAACTTCCGAATATCCAACTATCCCATTATCAAAAAACGTGAATTGTAAACATAATCATAATCATAATCATAATTCATTCTATCTGGGTATCAAAGTGTGCTAGGTATCGTATCGTCTCTAGGGTAATCGCAACTAAAATCTACCATAATGATACAAAACAATTTCATCCTCACCCCCATCCCTATCCCTATCTCAAAAGCAACCTCGCATTCCCGTTGTGCGTGCCATGAGATGAGTCCTCCAATAAACACCTTCCTCCCTAATGATACTGCGTGCCCTCATTTCCAGACCCAATCCCCAAATGAAAAGCAAGTGGCGGAGCCGAAACCCAATCCCTTTTCCGTATCACACGTGACCATCTATTTCTGACTCTTCTTTCTCGCTCTCATGTTCGACAAAGTATTCATCTTGCCCGATTGTCTCCCAATTTCCACACACAAGAAACGGATAAAATCCCGATTGTTCCAATAACTGCTATGAGCCGACAACATGTCAATATACTGATTCGCCAATATGCCCGGACGATTGCCCAGAATCCAATCTACCTGACCATTCTCATTCAACTGGCAAAATTTCTTTTCTGCCATTTCCTCGGCTGTGAAATCATGAACCTCCATCTCCATTTGAGAAGGCATCTTAGTTATCGTAGCAGGTCTAGACATTTCTCCCACGGGGTTGTCATCATTTTGAGATATGCCAGCCGCAGACTTCATTGCGTGGCTCACAGTTGTCATGAAACTGCGTGAAGAGTCTGGTACTTCTGCTTGTTTGAGACCTACGCCGTATCTTGCATCTACGCATGCATTCAAACGATATGCGATAGGATCGTTACAATGCATAATGTTGTAGAGGTTGTCTATTGCCAAGCAGCCAAATGTACCCGCATCACCGAAAACATCTTTACTGCTGTCGTTTTCGCTTTCGCAGCCAGGCTTGTCAATACCCTTCCTAGGCACTAATGATTTGCTTTCGAGTAGGAGAAAGAAGGCACATGGGCTGCCGGCGAGGAAGCAATTAGTCGTTTGAAAATCGAAGTACTTGTAATTAGGTCTCCATGAAAGCTCGGCTGCTAAGGTGGTGGGCTGCTTGCTCAATACTTCCATGACCATAACACTACCAAGAGAGTGCGAAATGAGGTGAACTCGACCATCTTTGTGAAAGCCCGGATTATTTTTACACCAAAGACGGTATATGCGGTTGGCTTCGGCGATCAAAGCTGCAATCATCTTGTGCTTGTGTCCGGACATGTAGTACGGAATATCCAACATCACATCCGAGATGAGTTCGCGGACTCTTGGAATGGTCGGTTGAGTGATATCATTTAGTGTGAAATCACAACCAGCACGGTCCTTATCTCCAGGCTTTCTTGGCCCACCGTCTTCAAAAGAGAGATTCGCGCGCCAATTGACAGGGAGCATCGTAACGCCAGTGAAGTCTTCTCGAAGTACCTTCTTCACATCGTCGTTGGTAAATTCGCGCTTCATCTCGCACCGGAAGCTATTGACCGCATATGTGAAATTAAAGCTCTCCATGCGCTCTGAAAGTTTCTGGCCAATGCCATGAACGACCAGGCACAGGTCAGTCACTTTTTCGGGCTCATCCTGTAACTTGCATGCCGGGCATGCATCCCATATATTATAGCCAAGACTGTTGTGCTTCGTAGACTTGCTGTATTCTTTCGTAACGGCAGTGAACTTCTTTGGAGGGTAAAGCTTATTCCAAGCCTTTCGGTCAAATCCGCGAACGACAGCTATGCCGACACATGTACCGTTTCTGATCTTAGTGAGAGGTCTACGTCCGTAATAAGTCGAAGGACAGAGACTGGGCTTCAAAATGAAGGCCTCCTCGGAATTCTTGTAGATGACTTGTGAATTTGGATACTTTTTGCTAATTAAAGTGGCTGCAGTTGGTTTTGCGTCTGACTCTTCGACCTTTCCCTCTGCGGCAGCTTCACCAGAGAAGCAACGCGCGGCGCAATAGGGATCTGTAGAGAGAATATGCTCGGAGGGTTCATAGTTCGGCGATTTGGAATCCTTTTCTTTTGGCCAGAGACGATGAACAATCTTCTCTTCGCCCTCAGGGCCAACGTCTATCGCAGAATTGAGTTGATCGTCCCATGTCTGGGACCAGCATTCATTCTCTCTATACCCCTTCTCAAGCTGGTTGGCAACTGCTGGCTCGACAGGACACATAGTATCTTTATAGAACCAGGTACCATATATGCAGGGGTACTGATCGTTGACAGGTGACCAGTAGATTGGCTTTAACACCAGACACGGCAAAGTGACCAAATGTAGTCTGGAAGGTCCGACAGGGATGTCAGGTTGGCACCTTGCATGCTCCTTGTGCTTGTAAGCTTTGCACCCTTCAACTTCCATATCCTCTGTAGAATCACGTTCGTGTGATTTTCGAGGATCAGTGATGGGTTCATCATCACATGCTAGGCTATCCTGAGGCGCATAATTTTCACCACGAGCGGGCAATTTCACAAATGGCTTTCCGGTTGTACCATATCCAGCAGTTTGTCCGCCCTTAATAGGTTTATTGCCGCCTCCACCTCCAGCTACGGGCACAATGGTTTTGGATGTTTGTATATGAGGTTCGCAGATGCAGTCGTCATTCGTAGCATCCCCTTGATTTAAACCCGTGTGGCATGAAGGCAGGTCTTCGTTCCAGTCGTCGTATAATCCATCATCTTGATCGGCCGTACCATCTGCCTGTCGTCTACCAAAGAACTTTCCTTTGCCTTTGGAATTCTTGCTCGTCGTAGCTGTCTTTGGTTCCACACATGTATGAACCTCAGGCTTATCAGGAATATGCTGCCCTGGAACCTGTCTCTCTGAAAGGTGCCTATCATTGTGTATGGGTTCGTCGCAGCAGCTTCCAAATCTGGTTACGGATTCGGACTGATCTTGCTTGGAAGGACTTTCGATCTTGCTCTCATCGCAGCAACTTGGAATTCTAGTACTTACTTCCGTGTCTTTCAACTGATCGGCCCTACTGTTGTCGCAGGTTCCAGAAAAGATTGTTTCGGCTTCGGACTGCTTACGCTTGGAAGAGCTATCGATTTCGGCTTCATGTAGCTTGGAGTCGCCACCTTTACTGTCATCGCAGCAGCTTGGTAGTTTTGAGGCTGATGAAGCCAGGTCACCCTCTTTCTCTCCATGATCAAACCCGGAATCGAAACAGCAAACATCATCCTCGTCCTCAGTTTTGCGGAGAGGCTCCTTCTGAGCTTTTAACTGCTGGTCAAACCAAGCCTTTGTCTCTTTCGTTTGAGCCGATTCACCTTGGTCATCAATAGCAACCCCCTTTTCCTTGTTCTTCGACTTCATTTTGGCAGGCTTTGTTTCCTTGGGTAGCTCAGTATGGATGGCTTGCGGTTTGAGGTCATTTTCAGATCTCTCTCTTTCAAACCTTCCTTTCTTGCAATTGTGCTCCCAATGTTTGGATCGCTTGGCCTCATCAGTACCATCTTGCTTAACCTTCTCCTCGATACATGAACACTCAGGCTGGACATTATCCGGCTTATTTTCCTCGGACTTTCCTCTTCGGTGCTTTGAAGGCTTGAGCGGCTCGGTAGGGCGACTGTGTTCTAGTTTCGGTTCCTCGGATCTTTCGATTTTACGATCTGAGTCTTCTAGTGGTTGATTACACAAACACTCAGGTTCAGTATCTTCCTCTGGTTTAGGTTCCTTTCCAGGGAATATGTGGGGTTGGTGGGTTGCGACCACCACTTCTTGTTGAGCTTTGGGACAAGATGCACATTTGCACTTTCCCGTCTTCTTTCTACACCAGAGGTGGCTTCCCTTGCAAGGGCAAACAATGGTGTCCAATGTAGGTTTTCCCTCATTTTCTCCTGCAATATGTTCCTGGCGACAATTTGCGGCCTCGGACTCGGTTGGCGGTAGCTCCGCTACCGACCCAGTCGTTGGCTGGTAGGTTTCAGGATTGGCTATGGTCGACTTGAAAGATTCCTTGATATCCTTCACCTCCTGCTTGATGTCTTTAACCTCCTGCTTGATCTTGGGTTTCAAACTAGTAACACTAAATTTCTTGTCGGCGGTCGGCTCGACGCCTAATTTAGGCCTGCACGTTCGATTGTGATATCTGCGGTCTCTCTTCGAACCCATTCCTAACCATGATTCCAGAAGTGCCTTGTTGTCGCGTTTTGGGAATGGACGAGGAAGATGCTTGATATTCTTGGAGTCGGCCGTTGGAGGTGGTGCAGCAGTGAGAGGATCATCGAGAGGAAGAGGGGAGCAATAGAAGAATTGTGCTCGCATTGGGGGCATCTCCTCACACGGTTTGCGGACTTGCTCGCTGCTTCTAGGAGGAGCGAGATCGCATCCACGTCCTAAAGTATGAATAGGTTGAGACATGCTGCCTCGTGCTGCCGAGAGTTAATGAGCGGTTTCCGCAGAATGGATGATGGAGTACAGGTAGACTTACTGTTATAACGAAGGTAATAATATTAGGTTATTAAGAGAATTATAGGATGTTGACACTGGTCTGCCAACGTGGTTTCCGTCAAGAAATCAGAAGCAGATATGTGTAGTGATGCTGAGTGGCGGTGTAACTAGTGATGAAGCGTAAAGAATGTAAAGAGAATGATGATGTGGATGGAAGAGAATAGGGAGAGGAAGAGAGAGAAGAAGCCATGAACAATCAAGATTGTCGCTGCCAACGTCAGGCAAGCGCAAGGTAGGAAAGATGTACCTACTGTATTTTCTTTTTGAGAGGCGTGTGAGGCAATTGCGATCTAGACATGTACGACAGACTTTCTGTGTGTGTGTGTGAGATGACGTCGGCTAGGTTACGGGTCGGCGCTTTGGGATGGAATGGGTAACATCACATGCTAGAATTGAAACAACAATAATTTGTGAATAGCTTCATATATTGTGGTATCGTGGTATAAGATTTTTAACATACTACCGACCGGTATTATGTATTTGATAGGGAAAGCTGTTCGTCAAGAAAGTGCGATGTAAGGTACTGAGCCCCTGTAGATAGATATGATATGCTGTGACCCTAGGCATTCACACCTTACCGCTTTGAGGGCCAATCACCATATTTGAGACTGCGCAATCAACGATATGCACGAGATCTTCATTTTACATTTCTTGTTATTCTTCTACAAACGCTCAAGGTTTCCTAATAAAGTTTCTTTATAAAGTTTCCTAAGGTTATTTACTAGTATCGCATCCATCTTCATCATAAATCGAATCATCTCCATAAAATCCCCCTTACACAGAAGACAAGCGGAGTGAACCGGAAACCTCTGGGTGTAAGTGGACTGAGATTGAGATGAACTGACTGGTGTTGCAGCAAATCAGCAAAAAACGAAAGTACAGAAATATCGACATCAAATTTGTATCGCGCAACCAAGATTTTATCCATTCCACGGGTGCATGAACCAATCATGTACAATCGTGAGTCTCAATGTCCAGAGAAAATCCGGTGCAGCGAAGTTCACAAGGCCTCAAATGATATGTACCCTCGCTGGTTTTTGAAATGAGTTTGAGATCGATACAAGACGAACGATTGACCAAATAACATCTGTGCGGCGTAACTAGGCAAAATTGATATGCTAAATGTACCACCACATCATTTAAGGAACGTGGAATGAAAAATGATGATACATATACACAATACACGAAAGCGTACAGATTGGTTAGAGTATCTCATTCGACGTAGTGTTCAGGGACGAGCTTCATGCCTCCATATTGATCATTATGCGAGGTGTTTGTCGACGAATGGGGTTCCCACTGCTGCTCATGACCATTCCGTGAGGTACGAGTAGTTATCTCAACTTTGGCAATGCGAATTGCTTCATTAATCGATAATCGAAGATGCTGGAGACGTAGCATGATTTGCTGCGAACCACCAATGAGCTCCAGTATCTGCTCTACATCAAACACCAGCTTCAAGAGAACAGTATCTGCATTACAGAAAGTGCGGATGGACATGAGGGATGCCACCTGCTTCCAGTTGTAAAGCATAGACGAGATGCGAACCTCATCACCCAGTCGATCGCCGTGGAATCGAAAGTTATACTGGTTGGCAGTAACAAGATCGCGTTGAGTACCTTGGTCGTACATGAATTCAACAACAGCAGGACGGCCCTTGTTCTTCCAGGTGTCCACAGTCTTCTTGATGCTATCGATAGACATTCGACCTTGACTGAACTGGATCATGAGAAACGTATTGGCTGTGTGAACTATCATGAGTTCCAGTTCAACCAAATACCTAGCTTGCTCATACGGGTTAATTGAGATAGACAAAACCGATATCCTGTTTTTGTCGCTTTTCAAATCTGCCTTTTCAGTCTTATATAAAATTAGCAAAGGGGCTGATATGTTGCGGAATTACACTTACAAAGCCTTCGATTTTGTTTTTGATCTTCTCCATCATGCCAGGTTTCTTGGGTTTATCTATCTTTTGGGCGAATTTTGAACTTTGAAGACTGGGTACAATCTCATTGGGCGAGGATCCAAGCCAGCCATGCTCCCCAAACATTTTTTTCATTGGCGAACGCGATCTCTTCTTGGGGGAAATCAGAAGGAGATCCGGACTTTCAAAGTTAGGCTCATCTTGCTCAGCTACATCAACTAAATTCTTTGTGGGCGATCGAGTCATCTGTCGATTAATTATAGTCGAAGCTGAGCTCGCGTACGACTCATTGCTGTGATTGGAATTCGTCTGCTTTCGAACCGGCGCATATGCTGCAGAACGACCTCGGCCATCAGCTAGCTCTTCATCGGATGAGTGTGAAGGCTGTACACGATGGTCACCAGATGTCTTACGCACAGGGGAATGTGACGGTCGTGGATGATCACGCACAGTTTGACGAACCGGTGAGCTTGAAGGCTGCGGAAATTTCTCTCGAGACTCCTCACGAACAGGGAATTGAGATTGTTCAAGAGTAGCAGCACGACCACGGTGGGGTAGACTTTGAGTCGGGTAGGCATTATGGAGGATTGGCGAGATAGAATCGACATCAGTATAATAGGATCGAGAGTCGAGACTAGGATTTTCTTCGTGTTTGGCAAAGCGCAACGGCATCACACTTGGAGATGTTCCACGACGCTGAAGACCATGACCGTGACTTGAGTATTGCGGTGCAGTCAAAAGATCACTTCTGTTTGTCGCATGGCCAACTGACCGTGAATTCTTAATATGTCCAAGACTTGGTGATGATGCAGGTCTGACATCATCGTAAACATGCATGAAGTCGGTCATCGTGGTCTGGTGCGACTCGTCGACAACTAGTGGTGTCTCTGGCTCGAATACGTATGGGTTCTTGAAATTCTCAGTCTTGCGACCATGTGATGAACTAATTCATGTCAGGATGTCTCAATATCAATTTATGATTTGGCTTACCTATTGGCAGACATTTTTTGCACTGGCTGTTGTTGAGGGGAATAAACAGATCCAGGTGTTCCGATCGGAATGAAATCGCCAAAGAGGCCACCGGAACTACCAGAGAGGTAGTATTCTTTGATGTCGGAGACAGTTGAGCGGGCAGTAGTCTCGGGAGTATTTAGTTGATCACTTGACATGTGTGAGACCTTTGTGCTGCGACTGTTTGGTATTGTTGAGTCGTCAGATTGGCTGTCTGGCTTGTGGATGGCAGTTCCTTGGTCAGCTAAATAAGGCGTAGCCTGTTCAATTGAACCCGAACACTCGTGCTTTCGGATCGAAGACGAACGAGGTGGGAAACGCGCTTGTTCGTTGCTGGTGTTGTTGTTGTTTTGGTATTTTGCTCCTTGTCTAAGTTGGACTTGACTTGGTTGCTTGCAGATGTACAAAGGTTGTGGAGGGCAGATTGTTGGAGACTGCAGAGTAGGAAGACGACCTTGATTGAGTTCCATTAAAAATCTTTTCGCCGCTTCGCTTACATGAGTTTCATTGTAAGGTGAATTGCTATTGTAGTTATTGGAGCTATTGTGGAGATTTCTTGGTGTATTGTCGCGAGTCACTTGGTTGGTTGTAATGTTTTGTTTTGGTAAACAAACATCGGTTGTACCGTCAAAAGCCATAACTCGTTTTTGAATCGGTTCAGGCGCATTTACGAGTCCAGGTAGAGATGATTCGCCCGAAGATTCCAAGAAAGTTGAAATGGTTGAGTGCTCATTCGTTTGTGATTGAAAAGCTGGTGGGAATATGGTTGTCAAGGAAATTGAATTTTTTTGACTTCCCGTCTTTGGCAAGCCAAAAGCGGCAGAAGAATCACTTCTTGTCGGCCTACTTAAAAGATATGGACGTTCGAACAACCGGCCCGGCGGCGTCAGATTTACTTCTTCGGACGAAATAGGGAATTGTGGCTTTGTCGATTGAGATCCAGTTAGTTCGAGGTTCTCGATGTCATCTTTATCGGTGTCTACTGTTGGAAACGTCGAATTCTGGTTCGTTGCAGTTTCAGAGCTATGGTATCTACGAACTCCGAAATGATCGACTTCAAAATGAGACGAAATGTTGCCCTCTTTTTGTGGAGTTTGCTGGGTACTTCGTGGAAAACTTCTGTACTTGTTAATGGAATCGAGGGAGAATGGAGGACTGTAGACGGTCGGTGCTAGACGAGATTTCTCCGATTCTTCAGATTCCGAGACAGAGCCTTCAAACGCTGAAGATGGCTCGCTCCATCTCACAAGGTTCCCCCCAGATTTCCGATATTCTTGTTTGTACCGATTTTCCCAGGACTGACATGTACCATCATAACTATTGCGACCTCGAATTCTACGTTCTTCTTGATATGGCTCAGGTCTTAGCGGTGAACTCCCATTCCTAATTGCATTTCCTGGATATTCTGTCGAGCTGTTTTTTCTCTTGGTGATGTTCTTCGAAGGAGGCACATACACAGTGGGATACAGTATTTCTTGCTCTTTGTCTTCAAATAGGTTCGCGTCATGGTTGTCCGAGATAGACAATTTGCTTGACTCGAGGTGTTCAACACAGTCGATATCATGTCCATGATATGTGTTTTTAGTCTGGCAACCGTCTGCGATATTTTGACTGTCCTCGTATGTAAGTTGAGTCGACTGTAGCACTTCACCGATTCCTGAAGCAGGGTATACATCAGAGACATCGTTTTCTGTGTTTTCGATTGACTCGGTGTCCCCCCACTTATAGTCAAGGCCACCATCGAAGAAGTCGCTAGGACTTGCAGGAACGCTTTGATAGTTACTCAAATAAAATTGGAGCGGGTTGTGATAGTCTGTCATGGTTAGAGGGGCATCGGCAACGATGTTCGAGGTGGCTTACTAGGACATCTAGTAACTTCTTTGATCTTCCTTCCATACAGTCTATCGTATACCTCATCAAAGGTGGGTTGACGAATTCCTAGAAGATAATCTGGAGCTGGCTGTCCGCTTTGAATTAACTCGTGTTTTCTCGCAAAATTCGCATTCGGGATTTCACGGCCTGCTGGTAAGTCCACATTCTTCATGGCAAAAATCTTGCTACCACCCTGTCCACCAATCTTTTGCGAAGCTTCGGAACTGGTCGACGCCCTAGCATGAGGAGGCACCTGGTACCTTTCAATGTCTATCAGCTCTACTCGGGCCTGAGAAGCCACATTACCGGGGCTTTCTCTGGTTTCTGAGAGGGCACCCATTACCCTCTGCGCTAACTCTCTTTTCGCATTATTTATAAAGGACCTTGTGGGAGTGGAATATTTCGAAGACGTCGCATTTGGTCCGATGAGTTCAATTGTCGAGTCGGGTGGACTGGTTTGAGCGGTATCCGGTCGCATACGCGCGCCTCCACGACCATATTCAGGATCCCACATTCCTTTGTGAAGCTCTGTCGGTGTTGGGCAATACGCCAGGGTCGCCGGCTTCCCTCCTACTGAGACGAATAAGCTATGTTCGATTTTCCAACTAGGTTGATGCGCAATCTTCGAATTACACGATTCACAATATGGCATGGCACTCGGACTAATTTGTGGCTCAACGAACTGCTCTCGTGCTTGCTTTTCTCTGTACTCTATGAGTGTCTTAGTGGGCACGACTGGTGCTTGTATCGTGGCCGTGTGGGGGGCATGTGGATTGGTGAAATCTTCCTGCAGCGCTGTTAGAAAGAATAGGAGAACCTGATCGCTTATTGAGGACTTGCTTTTCTACGAAGGTGTTCATGCTTCCATCTTTGGAAAACAGAAGGCGGGAATGGCGGTTGCTCTTCAACTTCAATCAGTTCCTCCAAGACCCCCATAGCTAAGTCAACATTCTCATCCCCAAACCTCTCTTGAAGCCGAGGATGCAATATGCGTAATCCATCTTTGTAAGGAAAATTTCGAGGCACTAGATCATTGTTACATTAGTATACATTCAACAAAAAGTTAATGATGAATAAACTATTGGTTCCCCTCTCAAAATTTATTGTTCTAGTCGCATCAAGACCCAATTCAAAGCTCACAATGGATTTGCAAATGCAAATGGGTAAGATATGGAAATTGTGTTGCTCACCATCTGAACAAAGTCGGATTAAGTAGTTACGGCATTCTATAAATTATCAATTGGTATTAACACTACAAAGTAGGAGTAGACATTGACTCACTGTGCTCACCCCAACCTTCTCGAGAAAGATTGTGTACTCCTGATTGCTTGGGTGCATTCTCAATTTCTACAGGAAGGTGATAGTTGCCCAAGATTGGGTGTATTGCATCTCCTTCATCATGTCCTGAAGGAGCGTCACCTCCAATGGAAGAAGTTTTCATTGTTGAGATCCGATAGGCAGTCAAAGTAGTGTTGTAGGATTGATTCGAGTGGTTTATGATAATGGTATAGTGTAGTAAGTAACAACTGAAAGTAATATGTGAACAAGATGAATGGAGGGAATAGAGTGACAAACACTGCTGCGGCCAATATTACAAAACAGGTTACTTCCCAGAAATTGAACCAGTGGATTGAATATGTTGAAGAGATGAAGAGGGGTAATGAGATAAACCAAGCAATGGTGATATCCTATTGAGGTTACTGATTGGGACAAGAAAGTTGATCTCGTAACAAATTAGGAAGAGTGAATAGGAAGAAACAATGAAGTATAGTGAAATGGTGTTTGTTTGACTGGCTGCCTGTCTGTCTATAATATCATAGTGGAAGAACCAATCAAAGATATTATAGATTGTGATGATGTTGATGGGTTCAAAGAAGTAAAAGTCAGGTCGGAGGATAATAACAAGTCGGCAGGCTGGTTTATTATGATCCGATAAAGCTGAGATAATTGTTTTGATGAGGTCTAGCACTGCCGCTGTGAATTAAGAAAATTCAAGAAAATAATAGTATTTATTGAATAATTATCTCATCAGAAGACTTCCTGATAAGAATACAAACAATAACAATTGTATATCTATCTATCCATTGATGGGTATGAATATGGGTTTCAAGTCTTTACACATCACACCATCTTCAGTTCCAAGTGAGGGAGTTACAACATTTGGGGAAGGAACGACCCTTCTAACCCTCCTTCAATATTGCTACCCCAATAATCAGACTTCTAGAAGATGTATCCCCTTGGATATGGGGATAATAACATTGAAGTAAAGACTAAATATAAAAACAAATCCGACCAAAGGAACAAACTATTGGGAGTCTCAGCAAACCATCAACCTCTTCAAATAAAGTACTACTAAACAGCTGCTTTGAGGTTGGGAGGGGCCATGGCACAGTCTGACCTATGTTTTATTATTTGCCATCCAGCTTCCAGTCGGCCAACAACTACTTTTATTGAGTGCCACCTACATTCATACACTTTACTCATCTTGCTGCAACCGCTGTAATTGATGAGAAATCCATTTTATAATCAGTTTCTCCGTTTCCATTGAGTAGCAATGGGCTTCATCAATGGCCAAAGTTGAGCCTACACAGTACGGTATTATCTATATGCTTAATCAAAGATTTGAGGTGGGATCATGAGTATGAGACTATACTTCTATACATTAATCGGCATTTTGGTCTGGAAACTTTCTGTAACGATATAGTGTAGTGCCTGCTTAGCTACCACCCATTGGTAGTGTCTAGAGACTTTTTGATGTCCTTGATAGATCTTCGAAGGGCATTATATATATATATATACAATCCGGGCCACATGAGAAAGCGTGGGGGTGCATCAATCATCTCTGCAGACGAGTTTGAGTTTGAGATCTACTGGGACAATTTGAGAGTTTTATCCAGTCAAAATTCCATGGCGCTGATATGATCGAATATGGCATCCACATTGAGTTCTCTTTCCTCAAGCTTTTGATCCCAGTGAAGACTCGTTTGCAGATTTGAGATACAGGTGCGGGATTGCCATTGATGCATATTGACGCTTCAAACATGATTGAGAGACCTTCTCAGATTAAATCCAGTGTGTGCTCTCGGTCCGAGTTGGCATCTACTGATAGCCCGGGTTTCCTATGCCTTATAACATATTTGATCCGTTGGAGATCCCGTCACATGCTGCTAGGCCTCAGTCAGATCCCAGAACTAGGATTTTGTTCAGGCCCCATGTTATCAATGATGATATCCGGAACGGCGGTTGTGACGGCTCCTGGATGGGTATAGCTAAGAGATGTCAACTTGATAGGGTCTGATGGTTGGATAGTCGTTGTACAATATGGGTCACATGATCACCCCGAAATTCACCGAGCTTATATAATACCATGGGCAAGCTTCGTTTGCTTCTTCCCTTCTTCTAAGGCAGCAAAGTAAGCAATCTTTGGCCCCACCTAAAATATACCTACCTACCGATTTTCGAAGCCGAGTTGCAAATGATGACAATCAATACAAGGTACGATTGGTCCATTCTCCGCATTCCTTCATCCTTCCCCGCAATATTTCGAAGTAGAACTTGCCGTGAACTTTCCCGTTACCACTTCACTCCTTTAAAACTCCTTTCTAGTCTTTCCACTGCTCCTCGGGATTGGATCAAGGTAGTCAATTGAGCTTTAGTATGGATAACTGGCGCCGGAGTAAGTGCCGTCAGAGGTTTCCCGTCCTCAACTTGTGGCTTGTAGTGATGTAAGATAGATTTCTTGTTAAAGTCTCGAAACTTCCTTTTACTTTCCTTTTAGATTCTAATAGTCATTCTTCTTTTCTTGTATTTTTGCTTCGATCAAATACTCTTTTCTCTGTCACAGCCGTCAAATCCACCAATTTTACAAATCCAATCATAGCTATGGAAAGAAGTATGGCCCCTCGGGAGAGTGTTGGGAATATAGGTGTAGTAGAGAAGTATGATATTGTAGTTATCGGTGCTGGGCCTGTAGGATTGCTACTTTCAACCTGTCTGGCACGTTGGGGCTATAGGATCAAGCATATCGACAACAGACCAGAGCCTACAAAAACCGGGAGAGCAGACGGTATTCAACCTCGATCCTTAGACCTTTTACGAAATATGGGGTTGAAGCCTGCTATCATGGCCTACGAGCCTGCAAAGGTTTACGAGGTCGCATTTTGGGATCCATCCTCGGGCGACAAGGGCATACATAGAACTGGAACATGGGCCAGTTGTCCTAGCTTTATCGACGCCAGATATCCTTTCACAACATTATTACATCAAGGAATGATCGAAAGAATATTCATCGCAGATTTGGAGAAGCACAATGTCGAGATCCAGAGGCCTTGGACAATCACAGGGTTCAAGACGGATGAGAAGGAAGATTCCGAGTACCCTGTGGAGGTCAACCTGGCGCAAGTCGAAGGCAGCGCAAAAGAGACTGTCAGAGCGAAATATTTGTTTGGTGGTGAGGGTGCTAGATCATTTGTGCGGGAACAATTGAAGATTGGTATCAAGCACAAGGATCCTATCGCACATGTATGGGGTGTTATGGATGGGGTTGTTCAGACAGACTTCCCGGACATCAAGGTAAGCTATCAATTCCTACTAAACCAACTCAAGTTACTCTGGTCTAATAGATTGTTAGATGAAATGCACCATTCACTCAGATTTTGGTTCTATAATGGTCATTCCTCGAGAAGGTAATATGGTTCGTCTCTACATCCAGATCGCATCCTCGACGGATAAGGACTGGAATCCCCGCAAGACTGCAACAGAAGAAGAAGTGCAGGCTTCTGCGAAGAAAATACTACAACCATATAACATCGAGTGGGAACGTGTGGAATGGTTTTCTGTGTATCCAATTGGTCAAGGAATTGCGGAAAAATACACTCTTGACCACAGAGTTTTCTTGGGTGGTGATGCCTGCCATACACACAGCGTAAGTTATCTGAAGTAGGCCCTGCCTTGACAATTGCTAACAGGAAGTAGCCAAAAGCAGGACAGGGAATGAATACGGCATTCCTGGATGCCCAAAACCTTGCGTGGAAGATTCACCACGTCGAATCAGGATTCGCCGACCGGTCTCTCCTTCATTCATACGAGGTCGAGAGAAAGAAGGTTGCTGAGAACCTTTTGGGCTTCGATGCAAAATATGCAGCTCTGTTTTCACAAAAAGCTCCAGCTGCCAAGGACGTTGAGGCAGCTACGCAACAAGGAGCTGAGCACACAAAGGTCGAGGAAAAAGAAAACGATTTCATCAAAACATTCAAGGAGTCCTGCGAATTCACCAGCGGCTATGGAGTGGCATATAATCCTAATTCGCTGAACTGGTCATCGTCTCATCCAGCACAATCAAGCGCCATCAATCCAAAGGGCAACAAGCTTCGAACCGGTCGTATCCTCACTAACTCCAACGTCACACGAGTCACAGACGCCAACGTTGTACACCTCGAGCAAGAAATTCCTCTCAATGGTTCATTCCGAGTATACGTTTTTGCGGGCAAGCCTGCAACTACCAAACAAGCACTCAACGATTTCTCACAAAACCTTACCAAGAAAGGCTCATTCCTCTCCACATACTTACGATCAGACATCGACCAGGTATCTTATCATGAACGACACAACCCCCACAGTCACTTCTTCACCTTTTGCACAATCTTCGCCGCCAAAAGAACAAACATCGAAATTGCACGAGATGTACCGAAGACATTGGCTAGATATAGTGATCACATCTATGCAGATGATATCCGGGATCGTATAGTACCCGATGCGAAAGCTTCGAGTCATAGTAAGATGGGATTGGATGAAGAAAGGGGAGGTGTGGTTGTTGTTAGACCTGATGGTTATGTAGGAATCGTTGTGGGTTTGGAAACGGGAAGTGTGACTGTTGATGCGTTGAATGATTATTTTGGAGCTTTCTCTTCGAAGAAACTTGGAAAGTCAAGGGCATCGTTGTAGGATTACATTGTATTATTTGATAGGATAACTAGCGATGGGTTTAGGAGGAATAGAGTTTGATTTGTTACTCGAGTGTACAGTACATAGCAGGTATATAGATAATTCTACTAATATGCCTAAAATATTGATTAGAAACCGTGACACTTTGTACTACTTCTGGAAATAATTATTATTATTATGACTAGCACCGGTTGTTAATATCTATTATCTACCTATGAAATTATGTTGTGATATAAATTCTTACCGATTCGCTGGATAAGCCCCGGCTTTTGCTCCGGGTTGCTTTGTCCTCAAAAACCTTAAACTTGCCATCCGTTTAATAAACAAGGTCCAATTCTTCTTTCATCATTGATTTGTCGCAAACCTCACAATCCACAACTTCAACCCTCCAAAATTCACCCACCAAAGTACCAACGCATCAACAACAACATCCAGAAATACGTAAAAGTCATTTTACATGTCTCTCAATGTTGGACAATTCTAGTGACTTTTATCACAATTCGTTCACTTCGTCATGACCAGCCTTAAGCGCAAAGCTAGTCAAGAATTAACTCACAATTCAATAGAAGTTATTGAGGTATGTATGTCCCAGAATACCTACCGAACCAAGTTAAGCCATTCTTGGATGCGGAAGCTAACAATTAATTCAGCCGCTTCAAGGAGAAGAGATGTTCGAGGCTATAATAGGCTGGTTCTGGGGCGCTTTAGAATGGTTTCGTGGGAGGGTCGATTTGTCATACACAAATATGAGCTATAGTAATATTGATGGTGAGCGGTACTATTACATGTTATATTATCCTCTTGCATTACTAAGAAGTTTCGAACAGTAGTCGCGGATGAACATACTCAAAGGGCAGAAGTGAGAGAAGATGGGTCTACTGCGGTCAAGCGGCAGAGGAATAAATCAAACAATCGCGCACACACGAGGACCTCGAGCCAACAACGACAGATCGCACCAACGGAGTTAAATCGAACGGGCAGCTTTTCGGAAGAACAATTGAGAATGAGAGCCGATGCACAATGGATTCCGCCAGCGTTTGGGGCTCCCACGAAACACGTAGAACGAGAGATTATAGTAATTTCAGACGATGAGGAGGAAGATGAAGAGGAGGTGCCAAAGCCAATAGCGGATTCGTTGCGATTACCGCGGTCACCACGTCCACCTAAGTCTCCGCGCATACGCCTGCAACCGGTGAGAATACAGAGACGTACATCTGTGATCCAAGATGGAAGTTCTCTACATGACCGTTTGGCCGACCTACTAAACCTAGATGACGACAAAGAAGATGAAAATGGACGTTCGCCGTTTGCCGTCTCGACACGAGCTCAAGAAAAAATAAAGAGGGATGCCGAGGCGCGAAAGCTCAAGGAAAAACAAGAAACGATTCGAATCGCGAAGGAACGCAGATTGACACGACGCAATCCATCAAACCGTTTGATACATACATTAGAAGATAAATGGGAGACTATCATAAGTGAAGCATTAGATCGTGCTCGGAAGAATGGAAATTTGCCTATCACTCAATCGCAGGGTGGCACACCACTACATTACAAAGATTTTGTAACTCTACTTGGCCGAAGCGCATGGCTCAACGATGAAATTATCAACACCTATATCGAATGGGTCGTAGAAGCTGCGAACGAATTCGCTAAAGCAGAGGCGAAAGCTTTCGGCGAACCTATTGGAAAAGTGCCAAAATTTATAGCACATAACAGTTTCTTCTACGAGAACTTGGACAAGAAAGGTCCAAGCAGTACACAGCGTCTGATGAATAGGAAGAAAGCGCCGGGTGTTTCGCTACTTCAGGTCGATACCGTCTTGGTTCCTATCTGCAGACACAGTCATTGGACTGTCGGAGTTGTACGGCCCATGGCTAGAACTATCGAGTATTTCGACAGTTTGCAAGGATCCTCAAATACATTCATCAAACTAATGCGCGGATGGCTAAAATTTCAACTTGGTGCGGAATACAAGGAAGATGAATGGAAGACACCAAAAACTGGTTGTACTCTACAGATGAATGGCTATGACTGTGGAGTATTCGTCTGCACAAATTCTCTCTGTGTTGCTCTGGGCGTTAATACCGATTGCTATAATGGGACGGATATGGCAATCATGAGGAGGACTATTGCGGCCCTCTTAATCAATAAAGGGTTCCAAGGAGACTTCGCTTGGGGTTTAGGGGTGTTTTAAATGTATCATGTGTTTTCAGGACGGGCGTTTTGGGAGTTAAAGGAACGATACCCATTCTGCATTGTATAAGGTTAGCAGGTTGCTGGAAAGTTTGCAGATGCATTTGATAGATGGAGTCTTGGTCAGGGAAAGAAAAGCCGAGGCGATAAATGTTATTGGATGGATAAAATGGCTCGGATGGTATGATTGGCAGCATGGGTCTCAAATTTAGATCCATCTGATCATACTACATGAATATTACTCGAGTAGGTCGAATCATATGGGTTAAAAATCATATTATATATCATAATCCAAAACTTATACAATCACAATACAAAACGAAACGAAAACAATCACCAGTATCAATATCGATACAATATCAACATCACCATCAATATCATGACATGGCTACAATCACATCACATCACCCGGCTAAAATGCTCACCCCACAAACTGCAGTTCATCCATCCTTCTGCAATACACTGAGTACAGGTACAACAGATTCCCCACTAAACTCAATACAACCGAAACCCGCTGCTAACCTTGATCCCACATCTGCAAGTCATCTAATCCATCTTCTTTTGCAGCATAAACTGTTACAATACCTATCATTACGAATATCAATCGCATTTACATACACGAAAGTTTGAAGCATTGTACATAAAGACACAAGACATATAAATTTGTTTTCAGACGAATGATAGGAGGAACTTCTCCAAGATAATATGGCTATGGCCAAGAAGGCACGGCAGAGGATAAGTTATGGTATGTTTACTGCCCCCCTGATCTTATTTCATGGAATGATTTCCCCATTACTTTTATATAAGAGTTATGAGAAGAAGAACAAAATATCGAGTAAGAGCTAATCAATCGGTTTGTGTGGTTATAGTCTTACCACTTGCGAATTCTCCGGGCGGACATAGATTAGGTGTGAATGGTTTAGCCGTGGATAGTGAGCAGTCAATATTGTGAGTTTGTGGCCCTTGTGTTGAGGCTTTACTTCTTTTGTCCTATGCTAGTTGGGTTGTCAAAGAGAGAAAATTGTAGCAGGCAGTGGGCGCATTGGTTAACAAGACAACAAAGATATTCAGGAGGCCGAGATGGTGCTATTTGCGCCTGGGATTTAAATCTTGATCTGCGAGCGAAAGAATCCTACCCCGAGGACTCATTCGACGGACTATCCTCCGAATCCAAACCAAAGTCTGCGACCACATTCAGAGCGCAAACCCAAGCACATACACATTGGGTTAATGACGTAGTACTTGCGAAAAATAATACGGCGCTGGTGAGCGCATCGAGCGATTTGACTGTGAGGGTTTGGAGACCTTTGGAGAGGGACAGTGAACCGGTGACAATTGGTCAACATGCGGATTATGTGAAATGTTTAGCCAGTCCTGACAATAACGCAAACTGGGTTGCGTCGGGTGGTCTGGATCGACGAATTTGTCTCTGGGATTTGAATGGGGCCGGCAAACAACTCGAGATTGAAGTGGGAGATGAGGATACTTCTGAGAAAGGATCGATATATGCGCTGAGCACAGGAAGCCATATACTGGCGGCTGGAGGACCGGAATCTATTGTGCGACTATGGGATTCGCGGACTGGAAAGAGAATTACGAAGTTTGTGGGTCATACGGATAATGTTAGGGATATATTGATTAATGAAGCGGGCGATATGATTATGACTGCGAGTTCGGATCAGACAGTTAAGGTTTGGAGTATGACGGCTGGAAGATGTATGCATACGCTCACTATGCATAATGATAGTGTTTGGTCGTTATTTTCCGAGGATCCATCACTGGGCGTTTTTTACAGTAGTGATCGTTCCGGGCTAGTAGCTAAGACGGACATCAGAGGTACAATGGGAGAATTAGATGATGGAATTTCGCTGGCGCTTGCGCAAGAGAATGATGGTGTCACTAGAGTTATTGCTTCCGGGGAGCATATCTGGACGGCGACGTCGAGTTCCTCTATTAATCGATGGGCAGATGTCGATACTGGATCAGACATACAATTGCCGGAAGCTTACCAACGCCATCGTGCTTCTAGCTCGATGTCGAGACCCAGGGGGGCGTCGCCCCCCGTCACCAATGGACAAACTAAGAAAGAGATTCCTCTAAAATCAATCTTGAGGATATCAAACACGGTCAGATTTCCGGCATCAACTGTAAGAGAATCGGATTCTGTCACTAATTTCTCGATGATGAGTGGTGGGAGGAAAACTTCTGAGCCAATTGTGGATCCGGACTTTGGACTTGTTGTGCCAATACATACATTACCTGAAGAAACTATTGAGGGACAACACGGTTTAGTGAAGCACAAGCTTTTGAATGACCGTAGGAGAGTTTTGACTCTGGATACTGCTGGAGATGTGTTATTATGGGATCTTCTCAAAGTGTGTTTTCAATCTTCAGAAGATGTTGACCGAGAGCTAATATATGAAATAGTGCATGCCTGTCCAATCTTTCGGAAAATGCCATCTCGAAGATATAGAGCCGGAAGTCAATACTATGGAAGCTGTGGCGCCTTGGTGTTCGCTGGATACTAGAACTGGTCGGTTAGCTGTTGTTTTAGAGGAGTATAATTGCTTCGATGCAGAGATGTATGCGGACGAATTGAAAGTAGAAGATGTTGTCGAGTTTAGAGACGATCAGCGAAGTAAGTCTTTTTGGGGACAATGAGATACGACGCTGACGATATATGTAGTAAATCTTGGCAAGTGGATATTACGATACATTTTTTCTAGACTGGTTGATGAACATATTAAAAAGGATGAGGCCTTCCGCACCGAGCTCAACGAAACTATCAAAGCAAAACAAGACACCTATCCACCGAACTCAATCAATATACCCCCTTCCTCCATAACTACCTGGGATGAACAAGGAAGCTTGACTCCTCGAGCAAATGGAAACAATTATCCTGCCATGACCCCTGGAATGGGTATTGGAATTGCTACCCCTGCACCTGGAAGTCACCTACCTTCTGTATCTGAAGATGGTGGACCTTTAGATAAGAGAGGATCACAAGCAAGCCGGAGCTCAGCAGAAAAACCAGACTACTTTGGAACCTCAGCAATTACAAGCGACCCTCCTAGACAACCAGCTGTAATAAGCAGCGACGGTCAAGAAGTCCCTAAATCTTTAGCGGTAGATCCAGAAAAGGAAAATAACGTCAAAGATAGCAGCACATCGTTTGGCAAGAAATTTCGAAAGGGTATGTCTTTTGGGACTAAGAAACTAGGTCGTTCTTCCTCTACTACCATAGATAAACCGATCGTATTAGACGATAACAAAGACAAAGCCACAGACGAAGGATCTGAATCTTCTGAAGCCGGTGACAAATTTCCGGTCGAAAAGGAAGTCGCAGATAATTTCAATGGAGTAATACAGAAGATTCGAAATGAATACGATAGATTAATTGCGGAAACCCCGTCTCGAGAGGTTGAGAGTGGTATCATGCCTAGTTTGTCGAATGAGACGCCTGTGCTGAAGATCCCTGGTGGAACTACGGTCATTATCCAGGAAGAGACAAGTGGTGGTGTTAAAGATCTGTATAGAGGTAGTGTAGAGACAGTAGGCGAAGATGCAGATTTTATTGGCGAGAGAGCTCCGATGTGGTTGGGTGATTTACTCCTGAAGGTACCTCCATCCTCCTCTCTCCTTTCGTCCTTCCAACACAAAGTTCTAACCAACACAACTAGAATAAAACTCCACTTAAAGATCCCGTCAAAGTCTCATTCATCCTTCAACCCTACCAAGATCTACTTCCCTCCATCGCGGGCCCAGATGGCAATGCGAGACTCAATGCAAATCGTATGTTGAGGGTTAAGAAGATTCTGGCGTATGTGGCGGAGAGAATTGAACCCTTGGGTGAGCAGCCAGATCCGAAGGATTGCAAACCCGAAGACTATTTGGAGTTATTCTGTTATGAGCAGGTTCGTTTTGTGCTTTTTCTTATTTTTCTCCCCTTGCGTCTCCCAGTCCTTGGTTGTCATGCGGTAGAGATCTCAAGAATCAGGTGTCAAAATGAACTACAAAATAGTCAGAAAAACAAACTAACTCAACACCCAAAACTAGAAACTCCCAATATCAATGTCCCTCGCCACCCTTCGCGCACACATTTGGAAGGGCGGCGCGGATGTAATGCTGTATTATAAGAGTAATGGAAAGAGGAGTATTAAATATGAAAGGGTAGTTGAGGAAGCTAGAGAAGCTAGGGAGGCGGAGCACAATGTTGGTAATGTTGGAATTGGAATTACTGGAGCTGGAGCTGGAGCTGGAGCTGCGGCTCCTAGTGGCAGAACTACTTCTTATGTCGGTCCGTAGATGAGGATTAAGGAAGAAGGTGGAGAGGTAAAAGGGTGGAGGAATGGGGGGTAGAGTGAGATGGAGAAGGAAGGGAGTGAGCGAAGAGAAAAGAGAATAGAGAGAAGAGATAAGAATTTTGGTTATTGATGGCTGGCTGGCTGGCTGGAGTGTTAACGGGAGTGGCTCATTTAGTATAGCGAAAAGGAACGAGAGGTGTATGGGTGGACGAATGGGGTTTGAAACCCTTTTTGGGAGGGGGGGGAGGTGGAGTGGAATATTAGGATCTGCTATGCTGGTCGTTGCAAGTCGGATGCTCGATGTAGGATTTAGCTGAGGTGGATTTAGGTTAGGGGTGGATCTAGGGGTAAATTAAATTAAATTCATACGTTTTGTCTCTGGGTTGGGGAAGATTGATTTGATTTAAGTGCGTTTTTGAGATGTGTGGATATAGATACGGATGGAGATGGATGATCATCTTGGTTTTACTAATCGATAATCTAATATATGTACTTCGTACAATCGATCCATGGATTGGGAGAGGGGGAGGGGGTATAGAAAGGAAGGAATGTAAGTGTTTTTCTTCGTGGGTGATGGGCGGTGGGTGGTGGGTGTGCTCGAGTAGATGTTGATGGATAATACTCGTATGGTCATTTGAATAGTGAATGGATGGATGGGTGGATGGATGGGTGGATGGGTGGGTAAGTAGAGTGGGTATGAGTATAAGTTTAAAGTCTATTGTCAAAGTGAAGGAGTTTGTTTTTCTTTCTTTTCATATGGAAGGAAGGGAGGAAGGAGAAGGAGAAGGAGGAGAAGAAGGAGATTGAAAGGGGGAAGTTGATTCGAGGTGAGATGAGTTGAAATGAGTTGATATACTCGAGCAATGTTTGTGTGTGTGCGTGTACGAACACAAGTCAAGTCGAATCGAGTAGATCACTAGTAGATACATCATACTTGTGCTTAGGGTGAATGGGCGAAAGGGGTGAAAGGGGAAGTGTTTATTGGTGTAGTGGTGTTGTGGTTAGCGATTGGTATGTATCTACTCGTATGTGTGTAAGAACTTGCAGTTGTCTGATTTGGTGGTTGATTGATTGATTGATTGATTGATTGGTTAGTTGGTTGGTTGGTTGGTTGGTTGTTATTTTGCGGTTCTGGGGGCTGGGTGGTGAGGGATGGGTTTGGGGTTTTGAGTTCTGAGGATTATGTGGAAATCTGAGATGGGGAAGGAGATGAAAATTGAAGTTTCGGGTTTTGGTGATGGGGTTCTTAGTTCTGGGGGTTAGTAGCTAGTAAGTATTATTATCGACTATTATGCTCGTGTATTAAAAATATATCCAATTTAGTTCGGTTTTCAAAATGGAACTCAAAATTGAATTAGCAGGTACTCTTACCCTCTGAGAGCAGAACAGTGAACACACATATCGTTGATTATTTATCTCGATATATGTATGGATAAACTTATATGATTGGAGTCTTCGCAACTTATTCATAGGAAGTTGAAGTTAAAGTCGTTGAGATGAGTTGGTGTACTTTGGCTACTTGTGGTGGGTAAGTTGATCCTGTTGGAAGTTGGGGGGGAGGATGGTTGGTTTACTGAGTAGTATGGCGAGGACTTTGAGATTAATAGGAGATTGAGGATTGGGGATTGAAGCTGGATCTGGATCTGGATTTGGATTTGGATGCGTTGGTAGAGTGTTTGGGAGCTGGCTGCCTGCCTGTATGGTTGTGGAGTCAAGAGGGCTGTTGCGAGTTCAGTTGGCTTTGGGGGGTTTGGGAGGAGTTTTTGAGAGAGGGGCGTGCTAGATGTCGTTCCAAGCAAGGATGGCACTCCTGATATACTGTGTGTATTGCATCCAGCAGTATAGAAGGACGGTTCAAATATCATTCGCAGAACTGAAATTTCGTGCTTGAATAACTTTCTGATTTCAAAATAGTGGTGGAAGGATGAAAGGAAGGATTTGTGGTTAGAGGGAGATTGTTGGGGAATATGGTAGAAGGGAAACAGCGAGGTTGAAAGTTGGAACAACAGATGTTGCCGATATTGTTAGGAGGAGTGGCGGTGAGAAAATAAATGTGAATGAATAGGTTTTGTTGTTACTCGAGTACTTTGCTATTTGAATCTTCGTCACTATCGAATTCCACACGGATATGATGGGAAAATGTTACTATCGTCCTGTAGACGTGGCGTAGGTATTTCCATTATAAATGGCAGTATTTCCAGGGTACATCTACTTTGATCGCACTCATCAACATCTACTCGAGTACACCTATACTAAACCAAAGGTTCCCTCTCTTATACTCCACATTTTCAAATGAAGTATGTAACCTGTAAGTATCATCTCCAGAGAAATGTAGACCGAGATCTTCAGATGTTTATATAGGAGGAGTGATGGGTAGAGTAATGGAAACTTGGTAGAGATCATAGTGTATGTTTGCTGTGTATGTTCCCGTACAGTCTGATGTGAACTTTTGAACTTCAAGAGGGGGATGTAATATTTCCATTGAGTGGTGAGTGTCCTTCTGATGTATAGTATACGGAGGGCATTATCAATCACTGTTGAGATGTGATTGCGAAGAATATCTGCTTACTACTGAGTGTTTAGAAAGGTCTGCAAAGTTATGGTAGGGTGAGGATTGGCTGAGTATGCTAACTAATTCAGGTCATAATTTTATAGATCAAAAGATGATCATACCATCACGGTGAGGTGAGGGAGTGAGAAGAAAAGGAAAGGAAAGACGGTATTAACGAGGTGATACTGATGAATGTTATTGTCAAACTTGAGAAATAGATGAAGACAAGAGGTTTTCGCTATCATCAAGATTGCAACCATACATCCAGAAGTTTTAACATTCACAGGAGTGTACTGTAAACGATACTCGTACAATTTATACTATCCAATTTCCATTTTCCTTTTCTCGTCTTCGTCGCTTCGATGCAACCCCCATCCCATTTTCCCCCATCCCATCCCCCCTCACCTTCCCTCCATCCCCTCAACTAACAAAGTGTAGGAAAAGACCACTTTGGCCTCCTGACCCATCGATAAAGTGGCGCATTACAGTAGTGCCTCCAATATCAAAAAGCGACCGGGCTCTCTAATCCTTCATTTGGGGAGGAATTGCACACCTGGGGCAGATGTAGCTGAACTTGCCAGTGAACTGTCTTTTTCTTGAGGGGGGGGAGGGCGAGAGGGGGTTCCTGGGAGTTATGTTGTGTTGTGTTAAAGGTATGTATGGGATTGATTTTGTGGTGGTGGTGTTAGGGTATTGTTGTCGGAGGAGAAGGAGGAGGATGAGGAAAAGTGGGGCATAATACTCGAGTAGAAATGAATGGAATGGTGTTTAAGGAGAAGCGATGACTTCAATTTTGGTGGGATCTTTGTAGTTCAATCTTTTGGGTTTCGTCTTCGATGTATGAGCGTGACGAAAGTTGTAAGATTACTTTATATACTCTCTGAGCACCCCTTTTGCTCTATCATATTGCAATTTGAGTTGGAAAGAATAATTTGATCATGATATATTATGATAAAAGAGAGTACACTATAAAAGGGTCTCGAAGAGTTCTCGAAATGGGCATATTGCTTGCAAACTCCTCTACAATGTGATCATAATATGGTAGTATTGCTCACAGCAAGTCAGCCAGCCATCCTACTTATGTGATCAGCGGAGTCCGACTTAATCTAGTAAAAACGGCAGAGATGTGAGGTCCCAGCCTCCCAGGTATTATGACAATGAATGGATACCTATCATTGTCAAATCAAACGACGGCGGGTGGATGAGCGCTCCTTACTGTTGTTATTACGGTAGCATACAGTATTACAGAGTGTACACAAACGGTGAAGTCCCATCCATGAATGAGTTCAGAATCTTCTTGATCTAGGCTGGAATATCGATGCAAGTTATTGATGCAAGTTATTGACGCAATAAACCCCTAGTTTCCATGGTGGTCATTGGATATCATTATACCTATCCTTATCTTCTATGCCTGCTGTAACTTTATTTATACTAGTGTCAAGATTCGGGTTTTAATTCATATCCGTCAAGAGGGGGCTATAATTATTCACTCACATCCCACTGTTGTTTACTTATATCGATTCATCGTATGCCATAGTACCATTTCGTTCCTACAAACCGCTCTACTTAGAGATGATCACATTCAGCGTGACGGGTAATTTGATGCTCAACACGACTTAGTGTTTACTGTAAATCTAGCTTTCTACTATATGGATGCATACTGAATGAATAAAATGGGGGTCTGAGAACCAGTTTCCAAAGTTTAGTCATTGCGGACTGATATTCCCTTTAAATGCAGTCACAATAAACCATCGACAGACTGATGACTAACCAGCAATAAGCAGTATGAATGCATGAACCGCAGTATCCTGATACGGGAACGATGCACACGTCTCCTTGACTTCTTTAAAAACTAGCGAAGTAAGTCTGCTGATGTGTTCTGACAGTAGAGGCTGAGGTCTGGTAAAGATCATTCATGGACTTTGCAGAAACTGGAGAGTGACTCAAGCCAATGCAGAACACTACAAGGAGTACTGGCCAGCCTATCTCTAGCGCGTATTGACATTCTACTACGAGAGCCTATGGCAGAATCTTCACCCTTCGTTCCACGTCATCCAAATGTCACAAGGTGCCACACAATGACCTTCCGGGGTGTAAACCTACCCAAGCAAGCAATTGGAGCACCTTGTTCATGGTAGAACACTCTTGATCTCGGACCTGGGCCTTCTCTCCATCAGACATGCAACAAACCCTCAAATGAACATCAGCGCTTATGCGGCCTTTTGCCTGAACTCATCTACCAATCTCTGCAGATAGAATCCTCGAACATCCGTGGGCAGGCTTTCGAAAGACTTCACGACCTTCGCAATATCTTGTCTGCCTTTCTCATATGCTTGTAAATCCCGGTTGCCATAGACATCTTTCCCTGCAGCGTACCCATTGCGGAGATTCCGAAAGAAAACATTGACAGCGACGCTCATGCCAGACGTGGGTGAAGCTGTATGTAGCCAGAGTGAAGGCAAGAAAAGCACATCACCTGGTTGAAGTAAGACTTCATGTGGATGAGTAAGTGAAAGGATAGGACTGCCAAGGCTCTCGAATACATTGATATCTGAGCTCGAAGCACCTGGGGCGAAATCAAAATATTTGACATCGGAAGGCGGAAAGAGTAGAAGGCGCTTAGAACCCTTAATTTGACAGAGAACATTGGCCATAACCTAACACGATCAATACGTATCTTTTACGTAGTCAATGGACAGGACCAAAACTTACATCATAATGTAGCCACATGTTCACAGGACCAGAAATACGTAAAGGTGAGCTGTGTGCATTTTCCTTGACAGATGCTAACTCTGAGGGTAGCTCAAAGTCCGCGGAAATCGCGGGATAATCTTTTACGATATCGGCAGGGAGTTCCGACGCCTTTTCTGCAGATAGTGAACGGAGGTAGAGCTTACTCCCCCTTTCTACCTCATCTAAAAAGTCGCCAAATTTCTTTGTTACATATGTAAAGTTCTTTGAGCTGAAGCTCATATGCTCCGATGATGCTTCATGCACAATAACCTACTAGAGTTAGAGGCACCTTATGATGAGCTTGGGAAAATACTTACTTCTCTCTCGGCGCCGACTTTATCTTTGAGGTACTCAGGGGTCCATTCATTGGTGCAAACGCCGAGGCCAAGTCCTTCAAGGATGACAGGTTTTCCAGCATCAAGGATTTTTTCAAACTCTATAGATGAGTGGAGCTTTACCCGTGGTACTTTGACCATGCTCTGAGTTCCTAAGGCAGAGCTGGGAAGACTGGTAGGCATAGACTTAGGAGCAGAAGCACCATCAATGATACGCTTAAATTCCCATGGTGAACACGGAATAATGTACGGTACTTCGTCACTAGCTTGCGGAGCACCAGAAAGACCCGTAGTCAGCGTATAACAGCCTTTATTCCAAAATGTTCCAAATGAAAAGCATACCGCTGAACCGCCCATTATAACAATATTATCGCCATTTGAAACGGCAGAGGTACCAATGAGAAGAGCTCGTGGTGCTAGACTACTTGACAAGCTTGAGCAATGGAGTCTAGGGTCGGCTGTTGCCATGCTACATATTTCATTTGAAAATGGCAATAGATTATCTTTCACAATACCGCCTACTACGATGATATTGCCTTGATGCATCAATGTTTGTGCGCCAAATCGAGCGAGAGTCGCCCCGTTATTGTCCCGAGTTTTGGGACTGTCAAGGCGTATAAATGAGATGGAAGGTTGCTGTCTAAGAGTCAATCATGATGAGTGAGGAGATTAGTCGGGTGCAAATCATACCTCGGCTGTATATTGCGCTATATCCCATTCCCAAACCTCTTCTTGAACCAGTCCATCTTCGGATATGCCGCCAGCGATAACTCCAGATCGTGACACTAAAGGGTCGGAAGATGCTTTAGGATAGGCAATAAGAGAAGAACCAAATGAAGCAGATGGTCGTTTTTGGGGGTTTGTATTGCACTTTACCCAGCCTTGACGTCGACTCCAGATCATGACATCATCAATTAGAGTTCTTGAGGTACCTTTGCCACCAGTCACCATCACATAGCCATTGCCGAGATGGACAGCAGATTGTCGATATCTCGGCCGAGGAAGATCATCCACTCTTTCCCAACTGTTCAACCATTTATGGTAAAACCAGCAATCTGCTATAGCATTATCTGGCGACGTTCGGCCACCAACTAGTAGAGATCCTTCATCGCCAATTTTTGTAATTGTGTGGCACATGCGACTTGATGGCCAAGAATGAGAACCTTGATAATCGAATGGTGTTAAACCAAGCTCGTTTGTAGAGTAAACATCACAACTACTTACTCGGGTATTAAGACCCATGCCGGAAAAGTTACCAATAGCATCTTCGCCCTTATCCTCTTTTCTTATGGAAATTGGGGCAGCAAATCTTCGCTGGCCTTGAGCTTTTGGGTATTCAGAGTATGCACTGTTGCTGTGGCTAGCTTCGGAGGCATCTGAAATTTGTTTACAGGTGAAGCGATTCTCTGTACTAGTATTATCTGCGACGAGTAGAATATAGTGACAGCCGAACAAAGCGAACTCTTCCCACTCATCGAAAGGTTCAATACTGTCTAAGGACATCCTCTCTTTGGAATCTAGGAAACCTTCAGCCCCCCAAAGTTCCCATAAATTGCGTGCTAATACCGATGGCCACCCCAAAGAGCGAAAACGTGTGTCTTGCGCCGCCACAGTTGGGTATTTTTTGCAGGCACCTAAAGGCGTACCAAGCTTGTTAAAGTGTGCCATCATGGTTTGAGCAAATGGGTGAGTTGTTCCCTCTGGAAGTAGTTGCTCTAGAAGACAGAAACGAGCTAGGGAACATCAGTTTCACATTGATGAAAGCAAATAAGGAAGAGACTGTACCATCCGGAAGTTTGTTTGCCCATTGTATCAATGCATCTGCTGACTCAGTAGGCATATATGTGATTGAAACCTCTGCTGTAAACAAGAATGAACATTTTTCTATATCCACAACCCTCGAGATGATTTCTTCCAGCCGTTTGAGATCTCGCAAATCACAGCCCAGTTGTAAGTACTGATCGCTACTAAGCAATATATCTCCTTCTTGAATGTTCAAGTTCGTGAGCATGGAATTGAGCTCTGGTGTATTGCGAACCACCGTTTGCTTCTTGATCATTAAGTCTTTATAATCGATATCGATAAACTTCACATTCTGAGAAACTGCAGGATATCTACTCATACATTGCCAAGGAAGAGGATCACTTAGAGAACATCAGCGAACAGTACGCATACTCGAACTTTCGGACTTACTATCCACATCCTAGATTGATGACAACCTTTTGCTTCTCAGAATTCTGTTCCAGGAACTTTTTTGCCACATGATCTACAGCCTTCATGCGTAGCCAATATCCACGATTGATGAGAGGGGATCGTCGCAAGGGTTTCTTGACAAAATAACGAAAGAAATGGGGTTCATTTGGAAAGTAAAGACGCTCCACACTGCGTTTGGAAACAATACTGCTGTTATTCGTCTGTTTTTTTATTAGTATCTACATATGAGAGGTCTTTCAAGTACAAAAAAAACTCACACCCATGATTGAATCATCCGTTTTCTGGGCTTTAGTCTGTCCAGAGGATTTTGAAACCTTTGCTGGACGGGTAGTCCCATTTTGTGTTTGGCCTTCCATCTCCTATAAAGCTCTCCTGTAAAACTTTTCCGCAGACCCCTCTCTTAATTAGAAAGCTTTGAAGACTTTTCGATAGGCTTTCTCCTAGAATTCTCTTGAGTGAACTTCTTCATGAACTTATTGACTTCAATATTTTAGTAGTACTAAAATGATGTCTAAGCGGCCGAATTGCCGAGATTTAGGCGGTGAATCAGCTCTTGTTCCTTGCCTTGAGCTTCTTAGAGAACATACCTAGGTACCTAGGTACTGTAAGAAATAACCCCGCGTCCCTCATTAACTTCCTTAAAGTCTATCGATGGATTCTATCTTATGATTCGAAATCAAATGTGCATTCCATACAAACATTTCATACAAAGGAATATCAATTGCTACAGCTCTGCGGTCTAGTTGGTCTTGAGCGACACACCTACAGAAGTGGCAATCCTACAATCAACAGCCTTGCGACTGCTTATCAACCCTGAAGCTTGCAGTTCAGTGCACACTTCTTGCATTATCCTCGCGGAATCGTCTTGCGCACATAATAACTCTAAGCCTGTTGATTCGCAATCATGAATTATGTTACGTTCAACCAGGACTACAGCTGCCTGGCAGTCGGTTGGTATTCTATCTGACCAAGTACCAGTATACCTACTAATGCTCCTTGATCAGGAACTGCCAAAGGCTTTCGCATATACCACACAGATCCATTCTCAAAGATATTCACGGGGGATAATGAAAATGTAACGATAATCGAGATGCTATTCTCGACGTCCTTGGTGGCCATCAAGCAATCACCTAGACATATTGTAATTCAGAATACTAAGGTATGGATTGCTAGCAAGGCAATTATTTGTCCTTGATGCTTCAGGGACTGCATATGCTGACCCTTCTCTTTGATATAGAGAGGCACGGTCATATGCGAACTTACATTTCCATCTGCGGTTTTGGCAGTGCGGCTGAATCGAAAACGATTTGCCGTGTTGTTGGAGGAGGAGATATATCTATATGATATTCAAAACATGGGCCTACTGTACACAATTTCTACATCAGCAAACCCGAACGCTATATGCGCCCTGTCTGCGTCATCTGAGAACTGCTATTTGGCATACCCATTACCGAAGCCCAGGGAAGAGACTGGAGACAAGAGGCCAGCCCATGCACCACCGCTCTCGCCATACGTTGCACCGACATCCGGAGAGGTCCTTATATTCGATGCGAAGTCGTTGAAGGCCGTAAACGTGGTTGAGGCACATCGGGCACCATTGTCATGCATTGCATTGAACAATGATGGGACTTTGCTGGCAACGGCGTCAGAAACAGGAACGATTATCAGGGTGTTTTCAGTGCCGGATGGACAGAAACTCTACCAGTTTCGAAGAGGCACATATCCATCAACGATTTTCAGTCTGTCATTCAATATGAGCTCCACACTACTCTGTGTGTCCTCAAATTCGGACACAATCCATATATTTCGGCTTGGCGGGGGTGCTACGGGTATGCCGGGCTCCCCACGATCCCCAAACGACAAAGATAAATGGAATCGATCCCGAAGTTTTGATAGTGATAACGGGTCTCCCCCAACTGGGATTTCACCTGGTAGTGAGATGGCAGATGTCCCAACCGTCGCCACCAAGTCTGGCGGCACTTTCGGAAGCATTTTTAGGAGATCATCGCAATTGATGGGCAAAAGTGTTGCTGGAGTTGTTGGAGGTTACCTACCCCAGGCTGTCACAGAAATGTGGGAGCCTGCGCGGGACTTTGCTTTCATCAAACTACCGAAAGGAGGAATGGGAGCTACTCCGCGGAGTGGTCCACTCAAAAGTGTCGTGGCAATAAGCAGCAGTAGTCCACAAGTAATGGTGGTGACAAGTGATGGAGGCTTTTACATTTACAGTATAGACATGGAGACTGGTGGGGAGGGAGTTTTGGTTAAGCAGTATTCGTGAGTACCAACCTTGTGTTGATCTATATATCTTCTAACCAACTCGGCAGTGTCCTGGAAGGCGAAGACTCTCTAGAACCGCCAATTAATTACGTGAGCTACCGTACCTAGAGGATGTAAATTTGATGGGCGTTTTTGTGGCAGTCTTTAGCGGGTTCTCTATCATTTTCAATCTTCACACTTCGAGCATTATGTTAGGTGTTCCTGGTTAGTCATTTTTGGTACAAGGCGGGGCATTTCTGACCAAGCTTACGAGCCGTCTCTCACCTCAGTGAGCATAACAATTAATGGAAGATATCAGTACATTCTCAGCTCGTTCTCATGTGCTATGTTATCCTCTATTCATGCCTAGTAGCAGATATCATCTATCGGTGAAAAGCGGAAGGTACACAAGGTTCAATTACAAAGGGGAGTTGTATACGGCGTATGTTTGGTGGCGACGTCCAACCAACTTTGACTCGTCTGGACTGCAGTGGATGGGTTTGGTTTGAGCATTCTCGCGTGAGAAGGATTCAGTGAATGAACACGGGTTATGCTGCATGAAATCTGAATCGTCGACGGATAGGACAGGAGGGCGAATCCTTCGTACATATCTATACTAATGTAATCGTAGCCCTGTATATATGTATGTATTTATAATATGTATGTACCTAGAATCTACATTTTACATGGCTCGAAACGAGTAGCCCTGAAATGTTTAATGTTCAAAAAGGGCAGTTCAAACATCTGTAATCTGTATGAGTATGAGTATGAGGTAATATGGGATGGAATAAGATGAGATGAAGCGCGGCATAAATATCCTAATATCAACCTTAAGATCGTGTTCTGAGGCATACACGTATGAACTCACACAATGTATATAGTACAAATGTAGGTACGGTACCTTGCATAAATGCCCAGATAGCTACAAGCTTAGCTTAGCTGTACGTACTCGAGTAAGTGAATGGGTGTGATGGGTAGGGTGGATATGGCGAACATGAGGACTGGGATTATTGGGATGACTTGGTGGCGATGGCTGTGAGGGTTTGGTTTGGCATTGTATTGTAATGGTTGCACAAGAATGTGAATCCTTTCGCTTAGGTTTTGGATGGGGGTTTGATGTGAAGAAAAGTGATTCCCGAAGGAGTCTCACCGCAGAAATAAGGGGAGATTGATGGTTAGATGGATAGATGGATAGTTGGACGGATAGACAGATGCTATATTCGGCTCGGGTTTGTTATCCGGGGGATTGTACTGTGCAGGTAAGAGTGTACAGTAGATACTAGGTAATTTGTCTCGAATCCTCTTGTGTATAGGTGATGAGAAATTCTGGATCGGGTTGAATTTGATTTAATTTATTTGATTAGATGAGGAATTTCAGGATTTCCAAAAGCCTGATAAGGGTATTTCTTACTTTGAGTTCATATTAAGTATAGATATACGGATGGAGTTTTGGAAGAGGGAACATGGTAGTAATCTCTGCCTGTATGTTCGAGATATCAGAGCTCGTTTACAGAATGTAGACTAAATTTTACACGCGAGATCTGCCTTTCTCAAGGCAGATTTGCAGTTTCGAGATATAGATTCGAGTATCTAGATAGTCAAAAGACAGAAGACTAGTCAAAAATCACAATGGGGGTTCGTTATTGCATCATCATCATCAACAACATGGATGAGACCCAGATGTATCGTTGATAAATATAGCTATTTTCATTATTCCCAAACGAGGAGATATGCATGGTAAGAAGGGATTTTCACGTACAAATTACCTTTTGTATATAACAAAACAAACTACCCAAGGGAAAGAGTGATGTCGCGTGCAAGCGGTGCATCTGCTTGCACCTCTCCATAATCACACACAACCTCGAATCGACCAAGAACTTGTGTTTTCTCCCCCTCTCATCTTTACTTACGTGTGCTTGGGGTCTAAATAACTTCAGGGATCTAAGCGCCGTCGCAGGAAAAATACCATCCGGCTATGGACCGTTTTTTACCCTATGGGATTTATTTGGAACGAACTTACAGGGGGTTAGCATTTCAGTGAAGGCCAACTAGGATACGGTACTTGTACCAGGTTGGTATAGGTAGGCATTTTCTCGGGGAATACAGGCAGACGAGACGAGACGATCTCTCGTGGTTTTACTTTACCCGAAAGAGGTGGTGTATAGTTAGTTGCTCAATATATGTTACCCATCTGATGTTATCATCTTGACTCGCTTGTTTATCATATTCATTACAGTAGGTCAAATCTGGAACTTCCTGTTAATTAAGATGAGATGGACAGATGGGATGAGCAGCTAAATGTTGGATTTGGATGAGGAAGAAAAGGGTGGTTGTCCGTTCCTATGGATTGGGATTGATCATTTTTAAGATTAATAAGTACTCGAGTAGAAAGCTGCCATATTGGAATCATAACCTCTTTTTGAAAGAGCGAGGGAAAGTTATATCCGCTCCCAAAAAGATCTATATGCTTGTAAGCCAAGACCACAAACTCGCACGGTCGATAATTAGATTGACAGGCTAGAAGTGGGAATAACTGGCTGCTCGCCTTATGAACTCGGTTGCAAATTTGGAGTTCCAACTGGATCATAAGTACGAATATACGGACCCAAGTAGCTGGGAGGAAGGGAAAGAAAATTAGTATCATCCTATCGCACGAATGAAGGGGTTCAGGGGGAAAGTATACGTACAAACAATTAGCTCCGTGATGCAACAATAATCTGCAAATCTTCCAAAAGGGGTAGATGGAGTAAAGGACTGAGAAGGCGGATCAAAGATATTCGAGATAATCTCTCTTCATTTTGATGGTTGTACTACCAAACTACTCTGAGCCTTCCGATGCACTGATCAGCGATACCCACAAATCGACCTAAACGAGCTGTTCAACCCATCCATTCCAACAGGTAGGTACCTTTACTATATGAGTGGGAGACTAAAAGACAACAGCCATTTAGAGTCATGCCTCAAGTGGCTCGGGTGGCGGCCTCATATTCCAACGAGTTTGGTCACAGCTAAACCAGAAATGGAAGATCTAATGCTGCTTCAAACCGTGATATTGCTAATCATATAAAGGACAAAGGCAGCAGAGATAGTCAGTTTCCAAAAAATCACGTATGTTGATGCTTTTTACATCTGTCGGCAGCCGAATCTATAACTGTTATATGACAAAAACTAATTTTGATCTCGACTCGATAACCCAAGAATGGCAACAGAAGCAAGCAGGAAAGCGAATGTAATACAACGTATCATTGCAAGAAGAAGTTAAACGACCGATCGACTGTAGCCTGACAGACCTATCCTATTTAATAAGGCATTTTTTATAAGTTATGCTGTAAGATCTGGATCCATTCATCTGACCAAAATCAACTGCGGGTCTATATGCAATAATACAGTACTGTACAGCCCTGAACCCTAAATAGTAGTATTGTTATCTGGGCTATTCATCCTACTGGCTTAATATAACAGCCGTTTTCCTATTATCTGTGAACTTCCAACTCCAACATCGCTACCGCATTGAACTAGTCGAGGCTGTGTTAGAGCGCGCTTTTTCTAATCGTCATCCGATATTTGATTGGCGATGTCTTTGAATAACTGATTAGAAAAGCAAGATTTGTTTGATTTTAAATTCCCAAATAGCGGGTAACTTGATTATTTTGACGCATCAAATGATATATAACCACTTAGCTACCTACCTAGTGCTAATAGGTACTAGGTAGTAAGTAGTAGTGGTGGTGGAAGTGGATAGTGGGGGAAGCAAAAGAAATTATAAGCTTTCAAACGCTAAAACGGTCACTAATCCACTAATCAGTAGTGCCAATTTTTTAATTTTTTTTTCAGCGCGTTTGCTAGTTACAGTCATCCAACACATTTGATACTACAGTGTAAGACCAATACTACTTGTCCATTTATTCGATGAGTCTCGAAATACCGGGTTCATATATATATATATATATATTATATATTGTATTATTATATACAAGACAAGATCAAGCTCATTTACAATATGCTATTTGACAGGGCAACCATATTATCTCTGATCTATACAACGTTCCGGTACAATCATACATCCAAAGATACATACGACCGATTCATGAAATGCCCTCGTATTGGTATGTTCCCTTCATTAGTCGCGAATCATACAAATTCGAGCGTGATGTCGTACAGTACTGGAAATCCTTGCGGATAAGAAACTTATTATCAGATGGTCAAAGATATCTCGATGTCTGAGGATATTCCCAGTTGTCAATGATCTCCAAAAAGATGCTCATATTATGCCAGGGCCAATCAATGTCAGATGTATCTGACAACAATGACAAGGCTCAGTGTTTTACTCTCAAGACCCCCAAGCAAATAGACCCCTGACCCTGCTCTAAAACATCAAATATAGCAAATTGACAGATTGTCTGTTGGAAATGCTATTCTTTCAATCAGGTGCATTTCACCTATTCAGCTACTGCTTCTAACTACAGTTGGGGCTGTCAGCTTCTCGAAATGAGAAATTTAAACAAAAAATCATAGAGTTTTGGTTATACTAACATAAAGATACCACTGTACCTCTGCTCACTCACTCTTCCCCATGTTACTTTTCTCTCTTAACCTAATTCATTCATTCTACTTTTTCGCCGTTATAACAGATGAGAACTATGACAATATCCTTGCTTACGGGTAGCTTTTACCTTTACATCGGATCTCGATTAGTGCGTCCTGCAGTTGGCTTATATGACAGGGGTCCCATCGATTTGAACTTTCCATGGGGCTCATCCCCCCCCCTGCTTCATCTATCTAGCTCTGTCTACCAATCTAGACTGCCGCGACCCTGGTAAGTAACAGGATTCTATTAAATCCGCTATGTTTATATCTTTATCTGGAAAAGAATGACAACCCTTGGAAATCTGCCTTGCAATACTTAGATGCTCGTGGCCTTCTTTTCTCTTCCTCGAAGGACAAGAATTATACAGCTCATCTACCACCCTACATCCTTTACTCTTCCTAGTACTTGAAGTTCAGCTATTCTAGTAGCTTCGTATCACATCTTCCACCACCTCCTCCTGTTGGAATTCACTCACTCAACTTCCGGTTCCTTCAGACTTATATTCACTACGGTCCAAGTCCTCGTTCTCTCTACGGTCATCGCCTCAGTTCCTGTATGAAATATCACATCACATATCAAGGATATTTATTACACATCTCCAAGCCGTAACCTACCAGTACCCAGTACCATCAGCCATTACTCTCAAGTCACACTTCTAGCCCCCAACCATTACATTAGTTATTTGTTCCTTCCACCATCTTCGTACTTCTCCTTATCCTTCTTCTCTATTCTCACAAACAACATGGAGTTGACCCCTCAATCCACTCGGTCCCCAACGCCGTCTTTCACATTCTCAGGCAACTCACAGCCACTCTTTGAATATCCTTCACCGGCTCAAAGTGACTCGAGGTACAGATCGACGGATTGTGGTCAAAGCTTGGGACTCTATTCTTGCTCTATGTCAGGATCTCCTCCAGTAATGGAGCATCAGGATGCTAGCTCGGAGTCAGGAGGCCCCTCGTCAGTCACCACCAACAACTGGGCAGACGCCACTTTACAAAGCCGTGATACGCCTAGGTCATCAAGGTCAACGCCTAACATCCTTTCCGCGGAGTATGATCCCTTTGCCTCCTATCCGGCAGTATCAGCTCCTTACAGTAATGATATATATACCACCTCCCAAATTGTCGAACATTCCAATCTTCCAGCTTCTCCACTTCACTCCAGCAATATCTCTCAACGCTCTTCACTTTCTTCCGCCCCACGTTCAGGTATATTCACTCAAGCCGGATCGAATCATTCTTACACTCCACATATCAAGATGGAAGACCATTCGGAATATGCTCCAAGCGGTGATTCTTTTACATTAGGCTCCCCTCACAATATCAACACTCCATTTGTGAGTGCCGCAGCTCCCTATCCAGGGACTCTCGAGACATCATACTACGACCAATCTCCATGGGCTGAAAAAGTTGAATACACATCTACTGATTTACCACCATTCTCCGCGCTTCAAATTCCAACTTATGACAGACGATCCGAAAGTCAGGATGGATCACCATCACAAGATCTTCGACGTCCAAGTGTAGTAGCACGGACGAGGGGACCTCGAAAACTCACCACCAAGGAAGATGCAAACTTCCAGTGTCGTGTCAAAGGATGTGGAAAGCTCTTTGGTCGTAGCTATAATTACAAAGCCCATATGGAAACTCATGATGCGGATCGCGAGTATCCATTTCCATGTGTTGTGGATAACTGCACCAAGAAATTTGTTCGAAAGACAGATTTACAACGTCACAACCAGAGTGTTCACATGAAGCAACGAAATTACAAATGTGATTATTGCAGCAGATTCTTTGCAAGAAAAGACACACTTAGAAGGTAAGCGTCCATTCCACTCTATATTCCCCAAATCATCCCACCTAAACTAATAACTACAATAGACACATGGAAGATGGCTGTTCCAAACGCTTCGACATTACAACCGTCGATTTCAAACCGCAAAACTATGCCATAGACGACAACCCAATGAACCCACTAAAACTAGTACTTCCACCTTATTCAGACCACCATATGGTACGAGATCCATCTTACATTCAAAACTCCCACTATTCGTCGCCCCCACACAGCGGAAACTCCATTCACGTGTCTCACAATGCTATCGTCAGTCCTCTCACATCAGCCTCATCGGGGGCTCCATATCTCGAAAGACATGAGTACATGACTACGGGCTCGGAACATCATGATCAAGAGCCTGTGTGGAGCAATTGATCAATCTTAGTGTTCTTGTTTTTTGGCGTAGGGGGAGGGGAAGGATACCACGGGCATCAAAGATTTCGAGGGGATTAAGGAGTGGGGATTGTTTCAAACCATTTCTACTTTCAACACATACACACACATACACATGCATACATTTGATCCCAAAACTCCCATGTCATTTCGACATATTCCAGGATTTACGAAAAGCGATCTACTTTACGACGATTGAGCGCTTCGGTCCAAGATTCATCAAGCATCATTTCATTTTTCACGAATCATTACAGAGATAAAACCAACATGCATACGCGTCCCTACCATCCCCTCAGATGCCAGCACGAACCTGTTTTGTCGGTATCGTATCGCAAAACCGCACCACCCATCACGCATACACACTACCACCCTAAAAAGTGCTTCCGGCTCAAACCCATACAATACATGTCTACATGCGTTAAATGTTGGTAGAATGGGGGCTGCTGATGGTTTCACAATCGGATGTATGATGCATGACCGCACGAATTCGAAATTCGAATGCGAGATTGAGACGATGATGATGAGCGCTCGTTCCCGCGTCCATCGGGATGTGTCCTTTCGATATTTCTGGATTCTTACTTGCCTTGTTTCTCTTCTTTGCATTATGATTGCACTCGGTTTCACTCTTTTGTTATTTTGATTTTCTTACTCTTGCGAATTGCGAGATACCGATGGAGTGGATTGAACCTCGGTCCCTCCAATATCAATTACTGTATCACATGTACTTTTACAAACAGTTGGGGATTTTTTCTTGTTCTCGATTGATCGATCGACTATCATCTGATTTTTGCGCTTTTCTTTTTTCTTCTTTAACAATTTCGTTTCATATTTTTCATATGTTTTTTCTTTTTTTTTTAATCTACGAATACCCTTTTCTTCATTCTTTGATCCTGCTCATCAGCGGGATACAATATTACACAAAACGGTCGGTCGGCACTGGAAAGGAAGGGCTCGGATGGATGGATGGATGGATGGAAATGGGCTTGAGCTCGACCTTGGGCTTTGTAGGCAAGGTCAAGCAAGGCCAAGGCCAAGCATTAGGGAGCATGAGCGATGGATGAAAACTAAACGACGGCAGGTTGGTAAATATGGGATTGGGTTACTGGGATTGGATTGGATTGAGCCGGAACGGATCCTAAGCATGAATTCTAAATTTCTGCACTTTGCATTCCTATCGGTCTTTTTTTCTTCTTAGATGTATGTAAGAAATCAGAGCTGAGTTATGTGATGCGATGCGATGCGATGCGCTGCGCTGCACAAAGATCTCTCTCTCTCTCTCTTTTCCCGTCTTATCTTGTTACTCCAAAAGTCTGGTGAAAGGGGAAGGATATTTACAAGCGCGATTACGAGTAAAGCTGGAACCTTTTGCTCGTTGGATGGACGAATTAAATTTCTAGGGGAAAAGGGCACCGGTTGCACAGATCAGATATAGATGAGATGAGATGAGATGTGATGAATGAATGAATAATCGTTTACGAATTTCACACCTGAAAAATCGTACATGGAAATATCTGCCTTAGCTGAACGAATAACCCCCATCCCTCGTGTTTTTATCTTTTGCCTTATTTAAAGCTTCCGGTTGAGTCATTTGCGTTGGATATTTAGATGCTGTACGAGCGAGTACTCCAAGTGTTCTTTTCGGCTATTTCTGGCATATGGTATAAAATCTATTTGAGATCTCGACATCTAATTGGGCATCTCGTGAAATCCCGATTGGGAATTAAATTATTCACATGATGGGGGATTATTGGTATATTCGATATCCATTAGCTTATTGGCTACTCGAGGCTTAAACTTGTAGAACGGTGGTCATTGCTGCTTAAAATGTATGTCGAACAGGGTATGGATGTATGGATGTGATTAGGGCGGCAGGTACGAAATGAGGCTGATGCTGATTGATGATGGGTGCAGACTTACAAAGAATTTAAATGAAATGGAAGGTAGGGTAGGGATAGAGATGCGTGTAAGAAAGGGAGAACATTATGCCGGGTCAATGGGCAGCGCTGGATTGGAGGGTTAATGCGGTAAGCGAGGGTGACAGGGGCAGTAGTGGCTGGGGAGGAACAGAGGTACTTGCCGTATGTACGAAGTAGATGTACAGTATGACCTGATGAGAGATCGGAAATAGAAACAAATTATAAAGGGAAATGATTTTGGGAGGGACTTAGAGAAGGTGGATGGGAGGGATCACAGTGTGTCCTCTTCTCCTTATGGTTTCCCTTACTTTGATGGAGACTTGCAAGGTTTTGACTGTAAATACATCGTTCTAGCGTATTAGCCATCACTCCCGCTTAGATGGATTGGCCGTCTATTGGTTGGAATACCGAACTGTTGGTTGGTGGTATAAAGATGGTTATTGGCCGGAAGGCTGAAAACTCAAATAGGATGGATGCATACCCTTGCATATCGAAAGGCCAAAGATTAAAAGGCCAACCCCGCAATGAGAACCGGGCTGGTGCGTGTATTCCGGACAGGGAAAAATCGGGACTCTTAACCGCGCGTGTTTCATCCTATGATTTTGATGTATGTGTTGTTGTTGGATTTTTTCACGCATATAAGATGTTTGTTATACTGCTGGCCGTTTGCCTGGTTGGTTTCGGCTCCTCACCGTGCTAATCTTCGACATATTGGGGTGAGATTGATATGAGGAGCTCCGGCGGGATTCTCGTCTTGATAAATGAGGCTAATAGTAATACCAGGGAATGACTTTTGAACCGGGATCACCAAAATGCATGCACAAGGGAACAACCGAAGTCATTCATAATCACTACCCATGATTGTCCCAAATACGCATACATGATGCATGTGCAACCGTTACGTTCTAATCCCGTGTCTTGCTTGTCGTGCTCGTGGCAACGCTGTTCAATGTCCTGTTTATTGAGATGGTAGTGAGTTTCGCCTCAGTAAATGGGGTTGCAATTTCACCCACACCTCAAAAATGGTGGTACACCAAATACTGTGAGCAACGCCGTTTTTGTGTTACCCTTGATCGAAGGTTGCAGAAGCTTTTGAAACGAACGAGCTTTGAGCTGGAAATATGGTTATATAAACCTACAATCCAAGGAGCAAGCCCAGATATCTTCGCAACGGATGACACGGCAGTGATACGCCTCCAATGGCGACTACATTCAAGAACATCTCGCCTAGTAGAGTTTAATCTTACGATAGACGCTCTGATCTTCCTTAAAAGATCACTGTTGGTAAAAGCTGTTATTCTTGTCTAAGCTTGTTTTTGCCTTTTAAAGTTAGAGATAATGCCGGGAATGATATACATGGTGATTAACGGGATAATGTACTCAGTAGTGACAAGTATATGAATACAGGGAGTAAAGGACGAGGATTAGATACCTTGGTGTAAAGAACTAAACTTCATTTTATTCCCCACTCATACTCCCCCACCGAGTAGCAAGTGATTGGTGATATACGAGGACCCTGCAGAGATTATTGTCGAGATGCTTCCTCAGTAGCTCTATATTGCTAAGTATTGGATACTACTGTCAAATTACCTAGATTCGTGTTGATGGACAATTCCGAACCCGCGGGCTTCGTCTTGGCCGACCTCATAAGAAACGTATCAACGAGTAAAGTCAGGACATGACAAGTACCTTATTATCCAGGCAAATCATCTTGATATCATGTCATATCTCCTGTTCATCATTCAAAATAGAAGGTGTGATTCTTACTGAATATCGGGGTAATCGTTCTCCGACGCTAAGAATCGGATAAACATCGCCTAATTAGGTCTTATCACCTGTTCCAATACAACTCTACACATCTCATTCGAATTCCAACCACATTACATTGGCTGATCATCTAGCTCTTACCATGCATCACATTTATTGTACGAGCGAGTATGCTGTTTGTTAGCATGTTTGGAAAATAATCGCGGAATGGTTCCTTGTTGGTCAAATCTACGAACTACGATGTAGTCAATGATATAAATTGGTGCACTGGTACAAGATAACGGCAGTTGTCTGATTCGTATATCAACAATACCTATTGTCAAAGTCTGACTGACATGCTTCATCTCATGTCATGTCATGTCATCTCATCTCATCTCACTGGCCCCATTATGATCACCACCAGCCTTATATAAATTCTCAATACTGCAAGTGTACTCTCCACATACAAGCATCCGTGCCATGGACGCACCGGGCCACAATCTCCAACGCAAGATCAGATGCTAGGATACAGCAGTACGAACTGCAGAAGAGTCTTCAGACGATGGATGACGTTTCATATTTCGATATAGCCCCTAACACATCCACTCATTCCCCTTGTTAAGTTGTTATACATAGCTCTAATTGGGTTTTTACGTACACTAAAAGATAATAGAATACGTTTTAAGAAAACGTGGGTGACACGCTGTTGTCATGCTGCATGGTTTAGGGACCTGGTCAGCCTCCCAAGCCTGGTAAGAGCAACGAGCCCCCAAAACCGGCCATCTCACCTATTACGCCTATCAGACCTTTCATTGATTATCGATTCCTTCGATCATCCCTTCAACTTGATTGACATCAAGCATCAATAACCAAGGCTGCCTTGGCTTGCCTTAGCTACGTTGTATTGCATTTCCGGATAGACTACCTAGACGATCTATCCTTGTCCATCTCAAAACGAAAGCTATTCTTATCACTGAAGTCTATATTCAAAACCTTCAATCTCATCACTCCGCATTTCTATAAAGAAATTCAGGGGAAGCCCCTTTCGAATTCTATAACAAGTATTTGTTTTCTCATTGAAGTCAGTTAGGGCGGCGTAGATCTCACAGTGTCGTCCCGTTCCGCGAGGCACAGTCTGCACAGGAAATGACAGAGTCTGCAGCCTCCACACTATATGCAGTCCTAGCAATTGCCCATTTTCAATTTTCAGCGCTTAATAGATCATTCCAAGTGGAGCATCGCGGCAAGTCAAACAAGATCTTCAAATATTAGGCAATGGACCGAAGATTCCTCACATCCACAATCGTATATGCTAGTATCCATGCGCATCCCGCCTTTTACTCCTTGGTGTATTCGGAATCATACCAATTAGGAAATGTGCTTTGCAAAGGTTTTTCGACCCCAAGGAATCAACCCAAAAGGGGTCATCCAGTTCAGTTTGTCGAAAACAAGTTTGCCCAATAGGATCCGGGTTTTGACACTGTGCCTCTTTGATTCTTCAAGGATAATCTTCAATCAAGTAATGTTTCAGCCATGGTCATCAGCCGGGTTGCAAGCCAACTTTTGGCCTTTATTCATTATTGTCCTTGACAAATATTAAAAAGTTTCTCGGCTTATTTCCTATTCTGTCTTATGAATTCAGTCCGTCCCAATGCAGGACCGAGGGGAGGTTTGATGTAACAATCGTTTGGGCGATTCACCTTCGATATAAGGTTGCGTTTGGCCTCGAATCACCTGCTTAGTGTCAAACGTGGCACTTGATGCCGCCACAAGCACATTGAGACCGTTCATACAACCAATAGTAGATGAAGTAAAAGAATCTCAGGCTGTGTCTAGTAATATAGACTCCCCTCATCAGCCGAACAAATAGCGATGGGTCCTTTCTGCCTATATAATAACCCGAGTGGCTTTTGCCACCACTACGTGTTTCCCCATCTCAGCCTTCCCAATGGCCTTACGTCTGTGGCCTATCATCCAGTCATTCACATATCTTTTGGGTTTTATCTCAAAGCTGGCGCCTCGTAAAGCGATCCGATATGTCGGGGCCCTGTAATTACCATCATTTTGCTGGGGCCGTACTTTCTCAAACTCGAGGGATACACCATTAGGGTCACCGATGTCGCCGGTGAGTTAATTGAATGGGACAATAGTCGCCAAAGAGAAAGACAAGGAAAAATTCCTAGACACCTCATATGCCCATCCAATACACTTACAGGATATTCAAGGTAGCCAACGAAAGCATGTCTATTGTGATACATTTGCCAAACACAGTTACAACATAGCCGATAATACCCATGATCTGTTCCAATTCAAGCCGTAAGACAAAGACATGTTTGCCGATCACAGGATTATAGAAGAAAAAATCTGCACGACACCCGATTTGCAACATGAGCAATATCAAATCCTTTCGAAAGCGGAAGCCTTTCCATGTGACCTCGATGTAGTCTCCTGCATGGATTTCCGTGTTGTTTCACACCCAGGCTTCCAACGATAAATCTAGATTATCTGTCGCTCACCGGGGAAGCCCGGAATCACCCTCGGCTTTCATTGACGCTGCTTTCTATCTTCAAAAAAACGGCAACACGTATATTTGTTGGTATAGTTGGTAATCGGAAGTTACCAAGAATTTCCTTGCCCGAGAACAGGCAGTGAGATGCCGATGTAGGCAATAATCCACGAGCCCGTCCATTTCGTGTAAGCACCCAGTATATATGTACCAAAGAAATGCGCTACTCGATATATAATTGTCAGAAAATCTACGCGCAAGTGCTTTGATATTCCAGGTACCAGATCCTACTTCGAGATAACAATGAGTCGATAAATTGTAATCTTCGCTTCCGCGAAGTTGGTTCTTTCTATGCAGTGCTGCAAGGTGCGAATGGTATGCTGAAATCTGTATCCTTCAATTAAGATACCTGGGTACTGTACAGTATGGTTGTATACTCCTAGACTTCTGTAGGTATAAGCACCTTTTTATGGGATGCTCGGGATCAATTGAACCTGTATTAGGCTGGTTACGAGTTTTTTATCGGCGAAGCACTTCGAATTTGAAGATCTTTGTCATTTTGGTAATCTTACGGTCAGTATTTTGCCGTATCATTAAAAATTGGATACATTTCCTATTGCTCGTGGTGTGTTGCCTAAGATGCGATAGCGAAAGGGAGCATTATTGGAGGAGCCGATGAGGGAGCTCAAGCTTCTGCAAAGTTGCCTGGAGCCACTTGTGCTCGTGCTCGTGTCAAATGTGCAATCTCTCATGTTGAAACCTGGGAATAGTAGCTTCTCGACTCGTAGACGCAATTGCAATTGCCACATGCCAAATGAAACCGAGTTTGAAGGCTTTTCCATTAATTCGAAGACGATGTTACGCTTCGGGGTCGATGAAGACAATTTCCTGGCCCTTCTACAGGCAGCGAAGATCATGGAAGTTCGGAAGGATTTTGTGGGATATTCAAATCGATTCCTTGTGTTTGGATCTTCACAAACTTTCTCTTCTCTTCTTGCCGTCGTAATCTTCCGGCGTTTAAACTCTCTACCTTGGTAATCTGGACTGCAAAATACTACTTGATACATGAAATAACCATAGCTGCCTCTATAGTTGTTACTCCTATGCATTCGATGTGCTAGTGTGGTAACATCCACATGAATCAACGTACTTCCGGCAGTAAGTTGGCTCATTACCTACTATGATTTGTGCTCGACGGGAGTGTCGAACACATTGTACACAGGGAGCGCAGTCATGACCTTGATATGGCAAGACTGGAGGGTCGAGGGGAAATCATTGTCTCTTAGATTGTGGAAATGTTGACCAATGTTTCGAGGGGCGAAAATATTTCGAACTCCTCATGACTTCCCAGGACGGGGGAGCAAAAGATCTAGCGGAGGAAAGGGACAATCTACAGGGACAACAACAGCAATAACAAGACTTATATATACATGACTATACTATCCATTTGACTAATTTGAAGTTGCTTTCTCACTACATGCTGTCATCCATATCACCAACTCCTATAGATATCTAACCAACATTGACAGTACCCAGACCATAAATATTTATGGCTCCTCATTCAGCTCCTGTGTTCCGCATAGACTAATCTTCCATTCACTATCTACCACTGGTCTACCATGTCTATATGAAAGAGCCACTAAACCTTATACTTAGCACGACCCATCTGTCATACGCAAACACGTTTGAAGGCTTTTCTTCGTAGATTCTGAGAAGTTCCAGTTAGAGTAGAAGGACTCTCCGTACCGTAAGCCGCAGAACTCCCAGTCTTATTACGCTAGGTTTGCTGCGTTGAACGAGTGGCGCTCCAACTGCTGCGCGGATCGCGATGGTGAAAGTTGATATTCATATTGATGGCGGTGATGATGAGGTTTTGTTGTCGTGAATGGTAAACTGGAAGATAATTGCATTGAGTGTATGCGCAGTTTTAACGTCGATATTAAACTCGAACAATGATATCTCGCGAATAAGCGATTTCCCCCCCTATTTACCACATTTCTGCTGCTTCCCTGAGCGTAATTATCGTATTTCGATCACTAGAGTCGACTGGCAAGCCACCACCAATCTTCAAGAGCACATTCATGGACGTGCAGGAAAATCTGGAAAATAATCAAGAGAATCATTCTAGAGGTATTTGATAAGATGAAAAGTACGGTAGAAGCTTACTGTATTGATTGAAATCACTATCAGTTTATTCCAGGATTGATACTGGAGTAGGAATAGTAGACATCAAGAGAACTTCCACAATAGCGATACATACAACCAGATCTAGTTCTCCTTTCTTCATCTCCCCTTCCTTTGCATCATCAAACCAAATGTTATGTCAACCATCAACCTCCCATCTCGTTTGGTACATTGATCAAGGGACTAACCTCTCACTCACTCACTAACTGTTCCGCAGAGTAGTTCCCCCAGAATTCAACACCCACTTTAACAACTAATTCCCAATATAGAGAAGCTCTGTCACAACCCTATTAGTTGTCTGGGTCAATTAGCATGAGGTAGCTAGGATGGACGTCTGTGAGGTCTACAATATAGACATCGCTGGTGGCTGCTGGACTTGTAGACGCTTGACCACTCGCTATATAGCTTTTTTTTTGTTTCTTGGATTTGAGGCCATTGATGAGGAAGTGGATAGTATTTCAATCTGGTCATCGAAGCTCCAAATTGACTGGACGAGAAGACGTTAAATGTATGAAATTTTGCTTGCAATGAAGCAGGTATGTAGTGTGTAAGTATTGCTGCCTCCTGACTTCTACAAGATTTTATTTTGCTTGCCATCCCCGTTTGGATATCAATTAAGTTGTCCAATGTCCAAACTCACGGGAAAAGTAATCATTCTCTCTGTCTATAGCGTCATTTCAATTGTTCATAGTAGTTGGTCCATTGAAACACTCTATGGGAGCTGTATAATATCATGACAGTCTAAATCTTGTGTCATATCGATCGTGAGATCATGCCCTAGATGAAAGGGAATCTACATGGTCATCAAGCCACCTACATGCAGTTCATCCGTATGTGCTCTTCCGGTATTTTAAACGCGATGTATAACGTTTTCCCATTCACTCCTTATCTTCTCCAGCCAACTCATTGTATGCCCATTGATAGCTACCCAAGAATATCGCTCCGCCAATACTTATCCACATCACTCTTGGACCTATCCCAGCGAAAAAAGCCTTGGGACCATCCCTGGCAATTATTTCCTTCAACAAAACCCTAGTCGGCTTCTTCTCTTTCTCCAACATCATCCTCGTCTTCAAAACATCCAACGGAGTAGTAGTTGCAGCCGCCACAGCACCCGCTAAGCTCCCCATAAGTCCACTTTCTACCGCGCTCACAGTATCCCTCCCACTTGCTCTCTTCCTGTATGCCTTCATCGATTCCCAAAGAGGGAATTGTATAATCGTAAATGGCACTTCCCGCATTATGGTGACGCTCCACCCGCGATAGAGTTCCCTCCATACGCCCGTCATTCCGATGTGCTTGTATTGTCCCAGTATCGCCTTCAGTGTGAGTAAAGAACTCGAGTATTGCCCCGCCTGTGCCCTTTGCTTCACCACCTCGGTGGGCACACGAACAGCACAAGCGGCCACCTCTCCCAGACTCGCCGCAACCATATGTTCAACAGCTTTCCCCCTTCCATTACCTCCCGATGTATGTGAACCTGAAAGCTCTCGTCGTCGCACAAATGCAGTCTTGGTCGCCTCGTATGTACAGAAGAATAAAGCAGCTCCGGGTGCGGAGCCAATAATAGCAGAACCGACTCCTCGGTATACTCCGTTGAAACCTCCAGATGCAACGAAGCCGGCAGAAGATTGAAGGCGGGTTTTTAAAGTGTCGAGGGGAAATAGGGTGAGGTCGACGGTGGTGCCGGCGAGGGCGCCGGCTAGGAGGGCGGGGGTGAAGTTTGATTGTGCCATTTGTGCGGAAGAGAGATTCTGTACAAGAATTTCTTTAGAACCGGGGGAGAAGTAGGATCAAGGTGGCCGAAGCCGAATCGTTTTGAGGTAAAGAAGATAATAGAGCTGATAGGTGAATTTCGAAATCATTATGGTGGGATGAAGTTTGGATGGGACAAAAGTTGAGTGAGGGAGGCTGGAGCTCGGGTAGATTTTAATCATCTCTTTTTTTGCGGACCGACATGCGACTGTAGCCGAAGCATTTATACCGGTATAGCTTCACCTTTTCACCTCGTATCATAATAATAATAAGAGCAACCTTCTCTCATACCTAAAAGAACAACCACAACCCTTCAACGCCGACTGAGACAGCAATACACGACAACACAATCAACACAATCAACACGCGACTTACTACTCGTACTGGTGTAAGATATGTTGATATCATAACGATAACGATAACGGGATGAACACCACCATGATGAAGCAAACTGCGCTTCCTATTTCTATAAAGGAGTTTGCTGATGCTCTTTTCAAGAAACCATGTCAGATTCCTTATCGTCATGGCCAGAAAGGTCACAAAACTTTGGGTGTGTTATCATAATCATTAATTAATTAATTATTTATACTAATTCTCTGTTAGGACTTGCAGTGAGTGGTGGAGTGGATTCTATGGCACTTGCGGCGTTGTGTATACAAATGAAAAAGAATTACATACCGTTTGCATCTGATGAATATCCAATAAATCTGAACAAAATCGACTTTCGAGCTATTATCGTCAACCATGGAGTAAGAGATGGCAGTTTAGAAGAAGCTCGGAAAGTCACGGGGGTGTTGGAATCTCTCGGTATTTTTAATTATCCTCTGCTCGTATTTCTATAACCTCTAATACAAAAATGAATCCAGGCATGCCTTCACGAATCTTAAGTCTCCCGTGGAAAGATGTTACTGGAAATCCTTCCTCACTTCCTAATTTCGAGAGCTTAGCCAGAAAGTACCGTTTTCAAGCCATTGGAGAATATTGTCGTAAACTTGACATCAGTTCAGTCCTTCTCGGACACCACGCTGATGACCAAGTTGAGACCATCTTAATGCGTCTAACAAAAGGCGCTCTAGGGGTTGGTCTACTCGGTATCAAACCTTCCTCTCCCATACCGGAATGTGAAGGCATGTATGGAGTTCATGAAAGTGGAAGTCCCATTACACTCTCTATGCCTATCTCCGACATGATGGATTACCAATGGCCCCCTCGCACTCGGGACATCGGACAAGTTAATAGCGATTTGCCTGCATCCGGAACTTCAAGAAATATGACCCAGCTAGAATTAGAGTCTGGAGGTGTAACCGTCTATCGTCCTCTTCTCCCGTTTCCCAAAGAAAGACTCATTGCGACGTGTAAGGCCTTGGGCGTGGAGTGGTTTGAAGATAATACCAACACCGATCCTACCCTGACGGACCGGAATGCAATACGTCATCTATATGATCGTAGAGGGATGCCTTGGGTGTTACCGAAATCAAAGGTTCTTTCCCTTGCAGCACAAGTTCAAGAAACTCATGATATACGTCAACAAAAAGTCGATCAGTTCATGAAAAAGTGCGAGGTGTTGAGCTTTGATACTAGACGAGGAACCCTTCTTATAAGATTTCCTTTCCTACCTCACGATATCATCGACAGAAAAACGTTAGCTGCTATGATTCTACGTCGTATAATCATGATAGTAACGCCAAATGCCGTAGTATCCCTCGATCGAGTTTTCAGTGCAGTTTCAGAAATCTTTCCCTTACCGGGTATACCAGTAATGTCAAAATTCTTGAATACAGCAGGTGTCATGTTCCAACGTCTCAACTCAGACCAGGAATCTCTGTCTAACAACGAATGGCACATCCATCGTCAGCGCAGATACAGAGTCTCTTCGGATGAGGTTGTTGTCCCAGAGCTACTTCCAGCGAAGCTGCCCAAAAAGTTCCTGTTTGATAACCGATACTGGCTTTTGATACATAACGAACTAAAAGCCCAGGCTGGCACTCTTGTTGTTCGTCTCTTCCAAACGAGTGATATGAATAAATTGGAGCGGGCTCTAGGTGGGCAACGATTAAGGATATTGAAGAAGCTTTTGAGAACGATTAGAGGTGAAGAAGGATGGAGGTACTCTCTACCTGTTGTGGTGTGGAAACCACATGGGGGTTTTGTCGTGGTTAAGGAGGTGATTGTTGGTCTACCGACTTTGGGGGTGAAAGTTAGTGATTTCAGCCATGTCGAGTGGAGGTGTTGGTACAAGAAGATAAATCTGGATGATCTAGGTCTACAGGCTGCAGTGGATTCGGCTGCAGTGGAGCCGTATTCTTTGGAAGTCCGCCGGGTGATGAAGCTCAAAGGAGAAATCTCAGATAAGCCGGGATTTGCACCATGGCTCAGAAAACGTGAAAGCTCTACGAGTGGCGACGCGCTATGAGATGATTTTCATTTAACTAATTTACTATTTTGAAATTCCTATGATTTTCATGAATATTATCATATAAGATTCGAAAACACTGAGTATTCGAGGGGTGAATTCGCTATTTTATATATGTGTCTTTTAAAACCCGCCAGAGTAATACCTATTGCAGATTTCTTTCATCCTTCCTTCATTTCCGCCTGCATTCTGTTGCTCAGAAGCTGTATTGTGTATATGTTATAACGTCTAGCACCTGTTTATCTCATATTCTTTTACCTATACATTCACCTCCTCAGCTGAACTATCAGATTTTACAAGGGTCTACTATGAGTTTAACGTCAAGTCAGATTCACATGCGAGCGGACTTGATGATGTTACCTTGGTATTAGTATCATTTAAATATTCTAGATAATCTTGAAGTGGTTCATCAGTCTCGAGAAATTGACCCTTTCACTTATGGTCGTGACATCTCAGGAACATAAGATTATACTTTTCAGGACTTATTTATGGGAGGTTACAAGCACCATACCGAAGTACTATCAAAAGTACCACAAGGAGAAAAATTTTGTGGTTGTATCGTCTCCATGCCGCCGTTAAACTACACACTACAATTCTGTATGAATTTGTCCCTCATATCCTATTACTGAGCACAGATCGTAGTGCTTAAAATATCCTCTTGCGTGGAAATGTGACACGATATCAAAGTGTCATGTCAAACGCAATATTACAATAATTGACCAGAAAGAGAGAATGGCATTCAAGGGTTTCCCACCTCAACTCTCGTAAAGCAAATGAGGTATATCCTCTCCGGAAAAATGGATCGTCGGATGATATGGAGCAAGGAGAGGTACAGTACTGTGATGGATGATATTGACCCGCCTGCTATGCTCCATTTAACTGCCTCTTCCTGATTACCAAGATGCAGGGACTCAATGCCCATAGCGAATTTCGGGAATTCAACATCAAATAATCACTAAATTCTAAATTGCTCACAATTTCAAGGTGGTTATTCATTTATTATTCCAAATCCATCTCGAAAGTTCTTGAACACAAATATCCAAGCCCTTATCTCTATGTACATTGAAACTCGAGGAGGAGGGTAAAAGTATAAAAATACGAAGAATAGCATCTCGTCATCTGCAAAGTAATATGCTCAGCAACTTCTATCGAAAGGTTTTTCTCATGAACTAGGGCAGCTTCAAAACTTATGAAGAGTCTAGGCAAGTCGAAAAGCTGGCACTGTGCCGAAATTTTCCAGCTAAAAGTTATAGAAGGAATGGTGATGGTCCGAATTTCAATAATAGTATAACAGATATTAGCGAATACAAGAATTCTACATAACGATAAGATATATAGATGGCGACTGCAACCTTCCTTGAGTTATCTTCGTCCTTCCTCGAAAATTAGGAGGGGCTTCAACATCTTCCGGTATGCTAGTCTACCTGCGTTATCAATGTCCATCAATGCTGCTCCTGGAGTACAGCAAGTCTCTTTTGAGGTAGAAGGTACTACTTCTTGAAGTTTTATACCCCTAAGACAGCTTTCACCTCATTCTCCCCCCACAAGTCATGCCTTTTTACTTTTCCTCCTCGATATCGGGACGAACTACAACATACGTGTAACATTTATCCAGCCTAGTAAGAGAAACTACGTACCCTCCCCCTCCCCCCCTATCTCCACCACCACCCCTTCCACTCTAATCTTCATCTCCATCTCCACCTCTTTTCAAAAACAAACCAAACTTCAAAAGGATTAATGAAACTCATACCCCTCTCACCCCTAACAAAAACATGCTTCAAAGTTCAGAAACCCAACTGGATGACACTTATCAATCTCCGAGTCTAAATATACCAATATGATGGTATTTGAAGCTTTATAATTCATAATCACCTAGCTCGTCACATCTTCACTTCGTCACCTCTCAATCTCTTCATGCAACGCATAATACTCAGTAAAACATATACAAAACACCCCAAACCATAAGCGACGCAATAAATCTAAATATTAAATACTGGAAAAGTCGTAAGGATCCAATCTCACCCCATTCACTCATCTAATCCCAGTCTACCCATTTTCCCCATTCCCTCCATTCATTTCTCCCCATTTCTTCCCTTCCCTTCCCGTCCCGTCCCATCCCATCTTTTCTTACATCCATTCACCCATTCATTCATTCATACCAACACCCCCTCCTGTCTTTATCTCTAGCGAGCTAACCCAACTACCCATACAGCCGACCTGGTCTACTTAAATGCTAGAGACCTGGAAAGAAGAAAAGAGAGTTTGACACAAACATATGTCTATCTCATCTCGTATCTCATAGCTCCTCATTCATATTCACTTCATCTGTATTCACCTCTTCATTCACCTCATATCAAATCACCACAAGTCTTTCCATCATAGTATATCAAATTGGCCCGAACACCGTGTGATTATGTATGTATGTAAATTATCCCAAGTCCCTAAAGAAGTGCCCTAAGAATGACTGCGAAGTTCCTCATCGCTGCCAAAGAATGTGGTATCTCTCGCTGTCATTCTGTATCCAAAAAAGCCCAAGCAACCAAAGCATTTCATCCAGAAAAGTGTATCCAATCCTATTCCCACTATTTCAATCATCCGAACCAAAAAAAGAAGTCCCCAATCATAAAATCGTAATGCTTCCCCCATTCCATCCGTATATAAGCATTCATAAATTCTGTGCCATATCCATCCATACACATTCAACTGTTGTCAATCCAATCCAACATCATCATCCTCATCATCTAGCACTGTACGGTCTATTCATCTCCGCAATCTCCCTCGCAATATCCGCCCACTCCAATTCCCTCCCCCATCCCTTACCTCCAAACCTCCCCTCTCTCATCTTGAGTTTCTCTTCCCATTTTAGAAGCTCGTAAGTGAACCTCAAATGGGGTTGGATAATGACGTTTAATCTTCTGGCTCTCACAAAACAATATGCTCGTGGAAATGATAGATGCATTGTGCGCATGATTTCCGCTATGCAGATGGTTGCGCTTCTAGAAACGCCCACGCGACAATGGACTAATGTTGCGGTGCTGTTAAGTTTGCCTCTTTCTGTTTGTGGATTAGTAAGAATTTTCTGGTGGAAAGGGGGAAAAAGGCACACCAATAAAATCCAAACATCGTCCGAATTCTTCGGTTAATGGATCTACTCCGTTATCTTGCACTCTTTGTATTACCATCACGTTATCCTTTCCCCATTTATCCATCTCACCATCCTTCCAAGTTGCTGTTTCTCCCACACTCAAAACTTGTTTGATGCCCAGATGCCGTAGAAGATCCGGGTTGTTGACATGTCCAAGGTTCCCGAGATACATGTAATCAGTGACTCTAGAAGGTAGACTTCCATCCATAGCTTTTATCCATTTTGGTTGCTCTCTAGCTAATTTGGTGGAATCCGCTAAGTTTTTACCTTGATTAACAGGCGATTCGGAAAGAAGTCGGGGTGCAATTGTTGTGAGAAAAGTGACGTCGCTCGGGTAAGCGAAGAAATTGCGTTTCTTTGACATATGCAAATCAAGCCAGGCTTTAGGGACAGAGAGACCTGTGGCATAGGCGAAGTATGTAAGACCGAGGAGAGTGGATTCGGTGTAGCCATCAGTACAATGAATCAAGACCTTTCTTTCCATTGTCTTGATGATCCTAGGAGTATCACCGTCTTGATCCCTCGGTAAGATTCCGTGAGCAAGATTGTATATCCATTTGCACGTTTCAAGAATCCCATCGGTTTCTTCATATTCCCAGGACGAGGGTTGAATCATACCAGAAGACGGAAATCCTAATTGCCATTTGTCCGTTCTACCCTCCGCAATATCTTGTAAGTCCCAGGGTTGTATTTGACCTGAATCATTACATTCGATAAGAATATCGAATTGTCCTTGCAAAGAAGCTGGATCGTCTAAAAGTCCATCTGGGGTCGGACCCAACCAAACATTATGATGAATCTCGGAAGCTTTGGTCATAGCGCACATCTCCACTCTCTCTTGATGGAAGAAATCCATGACTTCGCCAGTCCATCGAGCCTGAGAATCGACCGAAACAATTTGTGGATGTTTTTTCTCGAATTCAACAAAAGGGCTTGTACATATAAAAGTATTGTACTGAGACAATTCATGTCGTTGATTGACATGAGTCTCACGAACAATTTGTTGTGCAGCAGCAATTTCCCTGGCCAATTTCTTGACAAGGGGGAAATCGTCTCCATAGACAATTATATCCGATACCATGGCAGATTTCGCTACTTGGATTTGAAAGTTTCGTACCGAGAAACCTTCTTTCGGATTAATATCTTGAAACTCTGTCGTCGTTCCAAATTCCAAGAATTCATCAGGAGTGATTGCACCTTTCAGTCTCGAACATGTCAAATCTCCACCGGCCTTTACAATTGTTATACCTCGAATGCATTTCGGTGTTCTTAGTAAGTGTCGCCGCCGTTGTATAAAAAATGTTTGTTGCATGAGATTGCAAGGATGCAGACCATGGTACCATGGAAAGACCTGAGATGGATCGGGTAGAGGTTGTCCTGCCAAATGTTTCAAAGCAGCCGCTACACCGGCCGCATCAATTTCATATATGATGGAAGAGTCAACATAATAAGAGTTATAATTGACTGGTGGATATAAAAGTGAACGTTGGGACAAGGAAAGTTCTTTGGTCGGTGGAGAGTGAGGAGGGGTATCTGGTTTCTCGGAAGGTGCTGGACCTGTCGGACACACTGGCAGATGTTTATTTGGGATAGGAATTGGAAATGCAGCTGATGTATTGATATGATCGAGGCTTATAGTGGAAGTTAAGGGATGTGGATGTGATGATGAAGATGATCTGGTGTGTCCCGGTGGGATAGGTCGTGGTAAGGCAATTGTAGCCATAATTGAGTTGAAGCAATCTTGTAACCGTAACCGTAACGGTAACTGTAACCTTGAAATGGTTAAGTATGAATTTTGATGGATTTTCAATATGTAAAGAAGAAAGATATGTAGCAAAATAGCTATCTTTTCCCCCCCAAAAAGAATCCAATTCGTTGTCGTTGTCGAGGAATGTTCAAAGTGAAAAAGAGTCGCGTGTGATGTTGTGTGTGATATTGCGAATCAATTGAGAGGATTCGAGGATCTGTGATTGTATCGTATGTATCTGTAGATTGTATTGTATATCTTGTCTGTATGTACTAGGTGTTTGTTTCTTTATGAACAGAATAATATAATCTGGTGAAAGGTGGCGAGTAATGAATTAGTATATCAAGGAATGAAGTTACCTAGATGAAGTCAAACATACATACTGTACTTCTGAATTTCTTATTCCTTGGTGGTTCAATAGAAATATGAGACAACCTTGTAATACCGGTAGACCCAAAGTTAAAAGCTAGGAGCGGATAGATAAGATAGATAGATACAGTAGGTAGTGCAGTAAGGTAGTTGTGTGTACCACTTTTAATATATTTGCAGTAAATATATACTGTGGTACTGATTGTTTATCGAAGAATGTATGAAAGTTATTAGAAGTATGAGTATGAGAGAAAGGAGAGAAGAGAAGAGAGTAAAGATCAAAGGAAGAGATATATGAAAATTGATTATTATTGGAGAATTAACAAAGAGAGATTGTTTCGGATTATCCAATTAACTATCAACTATGATAGCTATTACACCAAACCCCCAAAAAGTAATCACATCTGATATCATGGCGTTTGGAGAATCTGCAGCTAAAAGGATAATCAGCCAATCTAATCTGAAGTTTATTGGGGTTAGCTTTTAATCTAATTGAATAAGTAGAGAAATTATATAGTACTAGTACCGTATAAGCTAAAGTATTTATATACTAGTATTAGATCAATTTAATAATAATATATAAATAAACTAAAAGCTTCTCAAAATCATATATTCTGTTATAACGAGCTTGGCTCCGGCCCCTTCAGGGCCTATGAGCCCTAAAGAAACCTCCACCTTTACTTGTACTGCGTAACTATAGAATTATACTGTTTAATTAATTCTATTTTTATTTAATATATTAGTATATCTTTAATATCTTTAATATAAATATAAATATTGAAAAAGATGGCCTGTGCATCACGTTTTAGACTAAAATGTGGGGTAGATTCAAAGCTCTGAATCTGAATCTGAATATAAATCTGAATACTCAGTATAATCAATATGATATAAGTAACGTGACTGTAATCCACCCCTATCCTTGTTTTAGGCTCAGGGGATTGATGCATTTGTTAATAATGAAATTGAAATATTAAAGCTATTCAGAGTTTTGAAGAGGTAGACTCCTTTGAATTTTAATTAATAATAAATAAAACTAATCAGAATTATATTTATACTAAATCTGAAAACTTTCGATTTATAACTTTTTCAAAAACATTTCAATAATCATTTATTCAACAATTACCTAATATAAAATCATAAAAATGATATTATTAAAAAACTTATAATTAAAAGAATAAGAATTAATAGTTTATATAAATAAATTTTATTATTATTATATAATTGTATTGCTTAATATTCTTTTCTTAGATTTGATATTCTTGTATAGATTACCTATCTATACTTTTCAAAAATTAATCAAAAACAAGAATTCGAAAAGAATAGAGAGTTTTAAAATATATATATTAGAAATAGAAACAAATGAATTAATATAATGAATAAAAAAATGTTTAATAAAAAATAACACTTACAAAATAAACAAGAAATAAGATGTATAAAAAAAAACTTATATTGAAAACTTATATCACGTTTATAGTATTCACTATCAATAGATAGATATACAATATATTGTATTATATCCCTTTCGATTTATAGTTTTCAAAGATTGATTTGAGATTATTCCTATCCCTTGAATCAATCAGAATCGTGATTTTAAGAACTTTTCGATTTATAATATATAGAGAACACTTCAAAACATTTCAATATTCAATTATTTAATAATTATCGGTTGTAAAAATATAAAAATTATACTATTAAAAAACCTGGAATTGAGAGAATAAAATTTTGTATTTCAATTATATTTATTCTTTAATAATGCTAGATTGTATTGCTTAATACTCTTTTCTTGGGTTTGATATTCTTGTACAAACCACCCGTACTTTTCAAAAGCTAATCAGAAGCGCGGATTCGAAAAGAATGGAGGGTTTTAAAATATGTATGTTGGTGATAATGTCAGGGATCAATGGGCATACCCCCGCACTGACACTTGGTCCAAACGAGCCATTCATATAACTATATCAAATCAGATCCAATCAATCAATCAAATCAATGGATACAAGTATCGAGAGAAATCATAACCAAAACCCCATAAAGCTTTAGACTTACGTAATCATCACTGATGACAAACAACTTTTACACATTCCTAAAGAAACTTCACTTCACTTCATCTCATCTCAAATCATCACTAAAGATAAACAACACTCCCACATTCCTAAATAAACTTTCACTTCACCTCAGTTCCCATCTCTTCCCATCTCATCTCATCTTCAAATCATATAGAGACAAGGAGCTAGCTCAAGGCGGAACTCTTTTGACAAAAATGCATTTCTTTATTCATCATCCAAGAAAATCTAACAGTCTATGTCTTTCACTTCTTGTGATTTACTCTCATCAATATACCATAAACCAGTAATCAAATTTTATGGTCAAACCTCACAACCACACCAGAAATGCAGCAGACATCGCCACGGAAAAGACCTCACCCTAGATATGCAGGGCCTACACGCTTTGCTAAAAAGTATGGCCAGCCTAAAGGAGGTGTTCATTCCATCCTGGAGGATTATCTGCCCGAAGTAAAAAGTGATCTCACACCAGTAACTCCAGCACAATTTCTGGATAATCAGGCTCAGCGTGATGTTGCAGAGGATCTCGAGTTGTATCAAAGGATGAGGTTCTGTGGTAGGCTTTTTCTCAAAGTGATATTATTCCAACAATTAACGTTATTTAAAGGCTTCACTGCCGCAGAGCTGGAATCAGTTCTAGCTTTGGCAGATTCCTACGAAACCACGAGTCGACGCATGGATTGGGGAAAGAATCTTGACAATGTACCTATTCATCCCATATGGGATCGAAAAAACTGGCAGTATGAGCTGCCGCGACATTTTGCTCCATATCCATTCGGATATGGTAATGAATATTGGGAGGCAAGTCATTTACTACGTAGGATATCCAAATTGATGCTTACTACCTTCAACTTAGGCCAAGAATGACGCGTGAGCATACTTCATCTTTTTTTAATTGACTCGGCCGATACCCACAACCATTCATAAACATAATAAAAGTCACACTGTTACTAAATACCAGTATCTAGTGTGTGGCATGCAATGGAACCTGCGTTGCAGCTTACATCAAGTATCATTGCGAACGTACATACTTGGGAATGGTATGCTTCTTGACTATCAGCATTACCATCTGTTGCGCTAACGACAAAGGTTTAACTCGTTATTAAAAGGTCCCTGGGAAAAGGTTCCGGAAATGGAGATTCCACTCAACTTGGAGCATGATCTGTTTCGTTTCTTTTCCCAGCAGGACAGAAGAGACTCAGAACTTAAAGTAGACACTCGAGAATTCTTTCAAGAAGTGTCGGAGAGAACTTATTTTGGACTTCAAGGGGGCAAGGTAGGCATTCGGGTCATACAAATTCTACACTTCAGTGTTACATCTTGCGCATCCTTTTCATTTCAAAAATAAACCTTTGACTCCTCATTTTGCTCCAAGAGGTTTCCTCAATGGACAATTGCTGATTCCCCCATCTGGTGACAGTGCGGTCCTCGCGCAATGCCTAAAGGTTACTCATTTTCAGCTGGCATAACCTCGTGGTGGCCACGTCGAGGTATCCCAGGCAGTCAGCCCGTTCCCAGTGCCTCACTTGTACTTATCGCGTATGATTTGGTCGAGCCCTTGTTGAATCCAACAGCCTTGCCAGAGGACAGATCCTTGGACACATTCCGCCTTGCAGCAACCATCCTGCATGAGACTGCGGTAAGTCATATAATAATCTAGCATTGGCAGGCAATTGACTGAAGCAGCATGCTATGGGCACTCAAATGACGAGAAGAAACAAGAGGTTTCGAGATTGGGCCATAGTCGAGCCTTACTTTGAGAATGAGCCTATTCCAGAACTGCAAGTCAACTACCATCGTTCGTATTTGACCGAGAAGCTAACCGATGTAGAGGTTTCTCCGCAGAAAATCAGGTTTGTTGGTCTAATCCCTTACAGCACCGTCTGGTCAGTAAAGATTGATATTTTGTAGGTATTTGGCGGCAATATGGCGCCGGTCATTAGTCGCGTGGACCTGCCAGGATTTTCGTGTGGAGGCATCATCCAGTACCTAATTCTCATATCCTCATAGTATTTTACCTGAGTTTGACATCATCCTAGGTACAATTATCCAACTTTTAAAAGCGAAAATTACGTCCTGAGTGCGCCCATACTTCCTACAAACAAGCAAACGGATTGGCACACAATAAAATATTATCCGGTTCCTGTTTCTTACTTCATGAGCCTCCAATCTCGAGATTTTTGGGACGTTTATGTGAGAAAGTAAGTTTCATTTGTCTAGGGTCCGTTTAAGGATTCTGCGAGACTTCGTACATAAACCTAAGTTATATTATTGCAGGTTCGGCTCCAAAGCGGCACACATGGGTCCCAAGATAGTAGGTATGTCCCAAATACAACCTGATCGCACTGCGCCCCTTATAGGGAAGGTTCTTAAACACAATGTCCCGGTCTCCACCGATAGCCCGGGACGCTTTTCAAGATCAAACACCAAAATCGCACATTCGTTTGAACTCGAGAAAAGAAGAATGATCAGAATAATTTCGAAAGCATCAGAAAATGTTCACCCCAGTGTAAAAGCTACGGTTTGGGGTAGTGGAGACCGTCAACCCTACATAAGTCCCGACGATAGAGCTGATCCCGTGCGAATGGACTGTCCTAGATATGATGAGATCAGAGGGTATTTGGAGAGAAACAAATTCGCACTCGCTATACATACAATGGACTTTAACATACCCGCACATCTGTTCAGGAGCTATATCGTTCGTCACGGAGGAATTAATCTTACCAATGGGGAATGGAAAACCTTCCTCCTCGTGGCAAATACGAGAAATGAGCTATTTCTGTGAGACTTCTATTTATCCCATCCGCAATTCACGAAAAACTTGCTAATTGACAACAGGTATAGTCATTCCGGGTATGGAGTGATTAGAGTTAATCCTGCGGGCTGGATGCAGACACGACCCCCGCAGACGACAACTTTCTGGCGAAAACCCATACCGCCAGAGAAAAAGTTAGCAGAAATATTTGACTTAATCTGTCGACTATCTCTACCTAAACTAGATCTGGCAGAAGAAACTAAAAATACTGACATGGAATATCTCAAGCTTGAGGTAAATCAACGTTGGCGAATAGAAAGAAATAAGGCACTTGATAAAAGTCTTCTAGCCATCCTAAGATGCCTGGTGGGTTTTCTTTCGACTCGGCTGGAGATGTACTATTTGAGGCGTGTGTTTACTATTCCGAGTTTTTTGTAGATGCCCCGCTCGGTCAGGGTATCGTCAGGAGAGCAGATGTTAATGCGCCAATCCCCCGAGCACTCACGAGACAGAAGAGTGTGCACGAAATTATGACTGAGAAAGAATCTATGAGACTGGGTCCGAAGGATATACTCGAGGCCCCGATACCACAGGGAACTGATAATGAACGGGTTCTTCCTCCACCGGAACCACCCCGCCCTATACAAGGAAGGTTTGGAGCCGGGTGGCAAAAGCCTACTGGGACTGTGACTGGAACTGGAGTTGGGGGTCAACCGGCGACGACTTATAAACCGTACCGAGGTCCAGGAGTGGATGATAGTCAGCCTTCATCGCCGGTACCTGCGGCTGGCCCTGCTGATCCAACGACAGCTTTTGAGGACCAGTTTGGGAGACTAGGCTGGGGAGTTCCTTCTGGAGAGGGAGTGAAGCCGACGACAACTTATCAATCTTATCGTCCCGGTGCTCAGCCTATGCCGACTTATAAACCGTATCAGAAGCCGGAAGGGAGTTGAGCTGGGATAGGCTAGGCTGGATATATGTCGCTTATGCTCAGGGGGGTTAGAAACAGTTCTTTTTTTGTAGGGCTAGAAGTAGGTGGTTTGAATGAAGCTATGTATGCACGTATGTATTTATTTACGCTCAGTAAAATGATTATTTCCAAATATTAGGGACGCTCTCGCAACGATTAGACTTTCATTGTGGTGATTGCTAATGCGACGTGACTAATAATTCTGCGGGGTATTGAAATGCATTATGGGTGGGTATATATGCAGATAATACGCCGAATGCATTTATGTGTTTAGAGTCGGAAGAGAGGACTAACCATCCGCCCTAACCTTCACTCAGTGCTCACCAATCCGCCCATATATAATCAATGTTCGCTTTTCTATCCAACCAGGACCAATCTCTCTTTCCCTATGGAGAATGGCTGTACTATCACTGCGCACTCTTAAATTGAAGTATAGCGGACTACTCTTCTCCTTAGTTTCACTAATCATACGTATATCTATATTTAGTTCAAAAATAATACATTTATCCCTATTCCATCTCACTTTATTCTATCTCACGTTATATAAATAACTATCTATTCATCTTTCTAAACAACTACTCGCTTGTATAATGAGTTACTTCAAACACTATCTATATTCCGATTTATACAAGCAAGAGAGGAAGTTACTTAACTTGTATGAACTATAACTTATACACTAGTATACGAGTATTTCTAACTAACAATATCAACAAAGAGTCGATTTTTGTTACAGAAATCAAAAGGTTCCCGTTCGAAAGACTGGGATCGGAGCATGGGGATTTTGATGTCTAAGTTTGTGTAAGATATTGAAATTGAAATCGGGAGATGAGAGATGGGATAGCTATGTATAACCTAAACTCTATCTTCAAGATCAATATTCGATAGCATTTGTTTGTCGATGTATTAAAATCATTACTTTAGCCCTGCTATATGAGACTCAATATCTCAGCTAGAAAATTCTCCAGAGCGGGGAGGGCAATAGCATTAAACTTGAAGTATATTCTGTAGGCAATCTATGTCAAGGTTTCTGGGAAAAGTACATACTACTGTGAATATATAACAAAAATAACAAAAGCCGTTTAATGGAGTTTGATTGGGGGGTGAGAAAGTTGAATGTTTATTGTTGAGATTAACACCTAAAAGTATTCGTTCAAGGGTGCGTGACTAGGGTTGCAGTGTAGATATATATTTTTCATTGGGATTCTTGCGGGATGTGTATGAATGGAAATCATTTGTTCATGTCTACTAGTATCTACCTATTATCTATACAATATAAGAAGTGTTCAACAATTAGGTTTGGTTGAGTTCGCAAAATTTGAGAAGTTATCATTTAAGATCATCAGATGAGACGACACAAACGAGGATGAGGGTTGCAAGGAATGGTGATTGTTAGTTTTTATTGAGATGAGATGGATATCTTGGATACGGCGGGAAGAGTCGGGAGTGTGGTGTGGGATGGATCCGAGATGTCTTATTTGGGTTTTGGCAGTGATTGGTATCTAGTATGTTGAAAAGTCTGGATGAGCTTTTTGGGTTGGATTGTGTCATGTTATCATCTGACATTGATGAAGTCCCAGCTACTTTTGTGCAATCTTGGATATGATGTTCTCACCTGGAGAGTAGACTGAATCGTGAGTAAATAGTCACGATATATTAGCTCCCTCCTCACCTATCCCTATATAAGAGACACACCCTGCATTGCCGCCACCGGGGTATCTTCCTCCTTTTTGTCCTCATCCTCATCCTCATCCAAATCCTCCAACAGAAATGTCAAGATCGCTGCAATCCCGCCTAGTCCCTCCAACCTCTTCCCACTCTCATGATCACTACTCAAAACTCTCGCCTCCCCACCCTCCTCCTTGACCTTATCAACCAACGTGACCCATCTCTTCCTGACTCCAATTTCCTGACTGCGGAATAAACCGTTACTTATCAATAAAACACCGCCTCCTCGTCCTACAGCTCCTTTTTCAACAGCTTTTTCGACCTCGGTAGGACCGTACCAGGCTCTTCCATCGTCTTCGCGGAGGAGTGACATGAATTCGTCCATAAAGCGGGTTTCACGGGCGTATTTTGTATCGCGGAGTTTCACTAGTACTTCTGGACTTTTGAGAATTTCGTTTAGACTGTGGAGATGGCCGGAACTGCTGTGCACTACCACCAAATTGCTTTTATTGGCCAACAATGCTTTATTTCCCGTCCTGGAAGCTTCATCCAGTATATATTTTTGGAATCCCTGGGCTACGAATCCGGGACTTGCCAGTAATAATGGTCGTGGTTGGGTAATGTCCACATGCCTTAATAACGTCTCGAATGTCGTTTGGTAAAATCTTTGGAGTCCTTTATCGTGATCTCCGGCCATTCCATTTCTTTTCCGCGGTATTCCTACCTCGACTCTCTGTTTTAAGATGGTTTGATGCTCGGTGATTAAACATATATTCGCCATACCCTCCTGCATAACCACCGCAGGTACAACACCCTCTTTATCCTGTCGCACGGCTTCTTTCACTACATCTAGTGCGATAGAATCCCAGCCATCATGTTTCTCTAATGTGAAATTCCGCTGAAGTTCGAGATCGAGTGTATGGAATCCGCCAATCTTGACATATTTATTTTCCTCGCATACGCGACCGCTGACGTGTAGTTGGCCCGCTTGAGGGTCAAAGTCAATGGATGTTACGCGGATGGATAGTTTGATGTGTACGCGGATCGAGGATGTACTGCCGGTGCTGGATTCGCTGGTAACACGCCGTATGGCGCTGGCGCGCAGAATATCGGTAGGAGTTATGAGGTTGTAGATGTGCCACTGGGAGATGAATTAGAATTCTGGGTTAGGGAAGGGGGTTAGTATGTTAGTATGGGAGTATACGAACCATGTCTTCTGGCTCTTCTGGGAAGAGAGTGATGGTTCCGGAGCCATCATGCTCGATGTTGTCTTTGATGAGGCGCATAGAGATTTTATTATGCAGATCTAGGTGATCGATACGAGATATTATGTGGTATGTAGTATCTTCTTGAAAAGTATTGTCCTCGAGATCCGATAAATAATGTAAATTGTGTCACAAACTTCAAAAATCACATCCAAGAAAAAAGTATAAAGTAACCAAACCCTATGGTGGGGGGCTAACTTAACTTACGGCGGGGGGTAAACTCGAATAGTAAATAGTAAGTAAGGAACTGTATATTTTGAGAGTAAACAGATAAGACAATAGTCCCAGGAATTGATTATGAGGGCATTCAGAGAATTGGATAATTTGGTAAGTCGATATGTTAATATAATAACCTTAGGTAAGAACCGGTACCCCAAGTAAGGAAGGTATTGATAAATTCTTGCGCTCGCTATGTAACAGTAACAGTAACAGTAACAAGTAACAAGTAACAGTTAAACTGGAGAAACTTTATTTGATATGATGATATGATATACTAGATACTAGATACCTACTACCTATGTAAGATCTATAAATAACTCGAGTAGTCGTGTCCCTATCATTTTCGGACTCGGAGTTAAGCGATATATAATCTTAGATCTAACTCGAGTAGATAGATAGATATACAAGTTATACTAGGTACCTGTTAGAAATCGAAGTAACTCCAACTCATTGTATTTAAGTACTGCTATCCCTTTGATTCTTCTCTTTCTCTTCTCTTCTCTTCTCTTCTCTTCTCTACTCTTTAATTCAATTCTTTATATTATGAGATCTATTTTAATATCATCATCACGTCTCAATCTCGTACAAAATCATCTTAACACAACTATTAAGGTCGCTCAATCAAGATCCTTTACAGCTTCTTACAAAAAGTACGCACTACGTGATGAGTATCTCTTTTAATATGTCTTCTATATACTACCTTAAATCAAATGCATTTAGGTACTACCATTGGATCATCTTCTTGTTTTTCCCTTAGCAAACGCTCGAATTGTTCAACATTCTGTTGTTTATCATCAAACTGACTTTACTCAAGTAGTAGTTCCAGTAACAATATGACGAAATTTGATATCAATTCGAAACTTCGTATGAACTCGGGATATGAAATTCCTATCCTTGGCTATGGAGTCTACCAAACGTATGAAAATCCCCAACCATCAAAGAATCAAAGATATGGGCTGCACTGATATCAATATTAGCCCAGCATCTCAATGCGAAGATTTGGTGACCAAGGCTTTTGATGCGGGTTATCGACATGTGAGGATGATCTCGAGACAAACCCCCCCTTTGACATTCTCCTGACAATGACATAGGTCGACTCCGCCGCGGCATATCGAAATGAAGGTCCTTGTGTTGCTGCAATTCGAAAAGGCAGCATCCCCCGTGAAGATATATTTTTTACTAGCAAAATCCCACCTCGTGCCTTGAGTTATGAGAATACCAAAGCGCAAGTTACGAGAACTCTCATGGAGACCGGGCTCAAATACATTGATCTCATGCTCATTCATGCTCCATACGGAGGACGAGCTGCTCGCAAAGGTGCTTGGAAAGCTCTGGTTGAGGCCCAGGAGGAAGGCAAGATTCGCAGTCTTGGTGTCAGCAATTATGGTGTTCAACATTTGGACGAAATGGAAGTTTACATAAAAGAACTTGAGGAAGAAAGGGGCAAGGGCAAAGGTGGTGTGATTGATGTTGGCCAGTGGGAACTTCACCCGGTATGTTATCATGTGATCGTCCTTTCTCGAAACATCTAATTGTCCATTCTGACCATGTCCGAAACAATTCGGCCGAGGAATGGGACATTGAGACCGCTCATCTCACAATATCTCATGTTTCTTGCTATTGTTCCTCTCTCAATCTTATTCATTTCGACTGAATATCCCATGACAAGGCTAACTCTGAAAAGTGGCTCGCTCGTTCCGATATCATTACTTGGTGTGAGAAACGAGGCATTATTGCAGAGGCGTATTCCCCACTTGTTCGCGGCGAGAGACATGACTCCCAACTTCTTCAACCACTCGCCAAAAAGTACAACAAAACCTCGGCCCAAGTCTTATTGAGATGGAGCATACAGAAGGGCTTTGTACCTTTGCCAAAAACTGTTACTCCCAGCAGAATCAAGGAGAACACTGATATTTACGATTTTGAGCTCACTGCGGCGGAGATGAAGGGGCTGGAAACCGGCGACTATTATAGCTGTGCCTGGGATCCTACTGTCGCTACACTTGATCAATAATTGTTACAATGTGTCAATTTCTGACGAACGTGTTGGAAATGAGAATCATTGCTCAACGCATTCGCAGCATACAAGTCATGCGTTACAAGGTGAGATCTACTGAATGAATGTGCGAGTTTGTTGTCCGATCCATGACGGCTCTTTCCACATGTTTACAAAATTCATCTGAGGGAGGTAGTCTGCGGGTCCTAAGTTTGAATAGAAAATGAACACACCTTCTTGAGCAATCATGTGGCATACTTTCAATATCATTCAGACGATCAAACGCCAAGATATTTAGTTGTGACCAAGAGAACTCGGGATTCTCATTATACTTCCGGAGCGAAAATGGAGTTATAAATCACTCACCTCACTTCGTAGAAGTTCCCGCATCTGCATCTGAATACAGAATGCTAAAATTCATGATTAGCGGCAACGGAATCAAGTGATTTACCAAAATGTATACACATTCTCTCATTTTAAGATCAGCCTGTATTCTTGTAATGCCATCAGTCAGCATGAACTATCCCACCTTTCTTGATTCAAATATTTGAACGGGATTCACAAACACATCGTCTGAAGTATGTGCAAGTGTTTCGTCAATAATCAGCGAATCTCCAGGTAAGTGCCACAATTGGTTAGCAATGACCGTCAAATTTTCAAGAGACTAATATGTGGTAGCTGAGCCCATCGTTGCGGCATCAATCGCTCTAGATTGCTTCGAGTCCGTCCCATTGAATGTCAATAGATCCGTTGCATTTATTAGATTTTTAGAACCATACATACAATTCCAGAGTACATTAACCTATCTACAAAATCTGCCTCCTAAATGGCTTTTCTCGGGGGTTGATTTCCTCGGCGGTTTGACACAGATGAAGGCACTTCTTCTTTCTGGGGGATACAAGACTCAATGGAACTTCGAGAAAGACATATGGTGTCCTTAATCAATATATTTCCTCATGACTATCATTTCAACTTGCCCTTACTGCTCATCAATTCCGTATTTGAATCTGCTATCCTGTAAAGGCCATTTGTGTCGAATTCCGAGGACGGATTGAGCCTACCAAAGGTATTTTCTTCGGTCCTTCAAAGCCATTATTGATAGAATACTAGTGGATCTCGATCGTGCCATTAGTTCTAAGAATATTACTTTTTCGCCTTCAGCTGTCAGCCAGATTAATGGCCAAGATTCAAATACTTTTCTACAAAAGACTGGTCAAACTCTGAGTGATTTCAACGATCCAGATGCTGCCTACATTCGACTGTTCTTCACGCCCGCTTTCAATATCTCGGGTGGTGGTAATATATTCAAATTTGGCCAGATGCTCGGGCTCACATCCAACTTACAACTATACATTCGAAATTGGCACTACGAAGCCGGTACAAAACGTAGCAGTAGAGAGAATTTCCTTTGATGGAATCAATTCTGGCCAAGCTTTATTCGATACCATCAACCCACCCACTCACTACATCCGTCCGAAAAACTACCACCAGTTCTCTCGTCGGCTATCCCACTCCCATGATGATCCACCAAGATGGCTACACATCTGACTACTATTTTACCCAACAGCAGCGTCGCCGTCCTCTTCATAAAAGGCTTCATCGACCCGCCGAGAAAGACATCGATGCACCGCTCATCTAATCTGGAGTTGTAGTCTCTCTTCTTGCCTGTTGTCGGCAAGTACAAGAAAACGAAATTGCTCATTGATGTACAGGCTATGGGGGAGGTGTCGTAGTAGAGGCTTATAATAGTGTTCAGAGGATTTTCCCCGGCTTGGTACCTTTCAGTGCGAGTATAATGAAAGACACGGGGGCGGGAAGGGTTTTGGGAAATGTCTTTACGGATAACCTTGGGGTTGAGGGGCAGCCGGATGCGAATAATGAGTTTGAGGTGCAGACTTATATGGATGTTAACGGGGAACCATTTGCAAATTGGAGGTAAGTTTGCCATTCCTTCATTGGTCATTTAGTTTGGTGAACTATTCGCATTCTACATCATACTAATATGTATCCCACCATAGCGCGTTCGATCTTCCTGACACAATCTATAACGAAACTTTTACCGCACAAACACGGTTCAGTACCGCGAAATGGCTCACTTGCACTTACACCACAGATTTTCGAAACCGGAATATTGTGCTGTTGTACGATGGCTCGCGTGGATCTACTTGCACCGTGTTTTTGGAGTTTATGAAGAGTCAAGGTGGTGTCAGGAGTGGTATGTACTGATTTTACACCCCTTATCCTTATTGCTCGATATTTTGATGAAATTTCTAATGACGATTTGATCATGGACATCGAATGATGACTAACATATGGCCCAACATAGTCGTCATAGGAGGCCGTCCTCAAAATGGACCTATGCAAGGAGTAGCCGGATCCAAAGGGTACGAGGCACCAACGGGCATCTTGACTACTCTTCATACGAACATATTGACAGCCACAGTCAAAGTGCGGGTGAGTGAAGTGATGCGATAATTACTTCAACTATTAGCACAAATTGCGGCGACAACTGCGAGTGTAAGTGATACAAGCATTGGAAGTGTTGCAACCGCGCAATTCACTTAAAAAGTGACTTTTTAAGTGGGGCATGGCAGGTGGGCGCATTGATGGCTGCTGTGGGGGTTTTGGTAATTTGAAATAGAGCTTCTTGCCTTCTTCACCTGCCTTGATACCATTATTTTATCTTGGGTTATTATCTTTCCCCTGCTATAGAAGGTTTTGACTGGCCGCATTAACATGCACTGGTCGATCGCATTGCATCGCATCACAGTCGATTGGTTCTGGATTATGGAGAACGCAATCATTTCAACCCTAAAAAAATAAATCAACATCAAGGAGTTCATCTTCATGAGAAAATCGAAGTAAAAGTAAAATCTTGTTCCATTTCATCATATAATATACCACCAATACACTTTTCACATTATGCCACCTTTAAAACGCCAAATAAGGAAGACCTAGCAAATCGCCAACTCCAGACTTGAATTATTACTCATTCCTCCATCACTTCATCCTCACTCTTTCCCGTTGGCACTTTGGTAAGAACATCAAAAGCTCCAGTGCCGACCTTGCTCGTCCTTCCTATCACAATTCTACTACTTGGATTGGCCAAGTCATCCCAATCACACTCTGCGACTGCATCGGCCAAGAAACCAACCGTCGTCTCGAAACTCATCTTCATGAAAGGACTGACACTACCCTTCATTCCATTTCGGTTGAATGGACTGAAACCACCACCTCTAGTCATGTAGTCTGCAATCAGATTCAAGTGACGCATGTCCACTGCGATAGCGTGACCATCGAAAACACTGTGTAATTCCTGAACGATGGTTGATCGGCAAGCCTCCACACCATAATTCACTAGCATCGCTGCGATGTCATTGGTCGAGATCGTGTTAGGATTGATGAATGCGGCATAATTTTGCATTGCCTTGAGATTGACACCCGCGGTGTGAACCACTGGTACCTTGACCATTTTTCCTGTTTTGGTGTCCTTAACTTCGTTATTCCCATCATAGGTACATGATCCAATTCCGGCGATATGTTGGATAAGACACGATCGAAGAGCGTCTTCAACAATGGAAAGCATGAGAACCTTAGGAACATCGGCATCGTATTCGAGGGTAACATCACACCACTCTGCATTCTCTTGGTCGAAGCGGAAGCGAGTGATATCTTGGCATCGCTTCATTACTTGGGCTTCGAGTTCCTCGGTGGCAGCGGTCATCTTACGCTTTCTACGCTCTCCATTGTCGGCATTGCCTTCATCTTCATCATCACTTTGGGGTGCACGTGGGCTGCCTCCAATGCCTTCATCTTCCATGTCTTCAATGTCCTCGGGTTCGGCATTTTGTGCTTGAATTGCATCGTCCTCGTCGTCGTTTGCAGCATAACTGACAGCTTCGGAGCGGTTGGCTTTCCGCTTGTCGTTGGTTGCATCATCTTCGCCGTCATCATCTTCGTCATCTTCGCCCGTTTCTCTCTCGGCATCCGGTCTGGCCTCTTCTATTGTACCCACAGACTTTCCAATCTCCGGTACTGCAGCCGTATTTGCTCCCGCTTTCCCTGCCTTTTCGACCTTCTTTCTTCCAAGAGCCTTGCGTGTAAGGGATTGAAGTTTCTGCGTAAACCTTCGTTGAAGAGTAAAGATAACATCATCAATGTCGATGGCGTAGGTCTCACAGTACTCCTTCGAAGGGAAGAGCTTGATATGGATATCGTAGATCTTAGCTTGTTGGAAAGCTACTCCACGTCCGATACGCTCCTTAACTGTAGCCCAATCTAGTACCTCGGCCAAAGAAAGAATGCTTATAGACTTGGCGAATTTTTCAGATTCGTCTGGAGTTAGCTCCTCGTTGAGAGTTAATGTCATCGATGGTGTTGAAATATGATTACTCGCCGTCATGACAATTTCACGAAGACGTGGGATACCAAGCGTGACGTTTTTGGAAGAGTGACCAGCCAAATGGAAAGTATTGAGTGTCATTTGTGTGGAAGGCTCACCCACAGATTGACCTGCAACGATACCAACAGCTTCACCAGGTTCAACGATAGACTTCAAGTATTTGGCAACAAGAACAGGCTCCAGGGCCTTCCTGGGACCGACACCGTCCGGATGTTCCTTGTCCTTGACCAAACCATCTGGATTGGTCTTCATGTAGTTTGTTAAAGTTTCGAAATATTTCTCTGACGTTGCATATCCGTATTTGCCAGGGTTGTATTTGGAAAGAACAGGATCTGGACCGTTGAGATCATTTGCTTTCGCATGTTTCAAGGCCTTCTTCATCCGTTTGATGATCGTTTCCTTTTCTTCAAATATCGTATCATAACGAGGGTCACCATAATTCAATTGCGAAAGCTCCGACATAAGATTCTGCAATATGAATTTGAAGTCGGTCAAATGCTTTTGCTTTGTCACATCGAGTCCATCTTCGCCGTAGATAAATTGAATCATGGACCCGTCGGAATCTCGCACGGACGTATCGTACTCAACCTTGAGACCCTCCATACCCTTGATCAGACATCTTTGTAGATATCCGGATCTCGAGGTCTTGACAGCAGTATCAATCAAACCTTCTCTACCAGCCATTGCATGGAAATAGTATTCCTGTGGTCGAATTCCAGTCAAGAAACGATTGACGATATAGCCTCCTGCTCTAACGTGCGTCTCGAATGGCTTGAAGCATGGAAGGGACTTTCCGCTTACCATCAACGGTACTCTACGTCCCTCCAAGACTTGTTGTCCCAAATTACAAGAAATCAGATTGGCGTTGACAGCAGTACCCTTGGCTCCAGATACTGTCATATTCTGCATTTGGTTGTGCGGAAATTGCTTGACCAAGCCTTGTGGAAGACATGCATTGGTTATCAAGGTAGAAAGCTTTCCGGCGCGAGCGTTGACCAGTGCATCTAGGCCTGCTTGCTTGCTATCATCTCTCATAACATCCTCCAACCTATTTAGGAGCTCTTGATCGGTGTCACTAGGCTTTTGGTCTTCTAGAGAGACATACTTGGCAGCCACCTCAAGACCAATATTACCAGCATCTACCAAAGTCTCGGTACGTGTCTTTTCGCCCTCAGGGGTGAGCATTAGATCATCCATTCCGCAAGTGAAAGCCCTCATGTGGAGGAATTTCGTGAGCAATCGACCTAGAATACTGAGAAGCTTTCCAGCAGTAGCAGGACCATAGACCTCATGGACAGAGTGGATGAGACCACCTCCAGCAGGGCCAATCTGTGCTTTATCCAAGATTCCAGTAATGAATTCACCACCTTTGAAAAGTACAACACCTTCCTCTGAACCTTCACCCCATCGATCAGCAGGAGTTTGCGTTTTCCCAGTAAGAGATATCGGAGCGCAATTTATGGGCGTGATATTTTTCAGTATTGTTGTGATCACCTGCTTTCCTGTCCATCTTGCAACCGGCTTGATAATCGCGGGGGGCACAGTCTGTATGCGCTCGCCAACAATATGTCCACTTTCTGGGCGGATGCAATTGTAGATAAGTTGTTGATAAGTAGCTCGATCGAAGTATGTATCTTTGTTACACATCCAAACGGAAATGGAGATGTGATCTTGAATCAAACCTCTTAGGGGTTTACCGGCTGTACCACTCAAATATTGGTGATCAGTGTCGGCAATCTGTAGCGCTTCTGCTCGGGCAACCTCGGATTGTGGAAAATGCATGTTCATTTCGTCTCCGTCAAAATCTGCATTGTAGGTATTACAATTGGCGTAGTGCATGCGAATTGTCTTTTCCCCTGGAAGTACTCTGGCTCTGTGACCCATAATCGAAGGCTTGTGCAAGGTTGGTTGGCGGTTCATGAGCACAACATCTCCGTTGGTAAGATGTCGGTAAACTTTCTTGTTGCGGGCACCACTGGCTCCATTGCTGGAAGATGCAAGCAATTGATTCGCCAGTGCCATTCTTTCATCTTGTGTCTTCGAGCGCAGGTTGATGACTTGACCATTCTCGTTTTCGATTGCAGCAGCACCAGGCCACTTATCGACACCATTGATGACTGCTTGCTGCATCTCCTTGAAGTTATGACTTGTGACAGGTTCGGGGTATGTGAGCTTTTTGGCGAATACGGGAGGGACACCAATTTCATTTGTCTCGATATTAGGATCTGGTGATATGACGGAACGGGCAGCGAAGTTGACACGTTTCCCCATCATATTCTTCCTGAAGAGACCCTCCTTTTTCTCAAGCTTTTGCTTGATACCATCCTCATTCTTCTTTCCGGCTGCACCTTGGATGGGATTTCTATCTCTATCAATCAAGGAATTGACAGCGTCCTGCATCGAACAGCACGCTTCTTGGAGATCAAAGAAATCTCTCTTTCTCAATGTTGCACTTAGTGAGGGCCTATCGGGATTTTGAATATCGAGGTAAATTTGATTCACAGTATCAGCACTTTTTAAGATCTGCTTGTACAGGGAATTTTGCTGGGCTTCAGAAATCTCGCCATCGCCGGTCTTCGCTTCTGGACGATACCTATTCGGGGGAACGAGAAGAGTTTGGATGAAAAATACCTCTGCTCGAACTACTGATGGCTTCTTGGCGGATGACCGGGAATTGTATATCAGGGACAAGATTTCTTGCTCTTTTTCAAACAATAATGTCAAAGAGGCTTTGACTTCCATGGCATCGACGTATCGCTGTGGTAAGGGGGCCACTCGGGGTTTGGAGGTTGAAGTGGTGGGGCCATCCATGACCAAATCTCCGTCTACATCAAGAGTTTCTCCTTCGCCCTCGTCCTCGTCTTCATTCGATTCCAAGTCGATATCCGCGATACCCTCGTCGCCATCTCTATCTTTTTTCTCGCCATGAACCAACTGAACAGCATTCACAGCTCGATAGCTGCCTTGTGCCATCTTGGCCTTATCTTTGACACTCAAAGATTTCTCGAAAATCTTCACATATCGATCCTTGCGGTAAGTGGGCGATATGCCTTGACAGTTTCCACATAGCCTTCCTGCAGTTATGGCCTTCATGAAGCCCTTAACCACAACTCGACGTGCTTCTGCCACACCTTCATGCTTATCCCGTCTCCATTCCCATCCAGAGGCCTTGGCTGTCTTGAGTTCCTTTTTGACAAATGCAAGTCGCCTTCGAATGACACTATCGACAGGGCTCTCCTCATCAGAATCACTAGCAGGCTCCTCCCCTTCCTTTGGTTGGGCAACCTCAATATTGTCGATCTCCTCAGCAGCGCTCAGTAGACCCTGTTGAATCAGGCGCAACTTGCAGACATATCGATTGACCTCCTTTCGCGACATCTTGAATTGATGACAGTATTTGCATTTTGATCGCAACAATCGTAGAACCTGATCCATGAAAGTAGGATGGTAGACGGGAGCGGGTAGGTCGATATGGCCTGCATGACCCGGGCAGGAAAAGGAACTGAGATTACATGTTGTGCAGCTACCTGATGTTAGCATTCGCTGTATTTAAAGTAACGCGTTCTTACTTATTATCACCCCATGCGCCTAAAGCTGGATCATATAGACCTCCTGGAACTGGGTGTAGAAGACTGTCGAATGTAACAGGATTCTCTATTCTCTTCACAGAAAGGGATTTGATATCAGCGGTAGAAAGGAATGCAAAATCAACGCTATCAATAGCTGACGGAACTGGTTGTGAGATATTCATTATGACTGACAGTTAACACTAAAGCAGAAGTACCGCCATAGGTTGTCTGGTTGAATTGGATATTTGCGATCCGTAAAGCTCGCAAGTGAAGCTTCAAAAGTAAATACAAAAAAAAAGTTGCTTCGTCGGAGAAACATTTTTTTCGAGCCGACCCCCCGTTGATAAGCACGATAACCCCATACGCTAATCACGTGTCAGCTCTGGTCCAGGTTTTTGGTCCAGGCACAATAATACAGCTCGTGTGATACTTCTAAATCACCTACCAAGAACAAGAATTTTGCGTCATAAATATTTTACAATTACAATACAATTTTGAGACGTAAATTATCGGCAATATGGATCGAAGTAAAGCTTCTCCAATCCTAGCACCTCGACATGATTCCTCCAGTCGTATTGGCAAGCCAGAGTCTCCGGCCGAGAAGCTCGCATCTTTGAAGGCTAGAGTCGCAGCTGCAGTCGGTGGCAGTAAGGCAAAAGGTGGACTAAATGTCGGTCTGCATCCCATGCTTGCGAAAGGAGGTTTGAATGTCGATCTCCATCCAGCACTACAGGACCTTGGACAATACAAACCTTCGAAATCAGTCGCACCCAAATTTGCTACCAGCATCGGAAATGCTCGCCCTCAACAAGAAAAAACGGCCGTAAAATCCAAGAAACAACTCGATATCTCAGGGCCCTCGACGGAAGAAATCAGGAACAATCCATACTTTGATATGAGCCTAGGTGGGCAAACGGCGACACCAAAGAATAGACACTCGAGACAGCTAGTTTTCAATCAAAAAGGTAAATATATACAACAGGCAAATGCACTTCGAAGGCAGGCCGCCCTAGAGGCTATGAAAAAGCGCATCGCCGAGTCATCACGAAAAATTGGGATTGACGAGGACATTGACACCGAGAAGAAATTCCTCGTGGAAGCGCCACCAGAAATCGAGTGGTGGGATGAGGGCCTGGTGGATGGCAAGAATTATGATGATATTTCAAATCCAAAGATGCTCAAAATCGGCACCCCAGACTCCATTATAACTGAATATATTCAACATCCCGTTCTCCTTGAGCCACCACAAGAAAAGAATGCGCCTGCACCCAAACCTATGTTTTTAACCGCGAAAGAGCAAGCCAAATTACGAAGGCAGCGTCGAATGGCCGAATTGAAGGAACAGCAAGCGAAGATCAGACTCGGACTAGAGCCCGCACCTCCTCCAAAGGTCAAGAAGGGAAATCTTATGCGTGTATTGGGAGAAGAAGCTGTCAAGGATCCAACCGCTGTCGAAGCTCGTGTCAACCGAGAAATCGCAGATCGTCACCAGAAGCATGTCGAGACGAATGAGGATCGAAAGTTAACAAAAGAACAGAAACATGAGAAGCTAGCTGTAAACCAGGAGAAGGATGCCGCGAAGGGCATTCATGCAGTCGTATTCAAAATCAACAGTTTGGCAAATGGCAGTCACAGATTCAAGATCGCCAAAAATGCCGAACAGCATGCTCTAACGGGCATATGTATTCTTCATCCGAGGTTTAATTTGGTGATTGTTGAGGGGGGCGAGCACAGTATCCGGCAATACCGAAAACTTATGCTTCAAAGAATAGACTGGACTGAAAACTCGCCTACTCGAATTAAGGAGGGTACAAAAGCAGACGCATTGCAAGATTGGTTGAAGGCAGAAGATGAGAAGGGGGAGCTGAAGGATATGACGTTGAACAAATGCCAATTGGTTTGGGAAGGGGAGCAAAAGTCTAGGGCTTTCAGGAAGTGGCAAAGCAAGGTGTGCGAGACAGATAGTGCAGCTCGAGATGCTTTGACGAGGTCAAAGATGGACAACTTTTGGACCCTGGCAAAGAGCATGAACTAGACCAAAATTGCAAGTGATGGCGGTGGTCATACTATTATAATTATTAGAACCCTACCTTGAATTAGATACCACTTAACCCAATTTATTTCGCTTTATTCAAAGCGTGAACACCACCACCACTCACCATCTTACAATCTGGTGATAACTATCCTTCCCTTGATGTCAATAAGTGTCAGAGCTTCCAAAGTTATTTATGCATCTAGCTCCATCATCGATGCCTCCATTTCATCGTCATTCATACCATACTCGTCTTCTCTGATTGTCTGCTCATTACCTTTCTTGATGCCATCCATTGGGTCACCCTGTCCATCACCCCTCAGCGTTTGAAGCGTCTCTTCGTACTGCTTCTCCTTGAACCTCTCCAAATCCTGTAAGCTCCACGTACTAATGCCCTCTTGATCCTTCGCCTTGAACGGTTGCGCCATATTCCGTAGGAACTTCTTCGCACTTCCCACCGCCATCTCAGTACTCAAATTGACCTCACTATCGAGGATTGCCTGGTTAATCCATTTAGGAAGTTGCGTTCGCTTCTTCAGGAATCGACGATCTGCCAATACCATGATTCCATAGTCGTCTTTTCCTCGCAGTACACGACCCAAACACTGAGCTGCGTGTCTCATGGCATCGAATGATAAGAAATCATTCTCTCTTATTCGATACGTTTCACGGAGGAACTCTAGCCGTGCTTTCAGGATACGAGATTCGGTGTATTGGAATGGTACTCCGATGCATAGCACAGTGCGTCCGTATTGGTGGTCGAAATCGATACCCTCACTGACCTTTCCACGGGCGACACAAAGAAGGATAGCTCCCCGGCCATTGCAGCATGCTGTACGATAGGTCTCTAGTGCTAGAGACGTTTCTTGTGCATCGGGAGTCTCGACGAGAATAAGTTTGTATTTCCAGACCTCGTCTAAAATGCCCATTCCTTGCCACATACTAATGATTGACTCCATATACAAATAAGATGGAAAGAAGACGACCATGCCGTCTGGGGTCAATTTGGACATCTCTGTTAGGAGGTTGCCATAATTGCGAACGACAGCGGGCTCATTTCGGACTTGAAACCCGGAAGAAATCGCAACTTGATCGGATCCTCTTGTGACAATCATGGGTAAGAAAGAACGACGAGCAAGGGTCATAGGATAAGACTCTTGAACGACACACTCGAAATTCAGCATTTTAGGATACATCTCTAGTGGAGAAATGGTACCCGATGTGATGATCACAGAGCTGAAACGTTCAAAGACGGGCTTAATTGCTATTGCCGCGTCAAGACAAGTGAAGTGAAGGACGGGATTGGGGACTTCGGCGGTATCAGATTCATAAGGCTCAAGAATAAGAAGAAATCCTTTCTCGTAGGTCGCTACCAAAGTGGCGAATGTTGCTACTTCCTGGAGTGGTTGATAGTCCTCAATATTGGTGAGTTCTAAAGTCCGCACAAGAGATGTCAATCGTTCTGCGCAAAACCTCAGAGGCTTCTTTTCGATAAATGTGTATTCCCGCAGATGAGCCAGGAAAGATGCCGGTGTCTCAGAGATGACCTGTCGGACTTTCATTCGTGTCTTTCGGGGGTTAGCTTACCGTCGCTCTCTTATGAACACAATAATACACACCTTGAGGTATTCGATGAATCGTTTCAAAAAAGTTACAAAATGCTCAGCTCTTCGAATGTTCCCGGGAACGGCCTCTTTGAGGAGATCATCTGGTAAAGCTATAAATATGTGAGCAACTAGGTGTTTTGGGGACGAAACAATATGCAAACGAACCAGGATTTGACATGAAAGCATCCTCCGCTCGAGCTTCATCAGCGTTCCGTAATCCCTCAACCAACTTAGCGTACTCATCCTTGAGCTTTTCGGAATCACTGTCCCTCAAATCGGAGATCCTGTTCTCGAGGTTGATTGCTCCACGAGTGGCCTTGCGAAGCGAATCATCCGTGATGTCAGTACTTAAGGATTCGATGCATACGTTATCGATATTGTGCGCCTCATCAAATACAACTATACAATCCTTCGACAGCTCTTTAGAAACTCTCTCGGCAATTTTAGGGTCGAGTAAGTAATGGTAAGAGTAGATGATCACATTGCAAAAGGACATCTGATTCCATTAGTCGCCGAAGTTGCAAGGATATCGTCACTCACCATTCTCCTCGAGGTAAAATATGGGCATTGTTTGTGCTCTTCACCATATCTCATGATACCATCCAGCGTATATACTCCATTCGGTATTAGATTGTGCGGTTCGAGGAGGTCCAAATTCTAGGCACGTCAACATAATGCTGACCAATACGTAGCAAAAGGACTTACATCATGGTAAATGCACACATCTACATTCTCCCCTCGTTCCTTCTTTTCTTTCACAAATCCGGCAGTCAAGCTTCGACAGCGAGCATCCACAATAGCACCACTCTTCTCCCGCTTGACAGAAGGATGAAGACACAGATTTTTACGACTAGTCAGTCCCAACCCACGGAAATCTTCCTGGTGCCCAAGCTGTTCCTCCCTGTATTTCATAAGAGCTTTCAGTTCCGCCAAGGCCTTTTCAATCTCGGACATAGTACCTAAACGTCTGTTAGAATATGGCCCCTGTAGCTTCAGGAACGGGCATTATCACGTGAGCAGTAAATGAGTTTGCGGTGCTCTGGGTAGTATTGCTGATACGCAACGATCAAGGACAGCAGTGAGATAGTCTTTCCGGTCCCCGAAGGCATCTCCAGCACACAATGACCGCCGGCATCAAGCGTTTCTGTGAGAGATCGTCAACAACCGCGTATCTGACGGCGAGCAAGGCAGGGGGGGGGGGGGGGGCAAATACTTTTGAGGTCGCACATATAGCTTCACTCACACGTCATGTTAGCATCAAACATATTTGGGTTGGTTTACAGCCCAGTAACCAGTGGGGTGACATACGCATATTGTTCTATATAACAAATTAGACCATAGTTCCAGTATCAAGATCGTCATGAGTGCCTACCTGGATATATCCTAGGATATGGGAAGAGCACTGGCAAGTCACTGGTTCATACATTAGTTCAAATAAGCCCTTTCGACAAGTTTGTATAAGAGCATACTCAATATTGAACTTCATCTTGAAGAGGCAGCACTGTTGGTACTGTTGATGTCGCTGATCAAAATAATTGTACTTGAAGTTGAAGTAAAACAGCCTTATCGAGGACTCAAAAGCGGCACCGCATCGCATCTGTACTATAGCTTCAGGATAAGTCTTTATTTGATACCAACAGTTGGACTAATCGTTTACTTGTACAAGAGAATATATTCTTCCAGTTCAAACAACGAATTGTTTACATCTATATTAATATTAAAATCTATCAATTGTATATGTAGCTGATGTTTTGCTGATATTTTAAAGACAGTCCTAATGTAATCACATGTTTTTTTTGGAAGTGAACCTGGGTTATGTGGAATACCATCGAAAGGAACGTACTTGGGAGTAACCTCTTTGGCCACAAACTTTGCTTCATGGGAAGGAGAAGTATAAAGCTCGAGTTGTTTTGAAGACAGTTAGTGTCACTTTAGGGGCATGAAGCTTAACATCTATTGTTTTGATGCATTGATATAGTACTTTTTCGGAAATGAAAACGGACGAGTATTCAACCTTTCGAGAAGGCATGGTTTTCTGACCTCCACTGCTCTTTCCAAACAATGATGACCTCGATAGATGGATAGATGGATGCTACCAACCCGGGGATGGCAATAACCGAATGCAAGCTAATGAAACACAGCTTAAGGAATGCAGGTTTTCTAATGTTGAGGATGTCGGTGTTATCGATGGTCATTAAAGGAACCACAGCACTAAAGTCGAAAAATGGTGCAAGATATTTGAGAGATGGGGAGAAGAGAAGAGAAGGGGAAGAAATACATGAAAAGGCTTGAAGTGGCCATCCATTGTGTTTACTGTTGGTGAAGAACAGCACTTTAGTATATGGTATCAATAGAATATCACGGGTGAGATGCGAAGGTAAGGAAGTTCGAAGGGTTGAAGAGGAATTCGGAAAGGTAGGAAGAATAAAGGATAATCACCCCAGAAAGCTAGTGCTATACACAGAGAATGCGAGAGGCAAGTCAAGTCATCCACAAAACGCTGCTGTATTGAATTTTAATAAAATCACATTTGAAACGACATTGTATTACTTGCCAAGTTACTACGAATAAAGGTACGAGTCACATCACAATGATCACAGGTAGGAGCAAGGAGGAAGCGTATTTTGAAGATTCGATGACGAATCGTAATTGTCATCTGTTGTCATTAGCTCAGCGCACCATCGCTGGCTGAATAATGTACAGCCTGTAAAAACGCAAATTCCCCCATAAAATGAAAATGTACTCCATGCCGTAAAACCCTTGTAAGATACCCCCAAAGCATTATCATCCACCCCGATCCATCGCCATTGTCAATCGGCCCAAAGCCGAAGCGCTTTCAGGCTGAAGACATCGAGAAGTCAAGAAATAAACCCAAATTTAACCACGCTCACCACGGAGACGACGGGCAAGTTGGATGTCCTTTGATTGGATGGTGACACGCTTGGCGTGGATGGCGCACAAGTTGGTATCTTCGAAGAGGGAGACGAGGTAAGCCTCGACGGACTCTTGGAGAGCACCGATGGCGGAAGATTGGAAACGGAGGTCAGACTTGAAATCTTGGGCGATTTCACGAACGAGACGCTGGAAAGGGAGCTTTCGGATCAAGAGCTCGGTCGACTTTTGGTAACGACGGATCTCACGGAGAGCGACGGTACCTGGCTTATATCTGGAGGAGTCAGTAAATGTCAAGACATCAAAGAAACGGATATCTTACCTGTGGGGCTTCTTGACACCACCTGTAGAAGGAGCGCTCTTGCGGGCAGCCTTGGAAGCAAGTTGCTTTCTTGGTGCCTTACCACCAGTGGATTTACCTATGGAGTATTAGTATCGATGATCAAGTAATATTGTTGCAACGGCGAGGTGGAATTAAAGTCGCGTTGTTGAAAAGTGGCGGACGGTCGCAAAGTAGAATATTGCGACCGACGCGACAACGAGGTCTTGATTGAAATAAAAGGATTAGAATAACAACTTACGGGCAGTTTGCTTGGTACGAGCCATTGTTGATACTTTCAAGGTAAAATTTGATGGAGTTGTATTGTGGCTGTTGTGGATTGATGAAGATGTTAAGTGGATATGGAAGTAGTTGTATAATGTAGAAGGGAAAGAGATTGAAATGGGCGAAGGCGATTATTTGTATCCAAAAGTACGCTAGTGAGTGATTGATTTGGCTGTGCTTTCCAAAAACACGCTAGTGTAATCTATGGGCAGGAAGGAGTTCTTTTGAGTTGTTTAAAAGAACTTTTATTTTCAAAGTGAATCGACCAATGAGAATTGATTTCGGAATTTTAGAGTGGTACTAAGTGGGCATTTAATTCCTAAACAGTAAACAAGGATCTATTAATGATTACATTATACAACTAAGAGGCTCAGGATGGGATAACACTACTATTATCTTTTGTTGAAGGAATTGAATACTAATACTAATTATAATAACAATGGTAATTTAGAATAGAACCTCAAGTACTTTGTGTTTTGTTGCTTTGATCCAACTTCTCCTTCCTCTATGAACGACTCTTAAAGTACTCAAGGCAATTGTAACTGGAAATGAATGAATGCCTATGAATACTGTATATGTGAAAGCCCTTTCCTCTCTCCTCTCTCCTCTCTCCTCTCTCCTCAAAGACTTAATTAGACCAGCTTCCCCATTCATTCATCTTTCCTAATTCTGCAGCCTTATTTCCTCCTCTCCTTTCCTCTCCCTCTCCTACTAAGCATTTCGTCGTTCCTACTGCTTCAAACTTCAAAGTAACCAATCATAATTCTAATTTTTGCTTACCAAGTTCGTACATGTCTCTTTTCGGGTTGTTGTTGATTTTGATTTGATCCAATTAGTATTAGCGTGGCTGGGGGTTTTTTTAGCGTGGTGATGCGGAAGGGTCGTTAATGTATCGTTTGATAAGAACCCATAGAACTTCTTCCCAATGTTAACTCTTATTACTACCAAGATATTCCCTTCTATTATCAACAATACCATTGCAATAAGTCTACAACGAACAACTTAATCTTTCTCCAAAACATCCATCCTCTTTTTAATATCCCACATTCATCATGACTGGACGTAAGTATAATCTCATCCCTATCTTGCCTCGCCTTCAATGGCATTCATTCCTTCTATCAACGCGTTGAATTTACTGACGCGTCTTCTTCACAGGCGGAAAGGGTGGCAAAGGTCTCGGAAAGGGTGGTGCCAAGCGTCATCGCAAGATTTTGAGAGATAACATCCAAGGCATAACTAAGCCAGCTATCAGACGTCTCGCGCGTCGTGGTGGTGTTAAGCGTATCTCAGCCAGTAAGTTACCACTTTTCACCTTTCCCTCATATGGACGCGTCTGACCTTTACACTTAGTGATCTACGAGGAAACTCGTGGTGTTCTGAAGACCTTTTTGGAGGGTGTTATTCGCGACGCAGTTACCTACACTGAACACGCCAAGAGAAAGACAGTCACATCTCTCGACGTTGTTTACGCACTCAAGCGCCAAGGACGTACTCTCTACGGTTTCGGTGGTTAGATGGTTGCATCTTTACGGTTCTTTTCTACGTCTATTATGAATAATCTTCCTTGACTTGTTGTGTCGGAAGATGGGTGTGTTATGGGAATGGGTATTTGCTTTCAGGTGTTTATTGTATCATAAGGATATTGGGGTATTCCGGCATGGTTGGTCCATGAGATAATCAAAATCGTCAACACACAATCTTTGTTTCGTGATTCTGCTTCTATTATGAATGTTTTGTCTTGACGCGTTATTCTTGTCTTTCTTTCTCATAGCCTCTCTTCACCGTCTCCGTCTATTTTGTGGCTACAACTCATCTTTACTAATCTCACAGCTTCGTACTCCTGCTTACCTTATTGAAAATCGATGTCCTCGGTCTGTAATTCCTATACATCGTACTCACATCTGAGGTTTCTTCTAGTGCTCTTTAGGCCTCTTATTGAGGTCCTCCAGCTGTCACTCCGATCATCTCTTCTACGTATATGTTTACTATGATATCGTAATCGCCATGTTATCTCGGTGTCATTGGTGATCGAATTAAGCATCATTCCTGCTTCCTGCTTCCTGCCGTGCCTTGTAGTCATCCTTCTTTGGTTTGAGACAGGTGTGCATATAGATACTTGTTATCTCACCCTTTATTTTATTCGGATTTATTATTATCATAATATCACTTCAGTTATATGTTTATTAATTGTATATTTAATTTCTTTATTTGAATATAAGAATTCTAGATATAAAGATAATCTCTAAATAAAAATAATATTTTAGATCTTCTATATATTATAAAATATTTTTATAATATATAATATAAATTTTATTACGACTTTTTCAAAATTTATAATTCTGAATAGTTTCTATATTTATATTATATAATTATTAGATGTCCTTTAAAATTCAATCTTTATTTTAATAATTATTATATATTTAATTTAATTATAAATTTCGAAAACTTTTAAAAGAAATTCTAAAATTTAAACTAAAATATAAAAGAAATTACTGAATTCTGAATTTCGAATTTGGATATTATTATAAATATTAAATATTAAATTTGAATTAGAATCTAAATATAAATAATATAATTTATTTATTTTTATCTTTGTTTTAGTATATAAAAACAAATATATTACTAATAATTCAATACTTGAAACTATTCA